AGGTAAAGGCAAAGTATCGACTATGTACAAGAACGGTCGCGAGAGGCAGCTACAACCTGGCATGCCCGAGCTTCCGCGACGCCAACGACCCCTCATCTCCTTCTTCTGTCTCAAAACGCCCTCATTCCTCCTCATTACTGTAATTATTTGCCTATCGACAACCCCACTCTCGTCTATGTACAACACTGTTGGTTGCAATGTGCAGGCTCAGTCGCCCACGTCTGTGTCTGCTGAAAGCTCGTCTGTAAACAGCTATCAAGATGAGGGCATGGTCGGCATGGATGATACTTTGCAATCCTCACTTGGCCATGTCGAAAAGGTCGCTGCTCAACAGGTCATCGATGTTGAACGTCTCAGGGAAGTCGTTGCTGCCAGGAGCAAGATAGGTGCCGATGCTGTTGCTGGCGAAGGCCGCATCCTGGTTCATGTTGAACGGGTCGAAGTCGAGCGAGCTGGACTGGAAGGGATCGAACTCGTCCATAAAGGGGAACTGCTGGTTTGAGAGGTCGTGAACGGTCTGTCTGACAGGACCACTGGCGCCCATGGCATTGTTATTGTTCTGGTAAAGAGTGTCTTGGATGGTGGGTCCACTGACAAACAAGTCATCCATGACCTGCTGGTTCTGCTGGTAAGGTGACTCGGCATCGGAGAAGTCGAAGACAGAAGGAGAAGATGTCATGTTGTTGGACATGGGCTGAGCAGCTATGCTGTTGAAGGTCATGGCTGAACCTGAGTTGTGGACCATGCTGTGGTTCTGCTGCACCTGGCTGGCGAGATGGTCGGGAGCGATGACTTCCTGAGGAGCCGAACCGAAGGTGGGTTGAGCAGCCATGGCGAGTGCAGCAGTCGAGCCTTGGTTGCGAGCGACGTTGTTGTCGTTGTGCTCGACGTAGCTGACACGCTGGCAGTGAGCGACAATCTCCTCCGAGGACAAGTTGGTGGTCAAGATGTTCTCAGGGAATGAAGAGATGTCAGGAGTGTACATGCGTTCCATGGCCTTGACTCCGGCGGTGTCGACAATGTTCCAGCCCATGACACCGAGGTAATCATCTCTGGGGATGACGCCGATCAAAGGGCAGGTGAGCGCCAGGAACTTGTCAAGAGGTGCAGCGTCCTTGGTGTTGCTCTCGCGGATGATTGAGTAAGCCTTAGCGAGGATACTCCACTTGGCCTTGAAAGGGTCATTCTGCCACATGCGAGTCAAGAATCCAGAGATGTCCTTCTGCTGGTATGACTTGAAGATGGGAGAGTGGTAACCTGTTAAACTGGTCAGAACAATCTGTGCGCGCTCTCATCACACAATTCAACCTACTTCTGAAGGCCATCCAGGAGTTGAGGGGGCGAGTGGGGGCGATGCTGCCGGAAGATGAGTGCGCAACTTTCGAGGTTGTCGACTTCTTTGCGCGCTTCTTGCGCTCGGTGATGGCAGAGACAGGTGTAACACTTGTAGTCGAAGCAACAGCAGCTCTCTGAGAGGTAGCTGGTCGCATCTTCATCACAGCATCGACAACCTCTGCAATCTGTTCAGGCGAATACTTCTCGAGGAGCAGGGCCATCGACTCAGGCATGACGGCAGACATTGTTGCGTGATTTGGAACCGAGGGATGTTTGTGTAACAAAGGATTGAGCGGAAATGGTTGTGCGGTGGAATGTGGAAGCGGAAGAGGAATGTTTCAGGAGAAGGACAAAGGAAGTCTGAGACTCGGTGAATTTAGGGGGCTGGTATGCGCTTCACAGTGAGCGGAGCTTCAGTGAGTGCTTTGGTCGATCTTTTCACTTCCCACTTCGCGAATCTTTTTTCTCTCACTCCATTAACCTGACAGTTCACAGAAAAATCAGTCACCAGTGTAGTCTTGCGTGATCGGAGTGCAGAAGCGACCGGTGGCTTCACTCTGACTTTATCATGCCTACTGTCATATCGAAAGATTGGTATGGGAAGAGAAACATCGAAAATTGGCATAGGTAAAAACATCGCTATCTTCTTGACTCCAAGTTCCATTCCTGTCAGGTCCAAAGACTCAAACCTCCGACTTTCCAAGGACCCAGCGACGGATCACGTAACATCTGTTTGCAGCAAAAGGAGCAACGACGTCTTTTCTCTCCAACATTCCCAAGAATCTGCCGAGCGTAAAAGTCTCTTCTGGGCCTTGTCCGTTGACCTGTTCGATTCCCTGCTCCATGTTAGAATATTCAATGATTTGAGCATATTTCTATTTCTTACCTGTGCATAGGCATGGTTTCCGAGATTGTGCTGTATGGATGTCAGTCATGATTCTACCAAAATGCACTCCTTGGTCTCCAACTTACGAACTGCAGCGCTTCGGTCTTCAAGCCGGTCGACGTCAAGGTCATCTGACGGAAATGTGCGAGCTTTGGAGGCAGAGGCTGTTCATGCTATGTCAGCGTGGTCTGCAGAAAGGTGCGCGAGCTCGACTTACTCCTGCGAACTCTCTCTCTTCTGGATAACGCTGTCGAAGTATTAGCACATCATTCCATCTCCGTCATCATGTGCTGATGGTGAGCAAGTACCTGGTGGAAGTAGTCGTTTGCTTGCTGAAACTCAGAACCCCATGTTGCTAAGATTCCCAAGGCTGCTTGAGGAAGAGTTTGGAACGAGGTGCGAATGACGCGGCGATAGTCTGGGAAGCTGGGGTGCGAAGGAGGGCGTGACTCGAAAGGAGACAAGAAACGGGCGACTGCATAAGATGGCGAGCCTGGTGCAAGGAACTGGCTCCAAGGAGGCAAGTACGATACGTGATGAGGGTTCGATTCCTTGGTGGTGTCTGTGGCTGATTCCTTCTGAACTTTCAGTCGCACCAGATTTCTGCGCTTGATGGCATGAATGACCTGTGCCGTTTCTGCAGTCAAAGTATGCATAGTTGCCAGAAAGTCTTCGTATTCGGCGTGGGTAGCAAAGCGAGTTGGGTGGTCTCGGAGCATGCGGTACTCTGCGAGAATCTCCTTGAGATGCTTGCAGATCGTGTCACGATCGAAGTGAACTGGTTCGAGGACGTAGACTCTGTGCATGCATCTCAGGTCGGCGATGATGTCTTGGCACATGGCACGAGTTTCTTCGTATTTCTTCTCTTCATCGTCTGTTGATTCTGTCAATGACGTTTTTCAAGTCGAGGCGCAAAGGTGTCGTTCTTACAAACTTCGAAGTCGGGCTGCTTCAGCCTGTTTGAGGTGATGTGGATGATCTTGGGATGCATTTTGGTTGTCTGACGGGATGAGAAATGCATCGTGAGAAGATGAAAGGGAGAAGAAGTGTCAAAGTTTGCTGCGAAGATATGGTAGACGATTGCTGATACCTGCATCAATAGGATAACATCTTGCTATTGTGGCGGATTTTTGCCCAACAATACTAGCCAGCCGACCAGCCAGCCAATCACTCTCATATTGTTGTTCAATTCACTTTTCTTTCACTCTTCGAGCTTTCTCACCTTCGATTTTCACGTCGCCCATTGAATCCGTTTCACTTTCTGTCACTTCGGCGACTTGAACTATCCTCGGTAATTTGACTGATCAAGAGCATGCGGACAGAGGACGCTGGCTGGCAAGTGCGATGCGGTGGCAGATACGGTACAGAGATGTATCATTTGTGTGACCGTCTTGGGCGCGGTTGAGGCGCTACTCAGCACTTTCAGCAATGCGCAGGTCGAGGTCAAAGACGACACTGCCTCTGGTTCGCTTCGTATCAGTGTGCTGCCTCCTGGCGTGCACGTCCAGTCGCAAGAGACTGTTGTTTCGTCGCCCGAGTCTCCTGCATCTTCTGACTCTCCCAAGAAGGGCACCAAAGTCAGCCGCCCTGCCAATGCTTTCATTCTCTACCGCAAGCACCATCACCCTGATATCGTTGCAAGCAACCCTGGCCTCCACAACAATGATGTTTGTAAGTTCCTCCTTGTGCGCACTCCATTCATGAACAACCGACTCACAATGTGTTACAGCAAAGATCATTGGCAGAATGTGGCGCGAGGAGTCCGAGACTGTCAAGAAGCAGTAGGCCGAGAGCGTCAAACGCCAGCACATCCGCGACCACCCCGACTACCAATATCAGCCTCGCAAGCCCCATGAGAAGAAGCGCCGCATGACCAAGCGCAAGGCCATGGCTATTGCTGCCCAGCAAAACACTCCTTCCGCTTCTGCATCCACCTCAGCCTCTGCATCTTTCAACGCAGACATGCCTGCTGGTAACTCCATCTTCTCGCCTACTCCATCCATTACTGGCCCCTTCTCGTCAGTCACCTCGCCTGTCCAGATCGTCGACCTTGCCAGCTTCGAGGATCCTTCTCTCAACTACTCTGCTGATGGCGACCTTGCCTCCTTCACCCTCGACTCCTTCCAGCCCAACCAGCTCGACCTGTTCACCGATCTCTTGGACGAACACAACACCGACATGATGTATGGCCCCACCACCGTTCGTACCCCTGCTGCTTGCACTGTACTTCCCACTACTCTCAACCAGACCATGGCCGATGGCAATGCCGGCGCCTCAGTCTCCAATCCCAACTTCACCACCAACGATCTTCCCATGGCTCAGACCGACTTGACCGGCTTTGAGTCTTCGATCGAGGAGATGCTTGCTCGCGAACTCCAGAACATGGAGCAGGATGGTGGTCTTGCCGTCGCTACTGAGAGTGGCTTCCAGTACAACAACCTCGAGTCTCAGCGTTTCACAGAGTTCTTGGAGCAGATGCCTGAGCACATGTGGGGCATGGAGTTTGTCAACTACTAATGCTCTTTGCCTTTGCAAACATGCCTCCATCATCTTCAAGCATGGCAGTCTTCAATCATCATCGCGTTTTGTTGTTGTCTTTACATAAAAGAGACAAAAGGAGGAGCATAGGAGGGAAAAGGGTCTTTGCATGGTCGGCGTACTGCGCATTGGATGGTAGAAACTTTTCGTTTCTCTAATGATTTCGTCTTTCAACTTTCTTAAGCAAATAATGCTTGTTTCTTTTCATAGCAATCAATCACAACTAGTTTCATCAACTCTTTCACCCTGCCTTGAAGTCGCTGCACCATATGAATGTCGGACATCGCCATTGTGTACCTTTTTCCTTCGTACCTGATGGCCCCAGCGGCCTTGCACACATCCAGAAGCTACGTCCTTGGTTTTCTCCTTTCTTCCTGGTCTGCATGCTTTTGCATGGCTCTTCGTGGCTTTCGCACAACGGTGCTGCTGGTTTGCGGAAGAGCGTTTGCCACGACTCTTTGTTCTCAATTGGATCGTATACCATCTCGTCAGCATCGTCAAGCGCCTCGAATTTTGTTTCGGAGGCTTTCGAACTACCTCGTGCGTCAGCAGGAGATGTTAAGTCTTTGGTGTTGACACGATGTGGCGTAGATGATGAGTTGGCTGCTTCGGACATAGTGTAATCGCCTGCCGTCTCCTTTGTATCCTCTGATACACTGCTCTTGCTCGGATCAGGCATGTTCTCGGTTGCACTTGTGGCCCGCTCTTGTGGCTTTGGATTTGACTGGAAGAAGCCCTTCAAGCTCTTCTGACCTTTTGCAGGAGCTGCCTTCGACGTAGACGCTGGGACGGTCTTCTGCTTCTTCGTCGATTGGAGGATAGACGTCTCCGATGCTTTGCGTTTTCTGTCTGGGGACGGAGATACAGCGATCTTCGGTGGAGGTGCTGCAGAAGATGCGGAGCCGTCTGTAGTACGAGCTTCTTCGTTAACTTGCGTAAGCTGTGGCGTGGAGGATGTAGCTATCTGGCTGCTGATTGACGAAGAAGCTGGAGCAGAGGGAGCGCTAGGTTTCTTGAACATGTCTTTGATGCTCCTTCTTTGAGAGAACTCTGGCATGAGTCTTGCGCTGAAAGGAGGAAGATCCTTGACGTTCCACTCCTTCTGGCGGATGCCATTATTGAAGACACCAGGAGGATTCATCATATCGACCAGCTTCGTTTCTGATTTTCCATCGTCACCCTTGATGTTGACAATGTCTTTGAACTCGCCGTAAACTGGGCAATGATCGGAACCCTGAACTCAAATTAGCTCGAGTCTGGAAAAACAATGATAGTCGTACGAACCATTAATCCTTCTTGAATATCGGCATGGACGAACCAATCGCGCATAGAACCACTCGCCAGGACAAAGTCAATACGACTTCCGAAGTTTCCAGGCCTGGCGTTAATCTTGACCTCCCAATGAGTGTACATGCCCGTTCTCTCAGGATGAAACTCTCTGGTAGTGTCAAGCATGACGGATTCCTCCCGACCTTCGTCTCTTTCACCGTAGACTTCGCCACCGATGATAAGTTGGTTGAAGATCCGGCGGTTCGGCGTACTGACGTATTCCTCGCTCGTTAGGCCGGCCTTCTTGATGTCCTCCGCCGAGGAAGCAGTGTCGATCAAGCCTCGGGAGACATTGAGGTCACCGACCAAGACAACTCGCTTGCCCATCTTGTTGAGTTTGCGTATACGGCAGTCCAGAGCAGACAAGAAAGCGTACCGAAAATCATCGCGGAGACCATTGGAGTTTGCGGGACTGTAGACACCAAAGAGAACGAAAGCAGGAAACTCGAGACACACACAGCGGCCTTCAGAATCCAGAAGAAGAGGATCGACGCCAAGTTCTGCGAGTTCCACTTCAGAAAGATATCCGCCGATCTGTTGAGATTCTGGTAGACTGCGGTATTGGGTGGCTGAGTTTGGCGGTGTCAAGACTCCGAGGATGCCTTCTTCGGCTCGGATGGGAGAGCAGGTAGCGTTACGAGTATAGATACCTACACCTGAATAGCCTGCAACAAGTGTGAGAAAAAGCTTCAGAGAAGACACGACTATGATAAGCGAACCTTTCTTCTGTCTAGGCAAGCTGAAGTAACAATCCCAGCCATCGAGCATTACCATATCGTCACGCAAGTCTTTTCTCTGGATTTTGAGTTCTTGCATGACAATGATGTCGGCTTCGAGGATATCGAACATGGCTGAAAAAGTCTTTGTGATACTCCATGGATGATAGGAAAATGGATTGCGGATGCCATTGACATTCCAGGTGGTGAGCCTCATGATGAAGGAGGTAGTAGAGTCAATTGCACGTTCACACGTAGGACGAGCATAGTAGAAGAGGTTGAGGACTCTTCAAATCATCAACGAGTCTGTCAAGATTTGGTATGAGCAAAGCATCATGCACGCGACTTCCATTTCGAAGAGGACGTGACGAAGGGTATGACGTGTTACTGTAGCCGCGGCACTCGCGAAGAAGCATGACAGCGGAGCGGAGCGGACCCGAGCGATGCCAAGCTTCACGACTGTGCGTGGTCCGACGGTCAATCAGGTGTCAGCCAAAAGCGCATAGCAATTGCAGCCCGCTCTCCACTCTCCACTCAACCGTCATATACCGCAACCATGTTCACCACACGCGCCGCTAAGCAATTGCGTTCTCCCATCCTTCGCCAGCTCGGCCGCCGCCAGCTCCACGGCGCCGGCGAGAAGGGTTTCCAGGGCGCTGCCGACAACGCTTTCAACCGCGAGCGTTCTGCTGTCAAGGACCACGCTGCTGCCACCAGTGGTATGTTACGAGCTGGACGCTGTGGAGCGCATGTCAATTGGCCCAGAAAGTTGCTGACCCAATCTATCACAGATCTCTGGCGCAAGCTCTCCATCTAGTATGCAGCTCTCCGATACCCCCAACCTCTCACTGTCCTCCTGTCGAACGATGAAGATGTTACCTCTCTACCACGATCGAAGAAATAAAAGAAGAAACAAACAGTTCTGACCAAGACTTTCGCTCAATAGCATCGTCATCCCCTCGATCATCCTCGGTGGTGTCAACGCCTACCGCCTGTGGCTCGAGCATTGGGAGCACCAGTCCCACATGCCCCCCAAGTCCGAGCTGCCCGAATACCCCTACCAGAACATTCGCACCAAGAACTACTTCTGGGGTGATGGTGACAAGGTGAGCCGACGCCGGAACACAACAATACGAGCCCGTAGCTAATTACTACTCCCTCTCAGACCATCTTCTGGAACGACAAGGTCAACTACCACAAGAAGGCCGACGAGTAAACTAGTCCTCTCGTTTGATCGCTGGAATGTATCTTTCCCAGAAGAATCCGATTCAAATTTTGCCCTTTTAGCCAAACGCTCCTCGCGCTCAAAGAGCCGTAGAAATTGGGAGTCACCTCGCGCCAATTGTACAGATAGCAGAGGTCATGCATCTAAACTATTATCTAACGTTTCGTCTGTCAGCTACTGCTGTGTTCTCGTCGACTATCTACTTGTCTAGACCCCTTGCCCATGCATTGCCAATTGCCTTCTCTCGGCTTCTTGAACCGTGCTGTTGTACAGACGCTCCATCTCTTCGATCATGTCCTCGTCGTCTCTGTGTTTGTATAGCATTGCCTTCTTCATCAGACTGTCCAGGGTGCCGTCCAAGTCTTCGACCTTGACATATGCTGTTTCATCCACATCAGCGTTTTGGAATTCGTCAGATGCTCGGAACGTTCTTACCGTCGTGTGCCCGATTGAGATAGATGAATGCGGCATCGATGTGACCAGAGCTCTCTTTCGCATTTGTTTCGGAAGTCTTGCCGGCAAGGCCAACATGAGAGTCTGTCAGGATCGAATATAGCTGTGCAATTGTAGTTGTGTTACCGCCTTCCAGTACCTATTTGCGATTAGCACGTGGAACTTTGCAGACGCCATTGATAACAACTTACTTGCGGCATGATGGCATCGACCAGACTTCTGGCTGCATCAAATTCACCAAGGTCAATGAGAATGACAGACAGGGCGCCTATAGCTTCCCACATCGCCGGCATGATCATGGCTCTTTGTGCTGATGAAGCTGCTCGCATTGCAATGCTGAAGCCCTTGGTCGGCAGCCCTGCCTTTGCAAACAGTCTTGCCTTGAGAATCAACAGCTTAATGCGCCGTACAATATCTGCCGAAGATCAGTCATGTCTGTTGCCGCACCTTGGACGATCTTCTTACCTGCACTATCCGCAGCCTTTGCTTCAGCTACTTGCTTTTCGATGCAGTCAAACGCACTGGAGAGTTTTCCTTGCCGCATCAAGAGTTCGATCTCGAGTACGTGTGTCTCGAAAATAACGCCTGCGTCTGCTGTTTGCCTGATGGGCTTCAGCTGGCGAAGGAACTCTTCGGCGACGAAAAAGTCATTGCTGGTTGTTGTCAGTGGACAAACATCATTCGAGTCCGTTCCGAACTCACCGATGGATGGCACGTCTCAGACTGATCATCGCAGCGAAAGCAGTGAATGTGTTATCGAGACGCAATGTCTTTTCCTTGGAGGGGTCATTTTGTCTGAGAAGCTCGTATGCTTCTTCGGTTTCACCCAAGATGCTATGCATATGCGCATTTTGTAACACCACGTTAAGTACGTCCGGTCTCGAAGCATCCTGGCTGAAAACATGGTACATGACCTTGCAGTAATGTTCGGCCAGCGGCATCTGACCAAGCCTGTTGAAGATGGCCGAGTGGAGTCGGAGTTGACTGGGTATCATGCTGGAAACATTGTGCAAGCTGTTGAGATAGCTGGACTGGTAAATCTGTTCCAAAGCTCTCGCGACACTGCCACCACTTTCGACATTGACTTCAGCTTGGCTAAGCAGAGAGCTACTGAGGGTTGCCCAGTCTTTGTTCTCCACTGCTTTCTGTTGCAGGAAGGTGATGATGTCGCTTTCGTTGCCTGCCAGCTCGCTGCCCTCACCACCATTCTCGAGGCGAGAGAACTCGGGATATGCTTTTCGGAGATGGGCAAGCCAAGAGAGACTGAAGTGCAGACAACGAGCATCTTGATTCTCACGAGCGGTCGCGATACATTCGTTCATGGCGGAGATAGCCTCACCATAGCATCCAAAGTCTGCGTGCAGAACTGCTAGATGGAGCAAGGCATATTGGTGGTATGTCTTGATGTGGTCTGTGCCTTGGCTCTCCATGGTGTAATCGAAATAACGATGAAGAAGCTCAATAGCCTTGTTGTATGCACCACTTCTCCAGGCATCAAAGAAACTGTTCTGGTTAGCAACATTACACATCTTTGTATCGGCGGAATGCAACTTACTTGATGAAGTGCATATCCGAAGGCTTTGATGCGCCTTGTTCAACCATAGCTCTCAGTTGAGCTTTCATCTCGTCCGACACCCTGCTACCCAATTTTTGGAGCTGCCCTAGCTGGAAGTGCATCACCTTCTCGACATCATCAAGACTTGACGGTACCGCAGGTCGACCATCCTGTTTGTTCATACGATCGAGAAGAATCACTGACGCATCACCCTGATCTGGCTGTAACAAATTTGCTGACGCTGCATTCGGATGATAGTTGGCATATGGCGATCTGGGATTCCGCTCGACATAGTTGTCCTTGGTCGGTTCGCGAAAAACAACCAAATCCTCCCAGAGCTGGTAGGCATCACTGAATTGCAACCGGACAGACTCCAGATAGCATCTTCTGACAAATTGACCGATTGGACTTGTTGGACTGCATACGAACTTTGCCTTGCTGCCCTCAACCTGCTCCTGGAGCGAAGCCGTCACTGACGTCTGGTCTTGGAGAAATGCAGTAAAGGTAACGAAGTCGTGAATTGCCCAGAGGTGGTCGACAAACAGATGGTACAGAGAGCGGCCAGGAATCGCAGATTGATGTGATCCCAGTAGAGCCTCGAAGTCTTCGATTGATGGCGGAGTCAATGGTCTGTGGTTGGAGGCATTAAGTGGTGATCTGTGTATCGTGTGCTTGGAGATGAACGAAAGGAGCGATATCGTGCTCTTGGACGGCACATTTCCGTCACGGTATAATTGAACCAGAAGGAGTATGCATATTTTTGATGGTGTAAGGAATCGCGACATGTTTAGCGATATTTTTGTCCAGTATTCCAGACGCTTACGAGAGGGAAATTCGGTCTGAAGGATTGAGTATTCCACTAGCAAGGAACAGTCTGCATGGTACACAGAGACTCAGTCTCTAGTCGTTGGGATGATTTCGTTGCGATATCCTCGTTGGAATCGGTATTGTTGTGATTGGCAGGTGCTTTGCGTGGTTCGCACAGCCGCGGTTCACGTTTGTTTTTGACGTCGTGAGACGGTGGAGCTCTCGAGTCCTTAACTTTCAAGATACCACCAAAAAAGAATGACAACCTCTTTAAAACCTGTTCAATCTCACTACGGTAGGAAAGAAGATGACTCGAGAGACTAAAGCGATCCTTCCGCTCGCAATTGATCGGATTCCCACTTTCGCCGTGTGCTGAGCTCCTCCATCAAGTCATGGCCGTGAGCGCATACCGACCGCGAGCCTGTCGCGAGAGAGAGAGAAAAAAAAAAGGTCAAATCGTGCTTCTAACAGACACTGCGTGGTCGCCAGTGGTCGACTATTGAGATTGATATATTCGAAAAGGCCGAAAGTCGCGGAGTGTGTTTGGACATTGATCATCACAGTACAGAATAGAAAACTTTAGAGCGGCAAGGTAGTTACCCTCAGCTTCATTTTGGCTAACATATTACATTACTGCTAGACTTGCTTCTTTCTGAGGTATTTGCTCTCAAAGGGCATCATGTTCACAGCTCAATGACCACCTTCTTAGCACTGACACCAGCCTTGTTCTTGTCAAGACCCTTCTGCACGCTCTCCAGGCCTTGACCGACAACCAAGGGCTCGGGCAAGCACTTGAGATCTCCACTCTGGATGGCACCAGGCACAAACTTTTGCCAGACGGCTTCACCAACTTCCTTCTGTTGGGTGGCGATGGTGATTGCAAAGACGCCTTGGACATTGATGTCGGAGGGCTTGTCTTCAGGAGGTGGGAGAACAGTGGCCATGTTCTTGCTACCACCAGCCTTCTGCAGGACCTCGAAGCAGTGCTTGAAAGTTTCTGGCAGAGAGATACTGTCGTAGATACCAGCGAACTCTGCGCCGGTATCCTTGATGGCAGAAACAATGTCTTCGGCGACTGAAGAGCTGTTGTAGTCGACGACAGTCGTGGCACCCAGCTTGGAGCAGTAATCGTGGTTGTGCTTGGAGGCAGTGGTGACAACCTTGACGCCACTGGCTACAGCGAGTTGGACGGCGGTTGAGCCAACACTGCTGGAACCTCCCCAGACTAGAATGACCTTTCCTGATGACTTAGGAGATGCCGTCGGGTATGGAAGCTCAAGATAACCCTTCTGGTAGAGACCAGCTGCTGCTGTCGAGATAGCCAGAGGCAGAACAGTGGCCTCGGTAAACGAGGTTTGCTCGGGAATCTTGGAGGTCAGGATGGCGGGAACTGCTGAGAAGAGCTGGAAACCAGCGTTTTGAGGCTTGCCTGTACCAAGACCAATGCAGTGGCTAAAAGATACTTGTCAGCATCGAGGCGGTATTTACGGGGAGATTGGACTTACGCAAGAACCCTGTCGCCCTTCTTGAAGTTCTTGACGTCTGAACCGACTTCATAGATCTCACCGGCAACATCGGTACCTGAAAAATGATCAGAAGGCTTGACTCAATGAGGTAGGGGAGATGTAAGTGGGTGCATACCGAGCACGTTGGGGAAATTTTGAATGAACAGGCCATAGTCCTGGATTTTCCAGTCGACAGGATTCACTGCCACAGCCTTGTTCTTGACGACGACCTCATCTGGACCAGCAGATGGCATGGGAGCATGATCAACCTTGAATGGGTTCTGCTTGGCCTCGGTGAGCCAAGCGGCCTTGTTGGCGTTATTCAAAGTGTTTGCCATTATGATGCGATGGTTGGAAGAAATCAGTTGATCATTGGAAAGAAACAAATGTCATTCAAATTTCAATGGACGTCGTGAGACATATATGCAGTGAGCAGGTCTCGCCATAGCTCCGTGATTGTGTAAGCGGTTCATTGTGATGTCAAGCGGGGCAGGCTTCATTGGTGGTCGAGATGCAGCACTCGGCCTTCGGGAATGTTCCTGCACCCACCATTAATCATCCATCTCGGACACGGCATACTGTAATCATCTCCCATGGCCGACTCGTAAGCTCGCCAAGCATATATGTATACTTGCATACAATCCGTGAGACTAATGGTGCATGCAGAGTAATAGCTTCAGCCGTCGTGCTGCCCGACGCGACTCCATCTTCACCAAATCGCCGCTCGCCTGCCTCGTCACAAACTCCTCCAGAAACACGCACTGGAACGAAACGTCGCCAATCCTCTGCCTCACATGACTCTCCCAAACGACAACGGCTATCGCCTTCACCAGACAGATCCAGAAGGGAGGAACATGCTGCACCCGCCCGCGAAAGACGCCCTGTGAAACCGATCGATGAGAAGAAGCGCACACAAAGGTTGTTTGGAGGTCTACTAGGTGGGTTGGGCCAGACCAGGCCGGTCAACTCGCAAGCAGCGAAACGACGAGCTGAGCAGGAGGAACGTCGCCGCCAGAAAGAGCAGGAACTCAGCGATCGACAGACAGAGCGACTCGAGATTTTGAACGTCGCGCGCACCAAGGAACAACGGACGGTTGACGAGGCCAACATGCGCATCAAGCACGAGAACATGAAGGCCATGTCGAGTTTCCTGACTACTGCCGCCGAACCAAAGCTATACTTCAAGCCATGGGAACTGCTTCCAGAACAGGAGGACCTGATCAATCGTCAACGCGAGGACGTTGACGTTCAGATAGACCAGGAGCTTGACGACTTTGATCAAGTTCGCCAAAGCTGGCAGAACCGAGACTCGAACGGACACCCTCATCACCAAGACACCACATCCACCCACGTCCAGGATGCGCCAAATGGCACTATTCATACTGCTGAGTCAGCCACCGAAACAGCGCTTCTACAAGATCGAGATCAAGATCACGTCGGAGCTGCAGATCCGGAGATTGAGCCGAACCTATTGAGCGTAACCGCAACTGAGACAGCTGAAGAGAGGGAAGCTCGAGAGCAGGCAGCAGAGGATGATGACCGGCAAAGGAAAGAAAGCATAGATGACACGGGCGATATCGTAGTTGAGGCAGATGAGGATACGGTCATTTACTAACCGACACGTCTCTCTTCCGCTTACGAGCCCAGATCGCATTTGATGGATTATCGCATGGCGCGACTGATCACCCCTTGACTGGACGCTCACAGACTTATCCACTCTTATCTTCACCTGGTATGCGCGGCCCGTAACGAGCACCTCTGGTCGATCTACTCGTGGGTTGCTCTCTACCTTTGCAGTATAAGCCGTGACGGCCAATCCTTCCACAATAGAGTCTACATGCTTCTGGTCATATCTGCTCCATGTCTATACTGGAAGACTGATTGACAACTCTGGAAGAGCTCTTCGATGACGATTGTCGTGGCCTTTTGTCTCAAACCGGATCTTCCGGTGACGGTGCTGTTTGTCTCTGATTTTCAAGCATCTCGACACGAGTTTATTCGTGTGCACCATCCATACCTACTTCGCTGCCGTTAGACATCCTGGCATAACGGAAATTTCATACTCGATGGTATTGTCTCACTCTGATACAGCTTCCAATCCTCGCCGACCACATGTCATGCACCAAATTTCCCCACGGTCCACCTGACTCGCTCAGCATGGCTGGATAATTGCAACTGCCAAATCCAATGCGTATTACGCGAGCCGAGCAGTAAGATGATCTTCAAAGGTGAACAGACATCAATATTGCAGATCTCCCGGTCAATCTTGGAGTAGGTGTTTCCAGATCTTTCGCAGCTCTATTTTGAGGCACTGGACGTGTATACGTGATTTCAGGATGGTCCACAAGGTACGAGCTTTCCAGAAGTTTTGTCTCAGTCTCAGGGAAGCTACGACGGTTATGCTCTCCCACGAGGGCTTCTTCGGTGCCGTTGAACCCTACTCGGCACCCCGAGGGTCCGCAACCGCGAATGAGCACTTCCTTCTGCCAACTATTCGCGGTCTACCAAGCTTGTCGCCTCTCCCGTATGGTCGTGACCAATGGCTAATTTCGGTGTGTTCAAATCCTTCAGCCCACTAGACATGGCAAATGTCGACGAGTGAGTATAGCGCCTTGGAGAACCAAAGTAACCCTCTGGAGACCACTCCATCCATGACTCGATGGTAGACATCACCTCGGGTCCATTGTATATAAGATATGGTCCTCTCGAGGTAAGTTGGCTTCTTATCATCCCATCTCTTCCACTCTCCTTCATACTTTCTCTTCGACTATACCAACTATCTTTCATCAACAAACAATAATATGCGTTCTGCTCTCATCGTCTCTGCCCTTGCCGGCGCTGCCCTCGCCGAGCATAGATCCTTGATCGGCCGTGATGGCACTTGCAAGTCGCAGCCTGCTGGCTCTGGTCCTGTTGCTTCTCCCGACACCATCGACGGCTTCTTCGCCATTCCCGAGCTCCAGACTCTGTCTGCCAACGCTCCCACTCCTGACGGCTACACTTCTGCTTTCACCAGCTTGAACGCTTCCCTCAACGCCAACAAGTACATGGGCCTCTGGACTCTTACCTCATACGACAGCATCGGCTGTGCATCTCTCTGCGACAAGACCACTGGCTGTGAGGCCTACAACATCTACAGCGAGCGCGACCCCACCCTCGACCCCAACCACACCAACTGCCCCAACCCTCAATCCCTCACCAACTACAAGTGCACCCTCTGGGGCGCCGGTGTCTCCTCCTCCCAAGCCAAGAACTTTGGCCAATGGCGCAACGAGTTCCAGGTCGTCATCACCGGCTCAAACGCCTACAACAAAGTCCCCGCTCCTGCCACCATCCCCGGCTACGATGGCCCTACCCAACTCGGCGGCGCCATCAACGCTCCTCTGGACGCCAACCGCCACGACACGTACATGGGTGTCCGCGTGCAGCCCTTTGACAACAGCACCGTCTACGACCCCAGTGTGTGCGCTTCAGCATGCACTTCGCAGACTGCCTACAACAAAGCCCACCCTGCACGCGACGGCAGCTTCCAAACCTGTCGTTTCTTCAACTCTTGGGTGCAGAGTAAGGATGGTGTTGCTTATGAGTTGCACTGTGGGCTTTACAACCAGACTTGGTCGCCTCAGTACGCTACCAACTATGGACAGTACCAGGGCAACAGCCGCATCACTGTTTCGAGATCGTACAGCTACACTCTTTCCGAGGTTTCTGCTTAGAGGGGGCCGGCAGGGGTTTGTGGTTTTTCGTTTCTTTGTTTGATCTCATTCATAGCGCAGCTTCTTTTTTATCATTGGTCGTGGTCGATGTAACTCAGTCGTTGACACGATGGTTCTGTATATATCTACAAAGTAATTATTGTATACCGTTTTTCTATCATACTTCAACTCTTCCGACTTCCGCCCTCTTGCTTGATCAAACAAATAGCTTGGTATGAGCTAGTGCTAACCCGACTACCCACCTTGCCTTGCGAATATCGTCAGAAGCGCGATCATGGGTTTCTTGGAAGGTACCTAGTAAAGATGTGAGGCTATGGGACGTGTCTCAAAACAGACACTCTGACGGCGACACTCGGTCTGAAATGATCAATGGAAGAAGTATGACAGTAGATACTGCAGAATGTACTCGACATTGGTCGAAATGGTATAGTGACCTTGGCTGCAAAATTCCTAAGATGGAGTTGTGAGATTTCTGGCGGCCTCAACGCTGGCTCGCCCCTTTTGTTACAACAGTTGTTCCTCGCTCGTACATTCCTCCCACACATACACGCTATTGTTACATCTAAGGAAATGGGATAGAAAATGGGCTCTCCTGAGCACCATGAACCCAAAGATCTTGCGCCATATCTCCAATGCTTTCTTGCTCTTTGTACACCTCTTCCAGCACCCCTTTTTGCAGAACATCTTTTACAAAATCTTTATTATACACCTGAGTCGGTTCCGAGGAAACGCAGAACAGCCTCGTACATGCCAAACATGATGGCAGCGCTGGGCACGACTCTGAGCATATGCGGCACAAGACCGCCATACAGAGCAGCCATACCCTCCTCCTTCCAGACCAGCTTGAAGCACTGGGCCAAGCCAGTGTATTTGAGTTGTGGTACGCCATCTATCGAAGTGGTGACAGGTGCTTGCCTCAGTCGTGTGCGAACGACCTCGTGAGGATATGTGATGAGTGCGGCGACAAACTTGGCACTTCCGGCGGCTGAAAGTTTGAGGGACCAAGAGATTGCTTCGTCCCAAGAAGTGCGTTGGCGGCCGGTGAGGGCTATGCGCTCTTCTCGTACGGCGATGTAACTCTTCATTTTTTCGTAGAGGACCCATTGTAATGTGCTTTCTGTTACGCCCAGGTAGCTTGCGCTCAATCCTCTGTATAGTCCACGGATGCCTTCTGAGCGTACGGTTTGCATTGTGCAGTCCAGGGCGTTCTTGTATTTTCTTCCGTCCAAGCCACTACCGGATTTCTCTGCTCTTGATTTGTCCAGTTGCAGTCGCGTCTTCACAAGCCAGATAGGGTTCGTGGCGGTTCCGGTGAGCATGCCTGATCCAGCGGCGGCTAGCAGATGTACCCAAGATGCTTCCTTGCCATCGTTGAAGTTTTGCGACAGGATTCTCTTTCCGTTTCCGTATGCGAAGAAGTTGATGGCTCGTGCTGGCACAACGCCGATGAGATTGGGTCCAAGACCCTTGAACAGAGCACGGTAGCCTTCAGTGCGAGGTATAGCGGTCAAGATCTGGAAGGTTTCTCGAATGTGGAGGGCTGCAGTTCGGGAGTAGGAGAGTTGCGACAAAGGCGGTACGCCTCGCGCGGCGCGGGCGGCGGTAAGTTGTGATTGGTAGAAGTCGGATTGTAAGCGGGTTTTGAGGACATCAAGCGGGCAGGTCAAAGTAGCAGCTGTCATTCCACCCAGACTGTGGCAATTGAATCAGCATGCTGTTCAGCAGTAATGGCGGCGGATGCAGACTGACCCTCCAGCAACAAAGTGGGCCCATGACTTTGCGACAGGTGGTGGTGAGGAGGCTAGCTTGGCTCCATTCCGTGCTTGTTGAGGAAATGCGTCTCCAATTTCTCGTGATTGAGGTATAGGGCTCGGATCGATGACAGCAGCTCGCGCGGCGGCGATGGACGGGTTGGCCGTCATGAACGAGAGTAGTGTGAGATGGGTGACGTCAAGTTTGAGTGGTTGTAGCACAGAGAGAGGGGAGTCAGGAGGGACCGAAGGCGCTGAGTGGGTTGGGTGGTGTTGACGACTCGGGATGGAATTGGTGCCTGGATGGAAAAATAATCGCATTTGGGCGGCGTTGATCGAGAACTCGGCATCATCGCACCTGACACCCGAAAACCACCAGGGTCCATCGAAGCTTATCAGATCCTCATCATCATTACCCATCGCTCTTTCCTTGCCTTCTGCAACACACGATCACCACACAATTCAACATGCAGTGTACAAGACGCCTACTAGCTCCGCCTGGCTTCTGGAAGCGGAGTTTACAGGAACTCTCGAGGCTGTCGAGCATTGGTCCGTCTCGCCGCACTTGACTCGACTCCCACAGCTAACATGGTCGCAACAAACAGCTCTCAAGGCCGAAGCAATCAACCGCCCCGACAAACCCTTCCCTCTAATCACTTTCGACAAACCAGACTCGCACGAAGTATGCAAAGTCATGTCCGACGAAGACATGGGCGGCTTCTCCACCGTCAACTTCGACTTTGTTCCCGCACAAGCACAAGATCCTCCGCACATCCGCTTCCACGGCACAATCTCGAACGAACTTCCCACCGACAGACCAAATATTCAAAGATCCGGCTATGCAGCTTGGCGTACAAGAGACATGGGTCGCAATCTATTCGGCAAAGGCCTCTGGGATCTCGATTCGTACGCCTACATTGCTCTCAAAGTCAAGAGTGACGCTCGCAAATATTTTGTCAATGTCCAGACAGAGTCGATCGTGCCCACGGATCTGCACCAACACCGTTTATATGCTCAAAAACCTGGCAGTTGGGAGACGGTCATTGTGCCTATTAGCGAGTTCGTCCGTACAAACCACGGTATGGTCGTCGAGCCTCAAAGCGATATGATGCGTCAAAAGGTTAGAAGCATTGGCATTGGCTTGATCGATCGTGTCCCTGGACCCTTTGATCTCTGCATTGCCGACATCTATGCTACCAACAATGCTGGCGGCAAGGACTTCAACAAGAAGCCTGCTATAGATGATCAGGATTTGGAGAGCGATGGTCTGTTGGTCAAGAAATAGTATATAATCCCATTTTTGGCATGCGATGGCGTTCAGCAGAAGTTTCATGAGCAAGCATTCCTTTGTACATAATCCACGAACAAAGACTACATACAAGTCCGTTGTGTATTTGAAGGCCTCCCTCGATCAAGAAGAACATCAGAATACTCAACAACGATCGAGTCAAAAGTATTTCACGTGAAAGAAGCCCAAAAGATCCAGCCCCCAGCCCGGGCAGCAGCGACTCTGCCCCAGCGCACAGACCACCACCAAGGGCAAGGCAACTCTCTACTCCGCAAAAGCGATAGCCAGCTGTACTCTACCGCCGCAACATCTCCTGTCCGCTTGTCGCATTTCCACTCCATTGCCTACCTTGCTCTTCTCTCACACCGACTCTCCGACTTTCAATCCACATCTCACTCACACACACAACAAAAGCAACAATGTCGTCAAGCCAAATGCAAGAGATTTTGGAGATGCCCCGCGAGTTTGTCAAGGACGGCACTCAGTTCATCAACCGCTGCACGTATGTCAATCCTTCTCCTACCCTCTGTCCTGTTTCTCTCCCTTGTCGCCTCTCCTACTCGGCCTATTCTTTACATCCATGCTAACTATGTTTTGTGGAACAGTAAGCCCGACAAGCGCGAATTCCTCAAGATCGGCCAGGCCGTCGGCGTCGGTTTCCTCGTTATGGGCGTTATTGGTTACATTGTCAAGCTGAGTACGTACTACAACACTCCTCCATTTGTTCAGGAAAGAAAGAGCGAGAGCAGGGAGAACAAGGGCTGATTCGACGATACAGTCCACATCCCCGTCAACAACATTCTCGTCGGTGGCGCATAAATGTACTTGCAGCCATACCACATCCTCCGATATACCCCTTCTCGAAAACACCACACAAAAACAGTTCGATATCTCTTCGCGACATCCCTCACCGAGTACCTCTTCTTGAGACATACCCGCCTCCAGCGTTTTCCGATTGTACAATTTCCACCTTTCTACTCAAAAGAAAAGAGCGAAGGAATCTCAGGGCGTTAAAAGAGAACAGAAAGGGCATCTTCTTGCAATTATACCTTTTGATACCATCCAATTCGCAAATACAAAAACACGTCAAAAACACGGATTTGTGTACTCTTTGAAAGGAGGACTCCGTGAATTTTAGACTCGCTGCACTCAAAGAAGAAAGAATGCATTCACGTTCCGGAAAGCTGGCATTGAAGCAGAAGCAATGTTCCGTCGTATATACAGCGTCGCTCTTCTGCAGCACTTTGAGCAAATGAGAGAAGAACGAAAAGGAGTGTCCCCAAACTGAATCCCTAACCATATATAGCCAGCACTTCGGAGCACCAGAAAAAGACCCTACTACTTGCCCGTGCGTGACAAGAAAAGTTTACACATCCGGCGCAATGAGGCATCACAATCCTCGTCAGAAGAAGCCTACTCTTCCTCTTCTTCGTTTCGAGCCATCTGTGCCCTGGTGACAAACCTCGACCGGCGTGAAGATGTGCTTCGGCCGGTGGTAGCAGTGTTCTCGTAGTATCGGCTGTCTTGCTCAAGTTGTGGATTGAGTCGTGCTCCCATCTTGGGCTCGCCCTCGTCTGAGGTGTTGCCGTCGTTCCAGCTGTGAACTGTACATGTTCCTAAACCGTGGTCCCATCCGTTCCATGACGTTGCTGCGATTTCGAAATTAGTGGTTGATCAAAAGTTTGTCAGAGGACTCGACTTACCAGCGACAACTGGTGCAGTGGGATGCCAACTCGCGTCTCGAACAATGGTGCTCCATTGGCTGCGTCCACCACCGTGCTCCCAGCGATCCACGTATCTCTCATCTCGTTCGGGTCGTGAGTTCCTCGTTGCTTCCAGCACATCGATCTTGCCTGCTAATGTGGCATCCATGTTCCAGATGTAGACCGAGCCGTCGTGACTTCCACTGTACACGTATCGACCGTCTGTGCTGCCTGGTGGTGAGAAGTGGCATCTGATGAGCGTCTTGAGTACCTTGTGGCCGCGGAAAGTGACCAGACTGCAGTCGTGAGGATGAGCTTCGTACTCTTCTTCATCATAAGGTGCAAATCGATAGTCGAAGCCCGTCGTGTGCTCTTCTGGATCGATCTTGTCGAATCTCTCGGTCGACATCATCATACGCAAGTCCCATAGCTTCATTGTCTGGTCCTTGGCATTGCTGAGCACATATCTGCCATCACCCTTGCTATCAATGTATGTGATACCCTCGGTATGGCCAACAAAGGCACCAGCTTCACGACCGTCACCCATTGATCGTCGATCCCAGACCTTTAATGTGGTATCGTCTGATCCAGAGTAAAGAATATGTGGCGAGCTTTTGTCGCCGTAGCAGACGGCATTGACGTCGTCTCTGTGGCCATGGATTCTGAGTATAGATTGCCGAGTTTCAATGTCATACACGTAGACACTTGAGTCTGAAGTGCCGGCAACGATTTCACGTCCATCGCCAGAGTAGCGCAGAGACCAGATACCAAAGTGGCCCCAGCCACGTCCAGTTCTTCTGGCCTGTCCCATATCGGCAAAGTCGAGCACTGTAGGGTCCATGGTGTTGTCGGGATCTGTAGGAGACAGACATACGGCGCTTCTGATAGAACTATAAGCGAGGAATCTGTTGTCCGGACTCAGAGTCGCATCGGTAATAGTCCATTGACCGCCATAATAGTGCGCCGTCTTATAGTACTTCCATCTGTATGGGTTCGAAGTATCATACATGCGAACCTTGAAGTCCTGCGCGCACGAGAAGAAGAAGTTGCCATCGTCGGAAAACTGGCCAGAATAACATCGGTGGTTGTAATTGATGATGCTGTCGGCCTGTGTTGAGGGTATCATGGTCTGGGATATGAGCTTGTTGGCACTCTTCTGAGCACCGTAGCCACCCACTCCAAGCTCACGCATCATGTTCCGATATGCGAGCTTCCTCTTACGTCCAAATGTTCCTCGTGGACGCTCGGTAGTGCCAAATGTACCAGATTCCATTAGCTTCTTGCCCGCCTCGCTGGGGACTTTGGGATACCCAGAGCCTTCTCTTTTAGGCCGTCTAGTCCTTCTGCCCATGGCGCGCCAGCCAAGGTAGGAGTCGTCCTCGTAGTCGTCGTCATCGTCGTCGTCGGCAACAAGACCACCTCCTCGTTGCTGACCAACGACGTTCGCAAAAAGTCCTCGTAGGCCAGTGTTTCCGATGAGTTGTAGAATCTGCTGTTGTGTGACTACAAGCCATCAGCCGGTGTGTACCTCGTATGGGCCTCAGATTGCCACTCACGATGGATGGTTTGCCTCGCAGGCTGTGGTCGTGCCGTCTCTGCCTGTGATGACTCCTCCTCATTCTCGTTAGATGTTGATTCAGCGCCTGCCGTTGTTTCTCTGCCTTCGTCGTCGTCGTCGTCGGTCGTCTCGAAGTCTATCAGGACGGGTCCGAGTCCCTCGTCGGCGTCTGTTCAATATATGTTAGCTTTTGCCACAACTTTCAACCCTTTGTATTGTACGAATGTATTACCATAGAACTCGGTCTCCTCTATGTCTTCCGATCCAGGAAAGTAAATTTCATCTCCCGTTGCGTATTCGGTGCCATCTTCGTCCTCGAAATCCATGTCGTCATCGTCCTCCCATTCATCGTCTGCTGCTGGTGCATAGATCGGGCTTTGTTGTGAGGCAGAGGATTCTGATTGGCCACGAGGAGGAGAGCTCATCTTGTCCGTGATCGTCTTATGTTGGTGAACAAGCGAAGGTGGTACTGGAAGGCCAGGACTCGAGCCGGACTATCAAGAGCCTCGGAGTGGAGCACAGAAGCTTATTTGTGGAGATAGTGCGTAATCTCCGTTGGCCTCATGTGGTGATGTGAATAGAATTATAGAAATGGTGTGATGGACTCGGAGAATGAACGGATTCGAGATCGTCAGTCTCTCAAGAATGAGAACTCTATAGAACCGACGAAGCAGAGCTGATGGTGTGGGAGAGGCACATCTAGAGACGACGACTGAGAAGGCAGGAGCCATTCACCTCCGGTTGGCCGACATCCGGAGATAACAACCAGTAACGCTCTCTTCAACATCAACTCGATAAGATGAAATAGTTATCTTCCACGGCATGTTCAAATTCACCCCTTATGTTAATGCTATATTTCGAGTTCTTAATCATGACATACAGACCCAAAGATTGTGGCTTCTATGTTCGACCTTCCATAACTGTTCGATGGAGATGCTGAGTCAGATATCATAAAATACTCGTAGGATGGGGACTGGCAGTATGGTCGTAAAGCAACGACCTTATAATAGCTCACCGTGATGTATGAATCATTCTTCATCCCTTCGAGCGACTACATGTCCATTGTTACAACGGGCAAGTGATATTCAACATCGAGAGTCCAGGAACAGGGTGATCCCAGAAGCAAAACTTTATTGGAAGAAAAAGAAGAAGATTGACACAGCACGCAGCGCGCAGCAAGCAATGCACAAGACGCAACACTGCTCAGAGTATGCGATTTCTCTTCATTTCCTAATTTTTCTCTGCGTATACCAAATGAACGCGATCGCTATGAGGTGAACTAGTCTCGCTTGCTTGCAAGAACGCCCAGGAGAACCAATGGAATGTATCGTGAGCAAGCCTGAACAACCGAAGGGAAAGTGGTAACAACATAGGAGCAGAACTCAACCTTCTTCACTTCGCTTCTTTTTGCGCAGCAGCAGCCTTCTTCTTTCTGACCGCGTCTTTCAGCGTCGACAGCCTCTCTTCAGTAACCCTAATCGCATCTTCCACTTGCTTTTCTTCCAACTCGTGGTTGCGTAGTCTGCGGCCCATCTTCTTGATACCAAGCACTTTCTGTCTGTCGTTCTCTTGTGCAGCACCGCCAATAGGCAGGCCGTTGCTCAAACCAACACGATCTTCAAGCCAGTCCCAGAGTTCGCTTTCTTCTCTGCGCCAGAGCTCTTCGTATGCGGCAAGTCGTCCGGGCGAGTCAATGGAGAAGCCGACGCCTGTGGACCGGTTGCGGGAAGGGAATAGCCAAGTCCAAGCCAGTAGCAGAGCTAGGATCGTGATGATGATCTGTGCAGAGAACAGTGGCTGAAGGATGCTGACGATGGGTTCGAGCGGTCCACGCACAGGCTCGAACAATCCCCAATTTGCTTCCTCCGGCACCTTCTTGGCTGCGACTGCAACATGTTCGCTTTCAGCTGGTGTACCGGCATCAGTCCTGCGTCTTCCCTTGCCCTTGCCACGTGGAGCACCCTTCGTAGTGACTTTGGCAGCTACACCGGCAGTGATAGCAGCGACCAAGTCTTTGACGTATTGTGTCTGACCATCGTTCGCACCTTTCTCAATGGGCCCCTTCAACCAACTCTTACCGGTCCACTCGACTGTGCAGTTGGCAATCAATCTGGTCGAATTGTTGGGACCCCACATCATGCAGTATCTGGTCTTTGTCGTAAAGACACCTCCGCTGGGTACATCGGGAGTTGCAGTGCTGCAGTTGACGCTGACACACTTCTCGAGATCGAAATTCTCTACAGTGGCAGTGACGATACACTTTGTTTGTCTTGGTCCAACGGGTGCGTTGAGGGGCTTGATGTAAGAGTAGGTGAAGGTTCGGTGGGTATCGTCTAGTCCACCCTTCTCGTTCTCAAAGACAAGCTCACGAGATTTCTGGTCGTCGACCAGCCATTTCTTCATGAATGTACCCGATGCTGGTCCCCACACCAGAGAGTAAACCTTGCCTAAAGGAGCTGGTATTGTGACATCGGTCAGTGGCCTGTCGTAGTGGCTGCCGTCATCTCCGCACTCAGTAGGAGCATGTGTAGCTGGTCCTGGGAAGTCGGTAGAAGCAGCTGCGCCAGGAGCAATCGCTTCAATGACCTCTGCACCTTTCGTGGGTCCATTGGCAGACGGAACACCAGCTGTGACAGGGACAGCAGAAGTTTTCCGGCTCACAGCCTGATCACCGATCTCGCTACCAGCGATACTGCCACCAGGCTCGTAGAAGCTACCATCATCGTGTTCTTCGTCTTCATCGTATACATCATCCTCAGTCCCTTCGTTAGAGCTATCCCTGTCGGACGCAACTGATTCAGCACGCTCGGTCTTATCGCCGGTGCTGGCATCATCTATTGCGACACCGTGAAGAGAGCTCTTCAAGTTGGGATGACTGATTTTCCAGATGCCAATGAGAAGATCGTAGGTGGAGTCTCTGGCCACTAAACTGGCAAATACGTTGCGAGCATGTAGAGTTTGGATGACGATTGCGTTGGGGAAGATCACGGCGGTGTTCTTCTTCTCAACTGACACGACTTCATCGAAGCCGATGACCAAATTGGTCACCCAGCCGAGAATGTTGCTGGAGAAACAGATGTGGCCTTCTGAGATGTAAAGTCTGCCATGGAGAAGAATGTCACGCTGTAAAGCTGCACTATAGTCCTCGATCAAGTAGTCATCCTCTGGCACGCTCCGAAACAGCTGATGAAAGTCTTTGTTGCGCTTGCTGCTGGCCACGGCGAATCCAGTAGTACGATGTCCTTGACCAAGCGCACCAGGAACCAAAGTGGCGCTACTGGCAGAAACAGCAGCAGCAAGAGTGCCACCAGTAGCGGCTGAGCTGCCACGGTGTCTTCTGCGGCCGCTGAGCTTACTTCTTACGGAGCTGGAACGCTTGACGGTGTCAAAGGTGCCCGAGGTTCTAGGAGGTGTCTGAAAGCCTGCATCCGAGCCATCGCCAGAGACTACGGAGAGAGGCCTTGCACCTGTTGCCTGGCTTACTGCCTTCTCTACAGGCTTCTCGTAAGCAGCAGTGACAGCGCGATTTGCGGCACTCTCTTCTTGTCTCTGGCCAATGGAATTCGACTGCGAAAGGTTGGGCGAAGCACCCGAGAGATCCACGTTGGAGTTCATTGGGCTGACGTCGGAGCTTTCGGCACTGATACCAAGTTGATCTAGACTGAGGTCACCTCTACCGAGAGTTGCGACGGCCAGTTGACGTTTTGTGCCTGGCTCAAGCTCTGGCGAGCTGATAGTCTCAACACCAGGTATCACTTGTTCGCCGCCTGCGGCGTCTGCTTGATCTGCTAGCGGTGGCTTGTTCTTTTGATTCGTCGCGATTGACGGGTTCAGACTGGTACTGAGCTGATTGGCAGCGTTCTGGGCCGCGCTGAAGACAGATGAGAAGAAACCAGATGATGTGACTGGAGTAGTGATTGTGCCTCCAGGCGTTTTTGCTTCTTCAATATGAGGAGTCAATGGAGAAGCGGCGAGCTTGCTCGAGGTGAATGTTCCAGCTCTTTTACGTCTCTGAGCAGCAGCGTTCACGTGTGAGGGAGGAGCGTTGATGGCGGAGTTGAGTGAGGAGGCAGAAGCATTTGAGAAATGGGTTTGGGGCTCGGTTGGTGTCGGGGGTGTCACGAAAGTCGTGGGAGGGTCGACAGTGTTGGGAGGTGTAGAAGGCACGGTGGTGATGATTGTAGGCTTGCGCGGCAGCGACTGAGGAGTTGTGGGACGTGGAGAAGACACCGTGGGGTCCTTGTGTTCGAGATCGAGATCTGGGAAGGCGTCATGCGTTTCTGTAGGTATGTCGGACACAGGCTTCTTTTTGGGCAAGGTGAAAGCGCCTTTAAATCTATCAACAGGCGATGTTTTCTGTCGATCGGTGTTGGCAGAGGATGATACAGAGTAAGCGGACTTGTCGGGAGATGCGGGGCCAGCCAGTGGTGCTTCGAGATTGGGAATGTCGTCAGGCAAGGGGTTACTAGTGGCAGCAGCGTTGATGAGTGGTGAGGAGAGGGTCAAGTAGCCGGTGTGAGACTGGTGAGGAGAGAGGGTTGGTCTGACAGGACTGATACAAGGCAGAGCAGTCAGCAAACGAAGGATTGAAGGCCTTTTGTAGGCTAGCGATATGGGGGGACGAATATGAGCGCAGCCCGTATCGTTGCGTATTGAGTACGTGTGGTACGCAGAGGGATAGAGTCGGGACCACCAGGGTCCTGGTCGATGGGTGATTGCGATTGCTCCGAGACGAGTAATGGGCTCATGTTGCGATCGGCGTTACGACGACACACGGCGCTCGGACACTTGGCGCATACATAGCCCTCGTCTTGAATGGGGTCACGACAATTGGAAAGGTGGACTTACACTTGGTCGTCCTCGTCCTCGGTCAGTAGACTGCTATGCCCACTGCCTTGGTTCCCAAGAGAAAGCTCGCTGGGATTGGGAGATGTGCCCCGTTGACGTTCCGAGATCAGGTCGCCTGATGGTGATGCCGAGAGGAGGTCGCCGTCTTGGGTGCTGCTCTTGCGACGCGACTTCTTGGTCGAGGGCAAGAGGCCACGCAGACCTTTGGACGAGTCGTCGCTGTTCCGGCGGAGGTCTTGCGACTTGCGGGCTCGTCGTTCCTTGACCTTTGCAAAGACGTTGTCAATCGACGGCTTGAGGCCCGACGAGTGGTCATCCATCGGTGCACTCCCTATCGAACTGTTGGAGTCGTTACGGTCTGCGTCCTTGCGGCCTCGCCGGAGGTGCAGCGACAGATTGCGACGAGGGACATCGGTGGACGCCATAGCTTGTTTGGGGCCAAAGTCTATCGTGTTTGGTCCGGCATGCCGGCGCCAAGGGTTGGTAGTAGGTAGCTTGTCGAGGGTTCGTGAAGGCTGAGCTGCTGGATACGCAGATAGTAGGTGAAGAGGTGAGGCGTAGCTCGAGAGGCAAGTGGTCTTGAGCGGAAGCAGGTGAAACAGTGGAGATGGCTAGGTGGAGTATGTATACAGCCGGCTATGAGACTATATTGCTCTCCAGATGCCGCATCGTCCTTGAATCAAGAAATTGCGGGGAAGTGTTTCAATGACGTTGTCGCTGTCACATGCCGCCCGTTTTCTGTTATTGCGGCTCAGCCAAGTTAATTACTAGGTATCTTATCCATCCTCGAGGCCATCGATGCTGCAGATCAGGCACCATGGAGGAGGCTCCTTTGACTTTGGTACGGGAGCCCCAAGAAATAATCGCCATCTCTTGCTGACATCGGGCAGGCGCATTCGCACGCGCGCAAAGCAGCTGCCGAAACATCAAAGTCACATCTTGCTGTCGCTGCTACCGAACACCTCGCCGCCGCTGAGCAATACGCCAAAGCCCAACCTTCGACATCCGATCCAGAGGCCGCACGTATCCTGAAGCTCTTGGAAGAGCACCACCGTCAGCTCGCCAAGATCATTCGCTCGAAACACACCATCGCAAAAGCCGTACAAGATGCACAACTAGTCGAATCCTCTGAGCCTGACGCCTCAGCATCCACCGCCTCATCCCCTGCCGTCCCTTCAACCCTACTTCCGCCGCCCACCGCTCGTATACACCCGTCGCGGCGTGAATCCTCACCCGCCCTTGCAAAAGAAATAGCCACCCGCAGAGGCATACCACAACAGCCATCTTCGCTCAATCCTCGCAAACTAGCCCCTTCGACCAGCCCATCTACTCCTTCCGTCGACCGCCGTGCTCCTCCGTCTACCACCAGCTCCACTACCTCAGCCCAGCCAAGAGACCAAGACGATGGCTTCTCCCGCTTCTACTCCAATTGGACCACTGGTCCCCTCTCTCGCCTGTCGTCCATGCTTGCTTTCACCGCCCTTCCTCTAACAGATACACCCGAGCCCGACTCACCCACCTCGTCCCACCATCAGAAGACAAGCGCTCGAGCCTCGAACGATCCCGATGTCAAGTCTCTCATCTCGCCTGCCGCCTTGCACGCTTTGCAACAACATGGTCACATTGGTCCCGGAGAGAGCTTTTACGTTATACCTACGAGCGGTGGCACTGCTTCCTATGCAAACATCGTCACACGTGAGCAGCGTATTACTCGTCGCCATCACCTCCCCAACATCAGCGAGGATGATCCCACCGAATTTGTCGATGCACAAGAGACACAGCCTGCAAAACAGCCAAATCGCGGCTTAATCTCTGAACGAGAGGAAGAACTACAACTTCAGAACGACACGCTCAAGCAGGCTCTTGACCAAGTGAGCCACCGATTGCAGGCATTCGAGTCGCATGCTCAGGATGCTTCGATGGCTGCTTTGACACACAGTGTGGCAAGCGTGCGGACAGCCCACTCTGCTGCTCCTTCCAACACATCGAGACAGTCAGATGACGAGCTGCAGGCTGCTCTGAAAGAGATAAAGAGACTTGAGCATGATAATGCCAAGTATCGGGCATACTACACCAAGCTGAAGGACAGTGCAAAAGCGAGGAGAGCCGAGCCCAAGAGCTGAGGTCAACCGCGAGCATCCTCTTTTTTGTTCCCCGATGATACCCTCTCTCCCTTTTTTCTAGATACCCTTTTATAACAATGTAATCATATGACTTTTGAGCTCCCTAGACCAAGTGACCACCTTTTCGTAGAGGTAGAAGTTCACAATAACTCTCAGATAGTCTACTCGCGGAAGGAGCGTTATGTTAGGGTATCTCTATGGACATCATTCACGATCAAGGGCTGTCGTCTTCCTGTTGCTTCTTCCTTCCTCTCCGTATCATATCACCCATACTCACTGGTGGCCTTCTCTTCTCCTCTCTAGTCCGATATGGCAACAATCTCGACTCACGCAACTCCTTTTCCAAACAAGCTCCCAACCTCTCCAAGATCCACTCAGTCTCTGACTTATTCCCCATCAACGGGCTGGCTCTACTCAACCAAGACCACCTATGATCAACATGTTTCCTCTTCCACTCTTCCCTTGTCTCCGGCAATCTCAACTCCTCAGGCACGATTTTCTCGCCGTTGATATCGTAGGCATCAGCGTCATTTGCCATGAGCTTGAGGAAATACTCCCATTCGCCCCATTCGTAGCGTTTGGGTGGTGAAGCGTTTAGGTCTTTCATCATTCGCTGGGTTTCGCGTGCGAGCAGGAAATTGTAGAAGTGGATGTCGCGTTCGAGGGTTTCGCCGTGTTGTTCTGCGGCCAAGGCGTCTTCGAGTTCTTCGGCTTCCAGGTGCTTGGCCATGCGGTCGGCTATGCGGTCTGTCATGGACATGTGTTGGGCGGCTGAGTCGTCGGCGTTGGCGCCTTCGGTTTGGCTTACGCCGCCTGGATGCGCATCGTGGTGTTTGTGGTGGGAAGGGTGGGTTGCGGTGAGGGAATCCCAGGCATTTCTCATGGCAGATCTAATGCCTTGTTCGGAAGGGAGGACGGTGAGGGAACCAATCCAGACTGTGAAGTTGGAGAAGAGTTGGACTACTGTGTCGCCCATGTCTGAGATCAGGATCGTGAGGGTGGGTACGGCTAGAAGAGACCACAGGACGAAGAAGGCTTTACTAGAGTTCGATGTTGGTGTAAAATCTCCATAGCCGATCTGGGAGTAGAAGTGTCAGCGAGGTCCGAGTCTTGTGGCCCTGTAGCATCAACTTACCGTGAGCAGACAAGTATAGGTAAAGTACATCGTCTGGAAGTAAGTCCAATGTTGCTCTCTCTCCGCAACATGGAAGATGGCAGAGCCAGCAAGCCAAAGCACAAACGCAGCCGTCGTAGAAACAGCCAAGGCAACCCATTTGCGATCTCTCTCAGCACATTCCTGCACTCTTCTCATCGCCTTGAACTCTTGCTCTCGTCTCTGAGCAGCATGCGTGTAACTCTCAACAAATTTTATCGTTTGGAATCGGCTTATGCGCATGCGTTGTTTGCCATTGCCAACGCTATTGACGGCTCGAAGTCGCTTTTTCTCCATCATCCTGGCGGATATCTTCTTTTGTCCTCGTTCTAGAACTAGACTGCGGATGGAGCCGACGACGAGACCGAGGATGACGATGCCACCGATGGCGTAGGGAAAGAACAAAGATCGGGCGGTGTGTTTGGTCGGCCTAAGGATCATGTGTCAGCTTCTACTCGTTTTGAAGTGTCGAAACACACCAATGAAACGTACGAATAGTCACCGAGGCCGACTGTGAGTAGCGTCACATCTGCCCAGTACACGGCATCCAGATATTCCCACTCTTCAATGTGACTGAACACCAGAGCACCGAGTAGGAGATAAGTAAAGAAGCTCATGGTCTGCAGCATCAAAGTCCGCTGAGATGTAGTCAGGTTGAATTGTCTCGCGTAGTGTCCCTTCCAAGCACCGTACACGGTCAGGCACATGAGAAGGGCGATGATCAGATAGATGCCAGCAGCCATGATGGCGTAGTAGAATGCCGAGGTCAAGGCATGGTGAGCAGCAGTGTAAGCAGGAGAGCTCGAGGGAAGTTGATAATTATGCGAGATGGACAAAGCAATGATATCCGCGATCAAGAGTCCTGAGGAGACGGTGAAGCCAACAATGGTAATTGGTTGCGCTATTGAGAACCGCAGACGATGAGCCATGTTGAGTAGTAACGATCCGTTTGCGATCAGAGCAAGAGCCAGAGAGATAGCGTTGATCGCAAGTAGCCTGTCAAGTTCTTGTCAGAACATGGTCTCGCCTTCGAATGTAGATATATTGCGAATCACCATTTCGGGTCGTCGATGGTTGTTCCATTATTGACGGTACCTCCAGGTGGTATGTAAACTCTCCAACTGGAAGATAAGGCACATATGGAGAAGGCCGAGGCCATGGGTCCAAATGTACCTGCGATCAAAGGACATGCCGTCGACTCGAACCAATAGCGACTGCAGTGTATGTGTCAGCACAAGCATGAGCTGTAATCAAACCTTCATGATATTACTTTGGATTCGTATAGTCGCGATCTTCAAGATCCCCAGAATCTCTTCTCCCTGCATGTTGACCCTTGTCGTCAGGAGATGGTGAATCGAGTTCTTCCGCCGCCTGCTTGATAGGCTCGTCGATGGGGTCGCTCATCCTCTCGTAGGGCTGAAAGTATATTGATAATATGCCTCTGCAGACATGCCCCGAAACAATGGCTTCGATAGGTTCATAATAAAACGAAGCCTATGGATTATGGGGACTGTCAGTAGGTTATCTAGGAAATGTTGATTCAAGAGGACGGCTCAAAAGTATGATCTAAAGGCAAGCCACTTTCGTAGTGTTGGTCAAGCTTCTGCCAAGGTAAGTAGACACATGGTCACAGCGTGGAGTCTCCACTCGTGGCGGTGCAACAACCTGGAGAGGGTATCGCAAGTTTTATTTCGGTAGTTCGAGTACGGATGATATCCGTATATCATATAAGCAATTGTGAGACCATTCGCCTGTTTGGCAGTCTGGCTCGCACTTGAAGTATAGCTATGAAGAGAATAATGAACGGTCAACTCCAGCTCCAACTCCGACTGCAAGAGCATTGTGCATTCTTTGGATACCTATTTTATAAGTCGTAAGTATATCAACACAGCAGAGCATAGCTGCCGACCGTTGGCCAGCTCTTCCGACTCAGCGGGCTTCAGCATATCTTTGTTAGCACTTACCTGGTTAGATCGATGGAGCAGGGACTCCATGAAGGCTACAGGATGTCAACCAAGACCATCCCATCTGGCATAACAAGGGCCGTGCACTACGCTAGTGTATTGGAGAGTTCAATACATCTGGCGCGTCAGTCTTCGGGTGGTCTCAAGATTTTCACACTCAACTTCATATCCTGACCTCAACTCCTCTTGGAACTCATGGAGTGCATAGTCTACAAGGGGAACATATGAAGCCACTTAAGTCGTATGGTCCTGGTATGCATCACACCCAGGCTCGATGAACAACGACATGTGGAGGTGGCAGTACCCAATCAAAGATGTTTGGTGACGACTACCGCTCGCTCGCAAAATTGGTATGCCGGATCCTGGCACCATCTACTGTGGCCCTCAGCAGAGCAAATAGTAGACGACGGTTTGTGGGATGGTCGACCGGCTTTGCTCTACCTTCCTCCAATCCGACCGCAATGTAGGAACCGGATGCAGTTCTGGACTGTCCTCAGTCTGGGTCTCGAACGTCTAGCCGTGCCGACTTTCATCATCCCCACAGGTAGGTGCTCATACGGTGTCTCCTTTGATCGCTTTACACCCTACTGGATGGTAGAGAAATGTGCCGCTGCACCGAGACGCTGTCCGAGCATCATCCCTGGGAGCCGGAGGCAGAGCTTCAACCATACTGGAGAGCATTGGGCTTGCCCTGAATTTGGTAAGGTCAGAGTTGTGCAACAAGGTACGGGGCAAGCTCATGCGTGCATCTTCTTCTAATCCTTGCTCTTTCTCTGCTGCCGTAGTGTCTTCAGCCTTGTCTTTCGGAGCAGCTTGTCAAAAAGCAGACTGCATCTCGGCTTCTGCATCTTTGGCTGGGCGATACACACCAGAATACCTCAAAACGCCAGTCAGCAATCGGACATGTGTCTTTAGATGGAAAGCAAACACGACTTTTCTTCTTACCTTCTCTCTACACCAACAATTTACCGGGGCACTGGAAAATCGGACGGAGCAGTTGCTTATGACAATCGCATAAATCAGCTCTGTTTGTTTGAGAAGCTGCCGCTCGCGTCACTTCCACACTTTTGTCCGAGCGTTCTTTCTTCAAAGCGCCGCGCTCTTTCCTCAGCAAACACCACTTCTCGCACTCTTAAAGCGGTGTCTTTTGCTTCCTTCTAACAATTCATCCTTCCTTCGTCACATATTGAGACAGCTCTTCAGAAGCAGTGTAAGTACCATCCATCCCTCTCTCTTCCTCTCTTCCATCTACACTCCACCATCTATCAACACACCTGCCTTCCTTGCCTCCGACGCGCCTCATCATCACTGCGTCTCGATCACATCTGACCCACTTTCCACCCACAGCTTGACACCGGGTTTCCTCTAACTCACCCTTCCGCCCTCATCACTTTGCAAACTTGTCTTCGCATACTTGTAAGTGTTTCTTCCTCACTACGACTGTTCCTCTGCATCAACATTTCACCCCTTGTCCCTCTCTCCGTTTCCTCCCACCCCACTCAATCTCACATCTTCATCATCACCCGCCTTCTCTGGCGCCTCGATCTATAGATTATCAGGAGTTGTCCACTCACTGTGCACACCTCAACGATCTCTGATCCTCATTCACTTCCAACTCCTTTGACTGTCTTTCTTCATCTTCATCACTACCTTCCCCTGCCCACGCCTTTCTTCCTCATCAGCCTTTTCCATCAACACCATCAAGGCCCTTCTTCTTCTTGTTCTTCTTGTTCTTCTTCGTCATCACCTCTCTTGGTCATCAACTTCCGTCACCCCACTTCTTCCAACTCGGCTCACCCGTAAAGCGCGTTGCTAATTACTTCACCGACATCAGATCGCTACGCCTCAACAATATGTCTGAGGCTGGTTTCCAGGAGGCTCCTGCCGAGGGCTTTGCCCACGGCACCGCCACTTCCGGTGTTGTTACTAACCCTGAAGATCTCGCTGCCGCTCGCGCTCACGGCTGGATGGAGGATGAGAAGCTAGACTATGACACTTTCAACGCTCCTACTTCCGAGATCAATCCTACTTGGGCCAGTTCTGCCAAGGTCTATGAATGGGAGGGTGATGAAGGTGACGTTGGTCCCCCCGATGCTGAGCTCGAGGAGCAGCTGTTCCGCGGCGATGACCACACCAAGGCTGGATCTTCGCTTGAGGACATGATGGACTTCGAGGCCAAGGTCGAAGGACCCAAGCATTTCGCTCCGATTACTCAGGTCAGTCTTTCACTCTCCTGATCCAAAGAAACATGATGCTGATGCTTTACAGTTCGAAGATGCTGGTCTTCATCCTCAGGTCCTGGCCAATGTCAAGATGTGTAACTACGAAAGCACCACGGCCATTCAGGCCTACTGCATCCCTATCATCCAGGCCGGTCACGACCTCGTCGCCGTCGCCCAGACTGGATCTGGCAAGACTGCTGCTTATCTCATCCCCATCATCTCCAAGCTAATGGGCAAGGTACGCAAGCTCCAAGGTCCTCGTCCCGCCAACAACAACGGTAGACCTGTCCGTGCCGAGCCTCTGGTTGTCATCGTCGTGCCTACCCGTGAGTTGGCTCAGCAGATCTTCGATGAAGCCCGCCGCCTATGCTACCGCTCGATGCTCCGCCCAGTTTGCTCTTACGGTGGCATCCCTATTGGCGTCAACCTTCAGGAGCTCGGCAAGGGCTGCGATCTGTTGATCGGTACTCCTGGCCGTCTTCAGGATCTGATGAACAAGCCTGATGTTCTCACCATGAGACGTGTCAAGTTCACTGTTATTGACGAAGCCGACGAAATGCTCAGCGGTGACTGGGATGATGAAATGGCTAAGCTTATGGGAGGCGGTGGTAAGTCTTGTCCATGTCGTCGCTTCCTACACGTTCGAATACTAACAAGTTTCTAGATGCCAACGAAGATCCCGATCACGCCTATCTCATGTTCTCTGCTACCTTCCCCAAGGAGGCTCGCAAGGTTGCTCGTGACTACATGGCTGAGGACTTCGTCCGCGTCCGTATCGGCCGTGCTGGCTCGACCCACAGAAACGTCACTCAGGATATTATCTTCGTCGAGCGCAACCAGAAGAAGCAGGCCCTTTACGACCTTCTCATGTCGAGACCTGCTTGCCGCACCCTTGTCTTCTGCAACAGCAAGCCTGCTGTTGAGGAACTTGATGACTACCTTTACAACCGCCAGATTCCTACTATCTTTCTGCACGGCGACCGGTCACAGCTCGAGCGCCAAGACGCCATGCGTCGTTTCAAGGGCAAGCAGCCTCTCGTGCTGATTGCCACTAACATCTTCGGTCGTGGCATTGACGTTCCTCAGGTCAACCACGTTGTCTGCTACGATCTTCCTGGCGTCGAGTACGGCGGCATCTCTGAGTACATCCATCGTATTGGACGCACCGGTCGCATCGGCCACAAGGGTCACGCTACCTCATTCTACAACGAGAAGAACGAGGATCTGGCTCCGTTCCTGGTCAACATCCTTCTCGAGACTGGCCAGACTGTTCCCGACTTCCTCGAGACCTTCAAGCCTGAGGCTGGCGTTGCTGAGTTCGAGGGTGATTTGACTGATGATGAAGTTGAGGCTGAGCCAGGCTACATGACTGCCCCTGGCGCCAACCCCTTCGCTGAGCCTCCTACCACCGACGATGCTTGGGGTGCCACTGGAGCTGCCCCTGCTGCCACCACCGCTGAGGCTGACACCACTTGGGGTGCTTCTACTGCTACTGTCTCTTGGTAGACGACTCGGATCGAAGACTGAGGACTTTCCATGGCGTCCATCTTGACTGACACCATCAAGGAACTGCATCAAAGGATTGCTTACATGTACCAGAAGGATCTGGTAGTTAGTGGCTTGGGATTTCATTCTGAACTCTAGCTAGACAAAAATTGAAAACTCACTGAATTTTCTCATCTCGTTTCTGAAACATATGCGTGTCGTCGATGCGGAACTGGATAGATTCGAAGTAGGTTCTTGCTTGTATTCCGGCTGCTACTCATCTTACACGGTGACATTCCTTAACGCGGTAGTCGCAGCCGCAGCTGAATCTACTGAATCTTGGGTTCGGGAAGAAACGGATGAAAGGAAAATGTACATTGAATTATGGCTGAAGACCGTCCTGATTCGTGTATATTCTATCCGGCGAAATGTTTATTTGGTCCTTTGCTTTTTGTCTCGCATCTACTCTGCCCGAGAGAAATGGCCAGTTATAGTTTTGCTCGAGTCGCGAAGTTTCAGATGCTCCTCTTGCGAGTGAGCGAAGAGGCAGTGAGATGACTGTACTTTGGCGTATTCTTTATCATGCTCTCCAGCCTCGACATAATTCTCCCAATTCGTCTGTGCCATCGGGAGTAACGACTTGCACGAGATATGGTGGCTTAGTCGGGGAAGTGTATGCAAAGGACAGCGAGTTGGAGATCGCAAGGCCTAGACCAGAGCAAGAGAGGTGGTGGCGCCGGACTGTCTTTTCCCAGAGCAGACTTGCTCTCGGAAGTCTGGAAAGATGGTATATCGAGCAGCTCGTACTCGAAGCGATGGCTTGATTGTTTCCTAATATTGACAAGTTTCGCAAAGCCCAAATCGTTGCCATGATGGATCGAGATCTAGTCTGTCCGAATGAGTAAGCCTTTGATATGTATGGTTGTCAAGATGCAAAGACTCGAATGCTGCAAGAAACATATCCAGCTGAACAGGATTCATCAGAAGTGCCTTCAGTCATGACTTGGAAGAGAGAAAGAAAGTTGCGGGAGCTCACGGTCTTGTGCTTCTCAGGTAGGCTCCCAAGACGAATCCAACACGAGCCCGGTGTTGCAAAACTCCCTGGAGCATCTTCCTTGCCCAATGCCACACAGTCAAGTGCGACTGAGATGGGAATTGGCCATTCTCTCCCTGACAGTAGACCAGTAGACTGCTCCTGCAAGACCAGCAACACCCACGGCCAAAAACGCAGCTCCATGAAAGGCAGGCTTGAAGAGTCCCTGTTCCAGCAATCGCATGTTCGAAAAGTACCTAGTTGTCCCGTAGGCGATACTACCAGCTCCACTTCCAAGTAAAGCTCCAACAAGAGCGTCTGACTTATCGTTGTGGGTCTTGTCTTCGTGGAAACGCTTCTTGTTCTTCGTGGGTAGGATTTCGGCCAGGTCGAGTTGGTTGAATCTTTCCACGCCGATTCCTAGAGCAAGGAAACCGAGACCGGTACGCATCCATGCTAGATAGGTACGTTCTGATGCTAGATGGTCGCGGGCGGTTGACCCGGTGTTCTTGAACACTGGTGTGCTGAATCTCGAAAAGAAAGACATGGTGAGGTGAGTATGTAGTTCGTCTGAAAGTATTCAGAGATTCCGGAGTAGCAATATAGTGTTGTTTATATCCAAGAGCTTTCCGATAGGACTCAAATAGAATGCTGATGTCCAAGAGATAAAGCAAATAGCAAATGTCAAAGATAGATGTCGATAGGCAGATACTCGAGGAAGATTCAGCCGAGAACTGATGGTATCCTTGGCACGGGCTTCGATGTATTTCCACCGGTGGAGTCTTGAACTTTGAATCTCAGGTCAATGAACCGTCGCACGTTCTTAACGTGGGTGTTGCCCTGCTTCGCTGTCATTTTCCTTGCTCTTGCGATGCAGCTCTCCAGATATCTCCCACGCGCTCGACTGACCGGCCTAGCTGACCTTCACCGACCCGCCTTCGCATCTTCGTTCTGGAAACCATACACTACCGCAAACGACGATATGGCCGACCCCACTTCGCAGCAACACGAGGAGACAAGAGAAACACCCTTGGGCTTGCCTGAACCACCCGCCGGTGGTATCAAGCTCGACGTTGGTTCTGGCGAGGGTGTGGCACTCGATCACCTTGGCCCCATGGTCGTCAACAAGGATGGCACAATTTCAAGGATCACAAACTGGGACAAGATGGCCGAGATCGAGAAGAAGAACACCCTGAGGATATTGCAGAAGAGGAATAAACAGCGCTTGGATGCTCTCAAGCAAGCAAGCCAAGAAAGCACAGAAGATGCATCAAAGTCATGAACATACCACATGCGCGGTTCAGCTTGGGTGAGTTGAAACCTTCGGCTCGCTCTTTCGAAACACAAACGGGAGCCTCGTTGGACGCGTTCGAGGTGTGCGACCTGGATACCGGCAATGAGTCCATATGCCCTCTGCGCCTTCCTGGACAGCTCAACACTGTCTCTCCAGCTCTCGAAGAAAGTTTTCAATCGGCGAGATTAAACTCATGACACTATCCCCGGGAAAATCAGTCGTCCTCTGCCTGACAACTTACAGGGTGTCTGCACCGCCGAAGGTTATCGTAAGGCTTGCAGACTGCTTATTTAGAGCTTGGTAACACCATTCATTCGCTGCAATCCTTGAATATGCAGGCGCACCGATGTGCGCGCTATCCATCGGCCTTGAGAATACCCTTTACATACGAGAAAATCACTTATCAATGAAATGATTTGTTTCGACAGTCTATACGACTGATCGCATAATTCTCTTCTTCGCAATTTCGACACCCGCATCATAAGTCTGTCCTGTCATGTGTAATGCCTGAGGCATGATTCCAAATAGCTGTCACTCAAGAACCGCACACGTCAGGATTCTGCATAAGATCTTCTCAAGACCTGCAGTATACGAGGTCCGAGGACAATGCAGACCCCAGCACAAGCGGCTGAGATACCCCGTCGTACCGGTGAATGCATGCCGTATGCAGTCAGCCATACAGCAAGCGAGCTTCATAGCGAGATCTACCACGCCAAGTCTTGTCCTGCACCTCGAGATGCTGCAGTACATAATCACGCATCTACACTGGCGCTGGATACAGTATCAACATCCAATCGTATCCACCGTCTTTGAAGCACTTATCTGCCGCTCTTCTGTCGTCTTCTTTACAAATGATTGCGCTCTCCATCTCTGCTTTCAAACATCATCCTTTCTTGTGCGAGCATAATGGCTACCTTCGGAAAATCAGAGATCGCTGACAATGCCACTACCACGAACCTCAGTTACGATGAGCGTGAAGTCTTTACCGACGACAAGAATCATTCCATCAAGTACCGGACCTTATCCTGGCAATCGGCTGCATACATCATGGTGACTGAGATCGTTACTGGAGGCACGTTAACGTTACCTCAAGCGATTGCTGTCGTCGGTCTTGTTCCTGGCACCCTTATTATCATCTTTTGTGGAATATGGGCCTTGTTCACGTCGTTTCTGCTCATCGATTTCAAGCTCAATCATCCGGAAGTGCATAACATGGGTGATGCGGGATATATCCTGTTTTCGCCTTTTGGACTAGGCGCAATAGGGAGGGAAGTCTTAAGTGCTGGTACACTCCTTTTTGCCATCACTGGAGTGGGCAGCATGACTTTGCTCGGGCAGCTAGCTTTGCAGACCTTGAGTCAAGGTGGCTTGTGTGCCATGTCGTATCTGGGTATCTGGTCAAGCGTAACTTTCCTGGTTGCTGTGCCGAGAACTTTCGGTGCCGGACTGCAGGGCTTCTCTATGGCTGCTTGTATCTCGATCTTGGTTGCTACGCTGGTAGCTATGATAGGCTCTGGTGTCGAGCCTACTCCTGGTCGTGTCGTCGTCGCTACAGCTCCAAATACGTTCTACACAGCGTTTCTGGCCATCACTAATCCTGGTAAGTAGCCTCGGACAAACTCACATCGAAGATGCCATTGCTAAACGAGAAGTACAGTCCTCGCCTACGCTGGCCACTTCCTCTTTTTCACCATCATATCTGAGATGAAAGTCCCACGCGACTCCAAAAAGTCAGCCTGGGCACTTCAAATATTCAGCACGACCTGGTACGTTGTCTTTGCCGTCGTTTCATACTGCTATCTTGGATCCACCGTCCAAAGTCCATCATTCTTGAGTCTATCAGACGTATGGGCTAAAGTGGCATGGGGTTTGGCATTGCCGAATTTCTTGGTCGCTGGAGCTCTGTACAACCATTTTGCCGCAAAGATCGTCTTCGTGAGGATATTTCGAGAGAGCAGACATCTGACGGAGAATACGGTGTTGGGATGGGGAGTCTGGATTTTGCTACTGGCTGTTGCGAACGCGTGTGGCTTCGTGCTGGCCACCGGCGTGCCGGTGAGTTCTCTCTGTCTCGGCCTGCTCCAGTACTGTGTTGATATGGCAAACAGTTTTTCTCATACCTGGGCGGTATAGTCGCATCCGCTTTTGCGTCTTGGTATACTTACGGCCTTGCTGGCGCGTTCTGGTGGCACGACACGTATTACCTTGGAGATGGCTGGAGATCTGTAAGAAAGAAATGGCCGATGTTCTTGCTTTGCCTTGGCACTCTGATTTTTGGTGGGTTCATCTGTGTTGGAGGACTTTATGCGATCATCAAGTCGTTGCTCGAAGCCTATGCCTCTGGCGCTGTCGGACACCCATTTACCTGCTGATCATCTTCTTTCTCGACATCGGATCCAAACAGTAGTATACGATTCGATCGTCTCTTGCCATAAAGAATCAATCATGGTCCCCAAGCATCATACTATCCTTCAACATCTGAACAAGTGTTTGCAAAGACAACCCTCGAGTCTACATCTGTGTATCCATTATTCAGAGCCCAGGTCTATTCGTGCTCTTGTTCGTGAATGTGAGCCGTCATGGGGAATAAAGAGGGCTGCCTTGATGAGAACTCGCATTGAGGTAAGTCTAAGCGAGCAAACCACGCTCGGCTACACTTGCCATATCTCAATGATTGGCATGCAAGTGAAACCTGATCCGGAGCTGCTCATGCTGGTGTCCGTCGGAGTAGAACATTTCTTTCTAGCTTTGTTTCTTCTTGAGAACCACTCCTGACCTGACCGTTTGTAACTCATTTCCTCAGGCTAACTATGTCGTCCATGTCGCTCTCCAGAGTATGCCGGGAGCGAGAATGGACGAGAGCTTGGGCGACCCCTGGCAAGAATCGAAACTTGCCTGCCACGGGCCAAGCCGAAGAAGCATAGCGAGATGCGCTGGCAGCGACCAGGTCCTTGCTCTTTTCTGAAGCCCAAGGCAAATCCGCCATTGCCCTATCCTCACCAATCATCCTCTGGGATTCAGCTATATCGACATCTGTGTTGACGCAGAAACCTACGAGTACTCGATTGAACAGCCTCCGCGCTGTACTCCCCCGTCTCGGCCACTCACAGCGCTACACGCCTGCTGCGGTGTCACATATCCATACATCTCTTGCTTAGAGTTCTGTGAATTGGTAAAGGACCATGAGACGGGGTTTGACGAGTCAGGTTTTCCTTGTTATCCCGATCCAGATCTGTTCCAGCCCCGGCATCATCGCTCTTCTCAAATCCGGTCTCCGAATCCCCATTTGAAACGCTATTCAAGTCGCACATTCTCAGGCTTCAATTGATATCTAACAGCAGATCAGCCTATCTTGTTCGTCGCAATCATTGGATCTTACTATTAACATCAGGGCTACCTGCGTAGGGTCATAGATATCTAAATATATCGAGGCTTCAAGGTGCGTTTGTCTTTCCTGTGGCAATGACCGTGCTCTGCTTCCCAGCCACTACATGCTTCCTGCCACTTCGTTTTACCAAGTCCGCTGCCCATGCCCATACCCAGCCCCTCGAGTAATATTGTCCCTGTTTGACAAAGCGCTGTCTGGCACACAAATCATGTTTCCGTCCAATTCCTACGTTCTGCGATTGCCGGTCCACTGTTACCTGCCCAAACCTTCTTTCATGTCTTCGTACCAAGTCGTCATACATACTAAGCGTCGCAATAGAGGCAGTCTAACGTCGATACAACATCTGTACAAGTTCTTGTACCGATCAGTGGCTTTCAATCCAAAAAAAAATATAGGCTTCAGCCCAAGGATTTGAGCGGTAACGGTCAAAGTAGCGGCTCTGGATCCCCTACCAGCCTTCAAACTGTCGCATCAACGGCGCAGACCTTTTGACGATCCCTACGACCCTCACGAACAATTGGCGTCGTCGCAAAGGCAGCAGCGACAAGCGCAAGACCAGAGTAGCCTCAGTACTTCATCCCAGGCGTCAACGTCCCCGGATCGTGGAGATTCGAGCCTACGCCGAGAAACACGACGAGCAAACGACCCAAACGACTCTCTGCCCCGTACGAACAGGCGCAGATCCCCTTCATTCGAAAGCGCGTACGCAAACCCTCACGAACCTCGAATTGCGCAACGACAACCGACCGCGACAGATCTTCAAGACCCTGAACCGCACCCAGCTGTTCGCATCTCACGTCGTCAGCACTTTGCGATCCTATACGCAATTGAAGAAGCTATCCGCACACCACATCCCTTTACGCCAGTCTTGGAAGAAGAGACCGAGAGAATCTCCGATCTAATGGGCGACAGTACACAGGGCAGTGGCCGGTCCGTACCATCGATACGCACACCTCGCGACATCATGGCTGATCGTCGTGCTAGAGAGGCCAGAAAGCAAGCAGAAGCTACTCGCCAGAGAGAGAGCGAGCAGAGATCGTCGGAACCTGAGCGCAGAAGAGCAGCAGCCGCTGCTATGGACCACATGACTCCTCTTCAGTCAGACGACATTCCAGATGATCCCCCTCCGAGACTGCGATCTCAGTCACAATCTGCGCAACCAGTCAAATCTCAACCCGCGTCTGGACAGAGAAGATCCCAGACTGGAGCCCGTGTGTCTTCAGCCCCCAATCCTCCCCAATCAACTTCAGTCAACGACTTTGGTTCGGAACATGTGCCTGAGCCAGGCGCCCACTTAACATTCCCTCATGCATTCGAGAGATGGGAGATTCTGTCGTCGCACTGGGAGGGTCTTACGTCGTATTGGCTACGTAAGATTGAGGGCAATACTGAGGAGATCCGCGGTGTCATTCCATCCGCATCAGCTATGCAACGTCAAATCCAGGATCTGTCAGCTGCTGGGGCCAACTTGTTCCATGGCTTGGTCGAATTACAGCGGCTTCGTGCCAGCTCGGAACGCAAGTTCAAGCGCTGGTTCTTCGAGTGGAAGGCCGAGCAGGAGAGATTCCAGGAGTGGCGCGCCGATTCGCAAGGCGTTATCAATGCCGAACGCCGCCTCAAGGAGTCATACGAGCGCGAGGTCGAAAAGATTCGTCAGGCATATCTTGCCGTGGAGAAACGTGCCAACGAGGACCGCAGAGAGTTGAACATCGCCAAAGCCGAAGCCAGACGCGCTTGGGAGAGCCTTGGTGAGATGGAAGCCAAGAACACCGAGATCATGAACAACCTTCGTCTAGGTATTCCCACTAACATTGGAGGCATCCAAGTCGTCCCCATGCATGCTGCTGGCAACCAGGATAATGAGCGTCGCCCCACCACTGGCGCCAGCACTGGTGATAGCCCTCAGTACCGATCGCAGCAGTCTCCGCAGGTTCATCACGCTCAGCAACAGTATGAGCCTATCGTTCCTGATATTCAGTACCGTGAGGATGAGCCATCTCCCACCAACACCGATCCTTTCGTCGAGTCCGCCGGAGCTGCTCAAAGACTTCACCACGAGCCTGGCATGCAGCAGCTCGAATCCGATGCGCGCCAGCCCTACCTTCCTGGCAGTGCTTCTGCCTCGACTTCAACTGCACGTACGACCATATCCCCTCAGCAGCAACGTCGCGACATCTCTCCTCAGGAGATGTCACCTCTTTCTCCTAATGTTACTACCACTCGTCCCGTTATCCAGCCCAGTCATGCTGCCAGCGTAGGCACTTCCAGTGATCAGCCCGAGCTCTTCTATCAACAGCCTCCTGGCACAGCTTACCTCCACACTTCACCTGGAAGCAGTGTTGCACGTTCCAAGACTCCTGTCGCAGAGGCAGTTCAAGGTACCCGTGATCTTGGCTCGCGTCCTTCATTCGAGTCCAACACTACCGAGGGCACCGAATACGAGATGGATGAGCATGGTGTTGTACGTCGCGACGCTCAAGGCCGTCCTGTCGTCTACCGCAACACCAGTCGTGGTGCCAATCAGAACGCCAGTATCGTCTCGTCTGAAGAGTACGACACTGCTGCCGATGTCGCCCGTGAGCGTGAACTCGCTGCCCGCTACGGTATCGGCCCGCCTCCTGCTACACTGCCTCGCCTCCCCACTAGCAGCGCTGAGGCTATGGCATCTTTTGCTACCTCGACTGCCGACGATGCCGAACCTGCCAGCTACCGTGACGTCGAGCCTGCCGACTATGAGGGCGCTGGCTACGGCAGCGACTGGGAAGCTCTGCAGAGCAGACACCACCACCCCACACGTCTTTCGGATGTGCTTGAGGAGGACGAACGCAGTCGCACCACTGCTGAATAGTACAAGCAGCTGGACGGTACTGATGACGGCATCTCCTGCAGCAGCTCTGCCTTTGAGAGTGTCATCGCCCTGTGGAGCGGTGATGTTCGCATTGACGATGATGACAATGACTGGACTGAAGAAATCGTCTTCCGCCCTCGCTCGAGCTAGATGCTCGGATGATGAGCAAGGTCAACGCCTGGCCTCAAGCACGACACAACGATTGAACTTAAGCACAACACGAAAATTTCCTTCTTCTCTTCTTCTGTGACGGAAGGCGCAACGAGAGGACGACTTACCTCACTCTTTCGTTCTCGCTTTCGCCTTTCGACACATCCTTTTCGCCAATTTCTTCTTTCTTTCTTTGCTTTTCTCTTTTCGCGCGTGCCGTTCCTCATCACAAGCGCGGCGCCAACTGAGAGTCCTAGGTGGCGGTAATGATTGCATACTTCGGATGGTGGTTCATCACGCAACGCAAAACACGCACACACATATGGGGCCCTTGTTTCTTTTCTGTTTTGCTTCTCTGCTTTTCACGTTTTCCTTTTTCGATTCTTTTCTGGCTCAGGTGGTCGCTCTCTTTGGGAGTGTTGCTGATGGCTTGCATTGTTCTTCTCTTCTCTTCGCTGAGGCGGTACACTCTTGCTGGGCATGCTGCTGATTACTTGCTTTAATTTTTGCTTTTCTTCTGGCTGAGGTGGTTGCTCTGTTCCGAGGGCGCTGCTGAGGACTCGCCTCTTTTTTCTTTATGTTTCTACTTTTCTCACTTCTGGCTCCGCATACATCTTGCAGACTTGATGTCATCCCTTTTCTAATGAGCTCTTCTGTTTCTGTAGCGAATACTTTGCTTTTTTTCTTCTATACCCAGATGTTTTGTTCCTCCTTTGCTTCTGAAAGTGTCGTTTGACTGCTTTGCTCTCTCCTCTGTATCGTGGTGGCATTGCTGTAGGAAAAAGCAAATGGAATTTCATCTCTAACGTTTTTCGACTTCATGATGCTGTTGTAGACATGAGTGTTACCAACTCGCTTGCTTTCTTTGTGCTGAGTGGCTACGGTCTCTCTTGCTATACTGGCAGTGTTGTGCATACACCCTGTGTCTCACCAATAGCGAAACGAACAACACAAGTTCATCATGCAGATAGTCCAGAATATGCTCTCCATTATCATAACTCGTATCCAAGATGTGTACGTCTATATTCCTTTCCCAAGCAAGTCCTACAAAGTATAGACGAATTCAGGATTCTCACGATCCGTGAGATCCAACCATTCCTGGTTCTCCAGCTTGACGTATGATGGTGATGCGCGAACAGCGGCTCTCTTTGCGTTCTGGCGCTTACAGTACCAGTAGATGAAGACAATGTCGACGATACAGAGGAGATAGCAGACAATCTATAACAAACGTAAGCTGCTCAATCTACTTTGATGCGAGGCAAGTTGGGTAGTAAACTTACAATGACAATTTCGGCAGGGATATACCTTGGAGCATCCTTGGGGCGGAAAGTCTGAGGGCCGATGATGTTGCCCACACAGTATCCGATGAGATACAAAGCAGCCACGGTCGTCTTCTTGGTGTAGCCAGCTACATTGCTGGAAATCAGACTGAGTAGAGCGACGAATGGCGTCGGCGATGCCTGGGTCAAATAATATCCGAACAAGCGTCCGATGTTGTTGTGAAGCGGCAAGCAGACGATCAATAGCATGCCTAGAGTACTGATCCACAGGCCTGAAGTTGAGATCAAGAGACGGTTTCCATACTTGTCGCCGAGGTAGCCGCAGACGATCAAAGCGATGACCTCGACCGCACCACCAGGCGTGCCGTAAAGAAGAGACTCTTCTGCGGTGTAGCCAAAAGAGGTGATGAGTTGTGAGAAAAAGTTGGAAATGCCACCTGGTTTTGGACGTTAGCAACTTTGTGCATTATGCATACATACCGCAATTCACATACCATTCGGAATATCCGCTACCAAAGCATAGAAGACGAATGCCCAAGTCAAGGGATCTGTCAGTGCTTCCTTGAGCTGATACATCTTGAAATGCTTGTTTCCGATTCCCTGCTGGTTGCACCTGACGCGCTCGATGGCGAGAACCCGATCTTCCTTGCTCAAGAAACGTGCATTTAGTTGACTGTCAGGGACGACCCAAAGGAAGATAAATCCAACGCAGATGGTCAAGCATCCAGTAACCAGGAAGATGATTTTCCAGGGCTCAATGCTTGATCCGTGGAGACGTGTACCTTTTGCAATGCCGTAAGCCACCAGACCTCCAAAGATTTGTGCGAATCCATTGAAAGAGAACCAGATGCCAGTACGGGAGCCTTGCTCTTTCTTGGTATACCATTGAGAAGTCAACAGAGCGAACCCCGGTGTAACCGCAGCTTCAGTGACTTGAGAAAGAATCAGCTTGCTGACACAGTAATCTTGGTGTTCTCAATACACACCTCCGAGCATGAAGCGTACAGCTACTCCTCCCCCAAAGTTCTTCACCGCTGCGAAAGTGCACAGTGTCATTCCCCACAGGATGATGTTGATCGCCGAATACTTTCCCAATGGTAGTCGTTGTAGCAGTCTGTTGGTTGGATACTCTGCAAAAAGATACCCGAAATAGAACCTATTTGTTTTAGCTTCCATCCCTCTTCGCTGAAGTGTTAGTGATCTCTTACATGGAACTCAGCCATTGGTAGTCGAGTCCTTCCAAATGCGTGTCTTTTTTCAAGCCCATCACGGAGGCATACGATAACGTCGTCTTGTCCAAGTAGTTCAATCCGTAGACGATACACATGACCTGGGCATACATGTTAGTATGATGGTGGGCGTTGGGTTATTGAAACAGCATACCGGCATCAAATTCCAGTCAATCTTCCGCAACAGACGTTTGTTCGTCGCTTCGTCCAGTTCTATGACTTGTCCAGGATGTGACATGAAAGCCTTCAATGCCTCATCACCATCTCCAGCATGTTGTAGGATACTTTTGTCGACGCTGCCATTTCGGATCGCGTCTGCGAGAGGCGCCGGGAGCTCCTTCTCCGCATCGAAGGGGGCTGCTGATTTCTCGGTATTGGACATATTTCCGTAGAGACAGGCGTTATGACAAAGGCAAGAAGAAGAGGGAGAGGCTCACCGAGAAGGTTACATGGAAATACTTATCAAAAGATTGACTAGGGTCCACTGATAATGTACATAGATACCGGCGAGCAGTGCGGAACATCATTGCGTGTTGGGGTCACATTATGCTACCTTACCGTTAGATAGGCATGGCGAAGGAGCCAATCGAGGCCGGGATCAACATGATGCATGTGGGGTTAGAGACGATCAGTCTCTCGCCACGTGTGAAGGTATTCATGGGTAGCTGTAGGAAGCACAGCTTCTTCGATCCAGAGTAGGAGTGTTCTGAGTATCGCGATGTTTTCGGCTCTCCAGGAGTTCGTCTACAACTCGGAATGCGCTTATCATCACAATGGCTCTGATACCGCCTATAGAGACATAGATGCGAGGAGTGGGGTAGGAGAGCGTGCCGATCAAGCATCTCTCGGCCAAGCTTATGCCTTCTTGGGAAGGAGCGGTCCTTGCCCGTGGCTTGGCAGGTTAAGTCTTTCTTTTGTTGGAAACAGTGTCCTATCTGTTGGCAACTAGATAACAACCCGACGCGGTGCAGCCTGGTAGTCATCTTTGCAACCCTCCCAATTGTTGTTCCGGTTGATGCAGAATATGGTGACCTTGCTGTTCAGCCCAGTATGAGAGTCTTGAAGATTAGTGATAGAATAGCGAGAGTTGGGTCAAGGCGGTGGGTAAACGAGCTTCACAGCGAATCGGCTCCATCACGCAGAGAGCAAGATATCTATTCTTGTATCCCAGAGGAAGTCGTTTAAGACAGACGTACAACCCGTCATTCTTTTGGAATTTGTTGAGTATCTAGATGCCTACGATAGACAGTGCACAAGGAGCCTTTGCCTTGGGAAATGCCATCAAGATCGATGGATAACAGAGCGACCCTGACTTGACGTTTTCTTCCATGATGCTTATCCACTCGATCATACTGTCATGAGAGCATATCCCTGTAAGTGACAACTATCTTAGTGAATGCCAACCATGTCATTGTAACTGCAGACTCGTTCGTTTCTTTAGACAAACAAGGTGTTGAATGATCAGCCTCGATGCTATGCTGCATCTGCACAGACCCATGACGCACGTTTCGTGATGAACACAAAGTTGCCCAGCTCCAATTCCATCTTACAAAACCTATTGCGACTCGTTCTTATCTAATATCACGGACGATCCCAACATGCCTCCTGGACGCGAGACCATTTCCGCCGGAGCAGGCCGTCCCAAGCGCACTGCCGAAGCGTCTGAACGCTACGTCTCACCCGACTCTAAGAAACCGCGATTCGATGCTCGTAACCCTTCGACTCTGGCCCCCGATGCCCCGGAAGAAGATGCTATCTTGGAGCTGGACGAGATCGGTAGAGGCGGTATGCAGACGAAGCGCAACGCTGTGAAACTCGACGGCTACGAGAGCGATAGCAGCGACGACAACTTTGAGGCTAGAGCAGACGAAAAGGCAGAACTCGCAAAGCAGGAAGGAAGGTCCGCCGACACAAAGAGCTCAAAGAACGCCGGATGGAACAAACGCTCTCAAGATAATGGAAAGTCAAAAGATGAGGATGAGATGGACATGTTTGCCGACGTCGACGAAGGCACTGGCGGCGTAGGAGGCACTGCAGATGGAGATGATGATGAAGAGTTGAGAGGCGAAGGCAAGAAGGCCAAGAAAGACGTGCGATTCATGGACATCGACGACATTGAGGGTCAGGTGCACAAGAGCAAGTCCGGCGGCCACGTTCGCGCCGACTTCACCCTCGATCCAAAGGGCAAGTCACGCGCTGAAGATGATGCCAGCGTCGAGAGTAGCAGCGAAAGTGGTAGCGATTCGGAACGCGACCGCCTGGACGACGAAAACGAAGATGCGGAGGAACTAGGCGCAGGCAGCAAGAAGAAGCACGCCCCCAAGCTCGATGCCTTCAACATGCAACAGGAAGGTGAGGAAGGTCGATTCGACGAGGCCGGCAACTTCATCCGCAAGGCCGTCGATCCAGACTCCGTGCATGACAGTTGGCTGGAAGGTCTGAACAAGAAGGACATGAAGAAGGCCAAAGCAGCTCAGGAGAAACGAGACGAGGAACGAAGGAAGCAAACTGCTGCCGACGACGCCTTGCTAACATCCGATCTACTCTCTACTCTCATCACACATCTCCACAAAGGCGAATCAGTTCTCGAAGCTCTACAACGTCTCAACGCAGCCGCTCCCAAATCGAAACAGAAAAAGGTGCCCAAGTGGAAGCAAAAGAAGTTGGCTGCCAAATCTGATATTATGGACATGGATGTGGACGGAGGTGCTCAGGAAGATACAGCCGAGAAGCGTCGCGTAGCTGCTGTCGAGGCCATCACCGCCGCTGCAGATGCCATATTCAGCCGCAACAACCCTGATATTTACGATCACGAACGCGAGCTGCTACAACGCCTATACAAACGCGATACTGGCGAAGACTGGGTAGATCCTGTTGCAGACCAGCCGGCAGATGAGAACGCCATGTTCGAGTTCCGTTGGGTGGACGCTCGGGACGGTGGACAGACCCATGGTCCTTATGATAAGAACACCATGCGCGCGTGGCGTGAAGCCGGATACTTTGGTCAAGAGGCCGAGGTAGAGTTCAGACAGGTCGGTCTGGATGGCTGGTCAAGAAGCGCAGACTTTGAGTAGTCCCTTTCAGGGCACCTTTCTGTACACGCTGAGCTGCACCTGTTGCGAAGGGCTCCCATTGCCCGCATAACCATATGCCGGACCATCAATTTATCATGTCTCTCGCTCCTCATTCGAACGGAACGACTCATTCTGGCCACTTGGTGTGACCACCAGTCAAATCCTCCAGTTCGAGAGATTCAAGAATCTCAAAGGCGAGGCGTAGTAGATGACCAACATCTACGCGGTCGTGGACCCATAGGAAATGAGAAATGAAATCATCATCGCATCGTTCATCGTCAGTGCCTGCCGCAAAAACCAATGCTGTGGAAGGCGAGGCCGCGATTTCCCTATCTTTCACTTACTGAGGCCATATACTCTTCTCAAATGCTTTTTCCCTCAGCAAACGTGTAAGTGTGGCCCAATCGGCCACCGTCTTTGCGATAAAACTCCTGGGGGTTCTTTAGCACGAAATGAAAGGTCACTTGTTCGACCCTCAGACTAGGCAAAGAACCTCGGGCCTCTGTGCTGCAAAGGTAGAACACTCTGCAGGCGGAAGGGCTTTTCCCAAGCAGCTCTAGGCTGCTTGGTTTTTGCTCGTGGTAGATGGACAGTTGAAACATGTTCGTTTTTGATACAAGGGATGGTAGTTTTGCAATGGTGCAGAGCGAGTGTTTAGGCGAGAGCTGACAACTCAAGTGAATTCCAAGCTAGTCACTTCGTCTAACATTCATGTTACAATGATTGTGTCCGAGCAACCAGAAACCAGCACCGTGACTAGCCAACCAGGCCAAGGCACTGCCCATATCAAAAACTGAGCTAGTTGCTCCTCGATCAGATCGAACATTCCTTCTATCAAACTTCATGCAACCAAGAAGAGACAAGGAGAAGCACAAACAAAGAGAAAGTGACGTGGCAGTCTGCTAAACGTCCAGGAACCCAACAGAAAAGCCCGACATGGGCAGCAAACATTCTGTTATGATCCACGTGCAACCACCACTTTCCCACTCTCCTTTCAGCTCCCAGAGATATAAGCTCGTGCCTGTCACGAATCTACCATCGTGCTCACTTATTCACACAAACCTCCGAGTCTTGCAGCCAAGAGTGGCTGGCCACGGACAACATGTGAGGCATCTGACCACGCGGTCACCAACCGTCACTACTGCCAACCATGCAACAACGCTTCCGGCTTGACTCTCCTTGCTATTGAAGATGGCGGTGCAGTGTTACGTGCTCAACAGCGCATACCCTCACCACGTGCGTGTGGAAGGGCAGTATATAACAATTCTTTACCCCTGAAGGGATTGATCAGAAATATCCACAACAAAAGTTCAACAAGTGCAAAAGAGAACATTGAACTGGCAACTTTGGATCACCCTCAACAATATACTTACTGTATCATCCTCTTCCAACCTTCTACAATTCAAGCCACAAAAGCCCTCGGTCTGAAGACCCAAAAAGGAACACATCTATACCACCACAGAAAATGTGTCGCTCTTTCACCATCGGACATACCAACTGCGGCCACAATGTACACCATCCTGCTCTCTGCTACTTCGCTCAACCGCGCAGACCAGTCTTACCATGCCAAGGATGGAGAGATACCTACCGCGAATACTACCAAGCCGAAGATGGAGACTGCCCAGTGTGTGCAAGGGAGAACACTCGCAGAGTTGTGCGGGAACCCTGGACAAACCGCAACAATGGTGGGGATGTGCCCATTCGTCTAAGAAGAGACAGTCTGCCTCAACGATATGTGCCTACGCCTCCTCCTGTATATACACCCAGATACCAGCATGGATCGGGATATGGTTCGGGATATGGATACGGGGATGAGGGAAGGAGAGCAGCTGATCCTGACCCATCGCAGCGTGAGGTTCGCCGTCGTGTTGCAGATTGGGCAGAACATGTCCCCCCTGCTACTCATGTTTCTGCGCCTGCAAGTTCGAGAAGAGAGGTGAAGCTATATAGGCCACGTGAGCACAACCACTCTCACAGAGCCAGAAGTTTGTCTTCACATCACCCCGCATCTGCCTCTGGAGCCGAGAGTCATGTATCTCACTCCTCCAGACACAGAAGCAATATATACAGCCCACGCTCAGAGAGACATCCTCGTTCCAGAACCGAGGATAACAGTCACAGCTCCTACTATCCCCATCGTTCGGAACAAGAGCCACGCAGAAGATCCGGCTACCCACCTCCTCTGCCTCCTGCACCCGACACCAGTCTCGAAATCTCCCAGACAACGACATATATCGACGAAGATGGCTCTCAAGTCACCGAGACCAGCACATGGATATCCGTGGAAGAAAACCACCTCGAATACGCAGAAGAGCAGAGCAGACCAGTGGGATCAAGCCATGCTGCATCAAGTCGCGCTGCATCATCACACAGAGAAAGTAACAGTCACAGTGAGGGTGGCCACGGGACATTTTACAGATACCCATAGTTGTCACGACTACGACCACGACGTCGAATGACTCCAGTGATTGCACTTCTGGAGATAATGGAGAAGCGACCTGTAATTTGGCAATGTACCTGTTGTGAACCTTCAAATGTGGAGGTGATGGATCTGAGTTCATGAGATGAGGTTCTTGCAAAGGCAAAACGCGCCCAGCCGATCTTGATCTGACAGGAAAAGTCTTGTCTATAATGTTCACCTTAATACGAAAGACAGAACCACTGAATGAAACGTACATACCAAAAACTACAGAAGTTATCATTATTGAACTGCTTGTGACGAAGTCGAAGGAGAAACATGTTTTCCGAAGATCAACCACAGATATCTTACCACCTCTTTTCCTGTCAATTTTATCTCATCGTGACTCCTCACGGAGACGTCGATCCTCAGCATGCTCTACTTCAGCTTAGCCGAGAACTCAATTACCCAGAGCTTCTTCCAAAGCTCTCCTGACATCGTGAACCCAATGACTTGACTACATCTTCATCCCTGCTCCTTTCTTTTCTCCCTCATAGCCCTTCTCAAATCCCATCCCAGATAAATCGAAATAACAATAAGACAAAGACCATCGTACAATGCATCTCCTCAGTCTAACGACTCTCTTCTCCTTCCTCACGCTAGCCACAACCTCCCACATCCTCCCCAAACGTCAAGACCTCACCGACACCTCAATCTCCGCAATCGGCAGCGCCCGCCTCTCAGCCTTCCAATCCGCCTCTGCCGCCTTCGTCGCCGCAACCCACAAGCCAAATTCCATCGTTTGTCCTGGCGTCATCGGCGCTGCACCCACACCGTCAGAGTCTCCCTCTGATGATGTGAGGTTGAGAGTTGATCCAAGTGCGATCAGTTTGTTGGAGCAGAGGCAGAGTATCAGGCCGCATCAGAGTAGGGAGGGGAATAGAAGAAGTAGGAGGCACTCGAGCAGTACCAAGCCGCCCGAGGCCGTGGAGGCCAGGGAGACGGGTGGAGTGGGTGGTTCCTAAAAGCCTCGAATGGGCCTCCTGTGTGTTTGAAAACCCAGCTGAGGTTGATATCGTTTGCTGCCAGGTATCATGCCCTCGGTTGTAAACAATGCGTCAGTCCGGCTGCAGAAGGATGTTGACACGTTTCTTACGAAGGTGTAGAGTTGGGCCGGCTACTGTCCTGACCCTGTCTTTTCTGGGATTTGGTTATGCTGTAATGCTCTTGTATTGATACTCATCCGTAGAGCATCGGTCACATTCTTGTCCCGTAGCCATCTATACTCGGTTCATATGTACCACGCTCCATCATCCTACGTGAACTATAGTATGTGCCCTTTTCTCATCGTCAAGACGATAGCTGAGAGGCACATGCGAGGAAGATGGATTCAGTCGCCGCCCAAGGAGCAATTATCTACAAGCTGTCCTCAAAGGACAAACTATTGATAGCGTGCCGGGAAGAAATAGTCTGACGCTGCGGTGTAATGTTGCGTCGCGTGTCAAAGCTGGCGCGTGCAATGGAAAGCATGAATTTTTTGGGCCAAGAGCTCAAGCTGATCAAACATGACCAGCGTCACGAAGAGCTCCTGGAAAAGTATGATTTTCTGGTTTTTTCTGTTCGCAATGATAAAGAAGGACTGGAATATGCCAAAGAACGGCACGAGCGCAAAAAGAGAGAAGAGAAGACGCAAATGCGGACCAAAGAACAGCAAGGGGTATCGTCGCACACCTACCAAAAAATAAAAATCGATAGATCGCGCCTCCCGACTAGTCCTTGAATGTTCCTGTTTCCCTCAACGCCCCAAATGCCCGATAATGCAATTCTCTGTAGCAGGAAACGAACGCGAGGTGAAATCAAGCATACGAAAATGAAGAAACAGGAGAAAATCAAGATGCCGTCATAGATAGCAGCGAACGAGGTTAAAACTCCAAAAATATCCCCAGGATTGGCAAATGAAAGGACGACCAAGAGAAATCGATAAGGAAAGACAGATGCAAGCTTTGCCAGCTCTTGAACTCCTGTGCCAATGCTGCTGTTGACAAACTGGCTGACGAGGAATATCCCGATGTACCACCTTTCAGTACATCCGTCACATTGGTGCCGAGAAGCGCAAATTGTGCATGCAGAAATAGTCACAGACTGCAAGCAAGTCAAGATGCGAAGGGAGAAATCAGGTGAGTTTCAGCATGCCCTTGAGCTTGGCTTCCATGCCTTTGACATCAGGCGAACGATCAGGTTCTGTTGGACGCTGAGGTGGAGGTGGCTGTGGTCGATGGACCCCAATATTCTGCGCAGGACTGTGGTAAGGCTGAGGCTGATAATGATGCTGCTGCGGCGAAGCTGTAGCATGTTGAGGACGTGAAATAAAAGGCGACTGAGATTCGAGATATGCACGAGGATCGAAAGGTTGCTGTGCATGACCCGAAGGCTCGCGCTTGGGAGTATAGTTTGCGGTGGTCTGAGGCGAACCAGGTGTTCGGGCAGCGTGGAACAGTGGGGTCAGACTGCGGTTGCCATAGTGCAACGAAGGGTCGGCGTCAAGAGTACGCTGTTGTTGGGGCGTCTGAAAGGCAGGGTTTGGCTGAGCGCGAGGCTGGGCAGGCGAAGTAGTCGAGGGCTGCAGGTTCAAAAAGTTCTTCAGCGACTGCGTGTAGGCCTGTCTGTCGACCTCTGCCTGGTTTCGATTGGCAGCAGGGCTGCTAGAGGTGTCAATGTCCAAGTTGAACATGCCCTTTGCTTCAGGCGGGGTAGTGCGTCTCTGGGCTAAAGGTGAACTCTTGACGGCTCTCTCTTGCCTGTCAGCGTTGAAGAAGATGTCAAGCGGCGATCGTTCTCTGGAGATTTGTTGCGGAGCAACATTGTCGAAAGACGGCGAAGGTGCATTGAGCTTTGTGGACTCTGCGTCGAGCTTTGCTTGCATAGAATTGGCAGTTGTGACAGGAGGTACCGACTTGGAAGCAAACTTGGGCATTGGCAGGTTTGAAGCGGCGGGAGAAGCGTGGAAGGTCGGACCTGCATAGGCAGCGGGTTTCGCAGGTGTAGCGGTCGGTGACTGCGACTTGTGCGGAGCCTTGGAACGAGGATTTGTTGACTTGGGTACATCGCTGTTTGACGCGGCACGGTTGTCGTTCATTCTAGGCCTGGTCTTTTTGGGCCTTGGGGTCGTAGCTTGAGAGGGAAGACCGGAGTCGGACTGGGTGTTCTGAGTGTCGTTGTTGACGTTGACATTGCGAGTACGCGGCGGCCTCGTATTGCGCTGGGCGGCAGATTGTGTAGGGCTGTTGGACATGTTGTGATATTGAGGAGCAAAGGCGGCAGGTTGTTGGAAGGGAGCAGCGACCGCTGTAGACATGACCAATGTGCGGAATGACAGTCGATCAAATAGGGAGATGTTGACGTGCTGGAACAGCGCGTAAGACCGAGGTGGATGTTAGGTTTGAGATGCCGACAAGTGCCAAAGTCCGAGTGAACGACGAGTGGATCCTGAAAGGCAGTCGACAGACGTGTAGTAGGTGTCTTTCTTGGTTGCTGAGACAAGGAGAATGAATGACTTGCTAAGGGTAGGCGCGAGGACGCACGTGAATGTCGTCGTGGTGGCTGTCGATTGCGCCCGACGTTGACAATCGCACCAATCACAGTAGCTTAACAGATCTTATCTAGATCTCGATCTGACGCAAGCGTGTCCGGGCTCTGAACCGAGCTTCCGCGTTTCAAGCCTCCGGTGTTGGCAGCAGCTGCCTGCACTCGAGAGTCGCCATCAAACATTCACATCCGTATCCGCCTTTGCGACCTTGCGACACCCCACCCACCCTTCGGTCCGTTCTTCGCAATTACTGAACAGCCGTGCCACCACCGCACAACCTACCAACAAACATGGCTGACGTTGAGATGACCGATGCTCCTCCCAAGACCAAGACATCCAAGGCCGACACTGCTGACTCTGGAAAGAAGCGCTTTGAAGTCAAGAAGGTGAGTTATACCTTCACCCGGCCTACGGAGACCAATATTGATTTGTCTGTGTCAGTGGAACGCTGTTGCTCTCTGGGCATGGGACATTGTCGTCGACAACTGTGCCATCTGCCGTAACCACATCATGGACTTGTGTATGCTTGCTTCCAACCACACTAAATCCACACCAGTCACTGACCGCAACACAAGGCATCGACTGTCAAGCCAACCAGGCATCCGCCACCAGCGAGGAATGTACCGTCGCCTGGGGCATTTGCAACGTAAACTCCTACCAACCTTGATCAGTCGTCATTGTACTAACCTCACTCAAGCATGCCTTCCACTTCCACTGCATCTCACGTTGGCTCAAGACCCGTCAAGTCTGCCCTCTAGACAATAGAGACTGGGAATTCCAAAAGTACGGCCGATAAACTATCGCCTTCGCCACTTGGATCGACCACCTACCCTTGCTTCACCGCACTCTACCATGCATTCCAGCATCGACTTCCCGCGATCTAGACATCTGCCGCATATCACACTATACCCCGAGGCACAGAAAGAGCAGCTCTGCGGATGGAGAGAAGAACCCAACCAACCAGACGTCGACAAGTTCGGCCTGATATCACACGACCAAAGAGATAGCATTACAACTTGGCGCATTGTTGTTGCGCTCACGTTAATGAAAGGCAGAAACATGCCATTTTATGATCCCATAACTCCTGTTCAGCTGGGCGAGTAGTTTTGCTGCCTTGACCCGTCCTGCGGACGCCTGAACCCCTATGCATTGTAGAGCCCTATTGCACCTTCTTTCCATCGACTGTGATGTCCAAGCCTGTGACGCCGTTTGATCTCTTTGCAGGCAACCATTTGACGGGATCCTTGTTGTAGACTGGCCATGGTGGCACACATACGACAAATGTGAGGGCGGCTCCAGCGAGTAGGATCCAGAGAGTGTAGGCAATGTTCTGAGTAGCGAAGCCAACCATGAAGGCAAGGACCTAGGATGAGGTCAGCTCCGTGTAGAATGAGGTGGTAAGTGATGTTCGGTCCGGCCAATAGTGATATGAGGACAAGGTAACGGGCGATGTGAAATGGACAGGATAGTCATACTCCGGCGGTTGTCAACAGAACGCTACAAAACATCTCGACCAGGCGTTGACCCTCAAAGTCCTAGGAGCTGTTAGTGTTCGTCTCATCCTTTCAATGTGTCAAGGCTTACAATCTCGCCCTCCCAGATCTTGCGGCCGGACTCGATGATTGCGTCCATTGTGATGTTTGGTTCGTGCTCGAAATGTGTATGATATGGTAGTGTTTAAAGGGCAACAGCAAGCTAGATAGGTGTTCATCAGGGTCGCGAATGTGCTCGGGGAAGTTGATGCCGACGACTCAGAACGTCCGTGCAGTCCATGACCACTTGCGCGCTTCCGCCAACCAGGTTTGGACTTGGTATGCTTTTACTTTTTATGAGCAACTTCACATTATATCCTCCGCCGGCCCATCACTAATCTCTGCTATTGTTCTACTCACTCGGCTCGACTCCAAATATCCGCTCCTCCATCCGATCTACGGCGACTGTCTGGAAATTTCCAAGGTTGAACTCCTGCAAGGACCAATCACTTTCTCCAACCTACATTGACTTGCGAAACAATCGACTTTCACTTCTTTCCGTTTCTTCTCTTCCTGCTACATATACAACTCTCTCCACAGTATCTCCTTTGCCAACCATCTCTGGCAATAAAACATTGCACTTTTGGACCGCCTCTAGCCAGAGAAGGCTCTCAATTCAGCAGAATGTCTATCAATGATATCACCATGCCTACGAACGGCGACATCAGTAAGTCATACGAAACGTTTCTGGAGCGGGAAGGAGAAAGACTGATGGGCCGCAGTGGATCAGACAAATGGAGCGCCACAGGACCACGATGCAGCCGCCGAGACCGTCGCTGCCATTGCACAAGCACAAGCCATGAGCGCCGGTAACGACGCGCCCTTCGACCGTCTTTTCGGTAATGTCGCTAACTCTATGCAGATGAGATCGCGCTCTACGATCGTCAAATCCGTCTCTGGGGCGTGCAGGCTCAGGAGAGGTAAGGATTGCTCCGCTCGAATCGCCAGGAGTGTACTAACCTCTCACGCGTAGAATGCGCTCTGCCAACATCCTACTCATCTCCGTCAAGGCCTTGGGTACAGAGATCGCCAAGAACCTGATCCTCAACGGCATTGGCTCCTTGACCATTGTCGACAGGGAGCAAGTGACTGAAGACGACCTGGGTGCTCAGTACTATGTTCGCGAAGAAGATGTTGGTCGCAACGTGAGTGTTTCCATGATTTCGGAATTGCGGTCGTTACTAAACTTGTCCGCAGAGAGCAGAAGCTGCTGCAGAGCGCCTCCAGGAGTTGAACCCCAGAGTTGCCGTCAGAACCGACAGCAGCGACATCGTGACAAAGGATCAGACTTACTATGCCCCCTTCCAACTCGTCATCGCATGTGATCAGAACCTGGAGACCATGTCCACCATCAACGCCGCATGTCGACTTGTCAACCGCCCATTCTACGCTTCTGGTATCCACGGCTTCTACGGCTTCATCTTCGCTGATCTGATCTCGCACGACTATGTTATCGAACGCGAGACCTCAAATCTGCCTACCGTCGTCAAGCAGGAATCTATGACCCGCAGCATCATCGGAGTGTCGACCAAGAAGCAGAACGGCAAAAACATCGAAACTGTCACAAAACGTGAAATTTACTCCCCGCTACTTCTGGCCAACACCTCCCCCTTGCCAGACGACATCATCCGCAATCGTCGTAAGATGAGATCAGTCACACCACTTCTCCCTTGTCTGCGCGCACTGTGGGACTTTGAGCGCAACCATCATCACCTGCCAGACCAGAACTCCAAGCCTGACTTAGCCGAGTTCACTCGTATGGCCACCAACAAGCTTAAGGAGCTCCAGATGCCGGTCGAGACACTCACAGCTGAATTCCTCCGCAGCTTCTTGCACAACATCGGCAGCGAGATCGTGCCCACCGCTGCCTTTGTCGGTGGCAGACTTGCAGAAGACGTCATCAACGTACTCGGCAAGCGTGAGCAACCCATTCAGAACTTTGTCATGTTTGACGGTGAAAACTTCGAGGGACCCATCTACGCTCTGCAGACATTTCTCAAGCCCAACGGCATGGGTGTACCTGAAGTGCAGCCCACTGAACTCGAGCTGGAGCACATGCAAAATGGCCATAGCAATGGAGTGCAGATCGACAATGCCATCTCCACGGAGCCTGCCAATGGCGAGAACGCTATCCAAGAAGAGGTTGTCGAGCCTCTGCTCATCGAGTAAAGACCACGGTTACGAGTTCACGGTCCACTTCCACACGATCTTATAGACCGTATGGTCTGACACGCAGAACAGCAACAGCAAATACAATCGAGTGTCTGCTCTCAAGGTTCCAGGAGTCACAGATACACCTGGCTCAAGGGCATGGTCTCTGGTACATGAGTGGTCTGACAACAGAAACATCTCAGGAATCGGATACAGATAGAGAAGAAGGAGAAAGGAGCCGGAGCACAAGAAGGGAAAGAACAGTTATTAAAATGTTTTGACTTCGTTACCCTATTTACATGACTTAGTTCATCCCCCCCAAAAGACAGATCCTTGATCTACGACATTGGATCTCAGGGAGAGAGATAATTTAAAACCCTTTGAAACAAAAGAAAATAAACGCCTGATGTGCTCCTCTACTACATCAAATGCCAGTGGTGATTAACTTTCCTCCTTGTTGAAACTTCATCTCATCTTCTGCGGATCCAGCGTGGGCGCTTACAGCCTCGATAACAACTTCGCTCGGAGGTTAGAGGCTCTGAAGAACAATCCCAATTCGACTGAACAATGATAGAAGCAGTGAGCAGACTTGCCGTCACTCGAGTTTGCGCAAAGTAAAGAAACGCAAAGCCTAAACAGTGCCAGCAATACTCAACTCACGGATCTCCTGCAAGACCTGCTCAACTCTCGCATCCAGATTGCCATTGGCATACTGATCTCTAGTGTCGGGATCCAAGTACTGCTGCACCTGAGCCATTCTCGAGTAAGCCTCTGCACAGAAGCGCAACTGGATCTTGACGAGGGCCTCGAACGAAGGATCGAGATAGGGAACGCGGAGTTCGATGAGCTGGGGTAGGTCGTTGAAGAGTTGTTCGTTGAGCTGGTCGTAGGCGGCGCGTGTCATTTCTGCTTCCTTTTCTGTGCGGGGCAGTTTGGTCACGTCCTTGTCGGGCTTTTCGGTGAGGCGTTTGACTTGGGCGCGGACGCGGTCGTAGTCGAGGAGTTTGTTGTTGCGCTTCTTGATACCTGTGGAGAAGGATTGTCAGTCTTTTTCCAAAAGTTGCGAAAAGGAGGGAGTGAAAGGGCAAACGAGAAGGAAGAAGTCGGAAGGGTCAAGACTTACATTCGTTGATGTCGGGGAAGTAGGCACAGAAGCGATTGATAGGGTCAAGGACAGTAGAGCGGAAAGGACCGTCCAAAGCCTTGATGGTCTCAGCATCCAAGTCCTCAACAGCCTGCTTGTAACTGCGGGAGACACCGTCGTTGGCGCCGGCGTCTCCGTAGAAAGCGTCGATTGTCTCCGCAATGCGCATCTGCGAGGCAGTCATTGCGCGCAAGCTGTCCAGGTAGCCCTTTGATTCCTTCTGGAGACGAGTAGCGGCGTTTTCCATGACTCTGTAGCGGCGTTCCTCGACTTCGTAGCTGCGGTCGTGGGTCTGCTCGACATGGCCGGTCTTGACCATGACCTGGGTGGCAGCCCTGTTGACGTTCTTCTTGAATCCGGCCCAAGACATCTTGACGGTTGACTTGACTGGGGACTCGCTGGCGACTGATTTGATTACGGTGGGTGACTTGTGCAGAAATTTGAGCCAGGGAGAGTTGCTTGCGTGACTGAGTCCTTGTTGGGAGTGGCACGGCTGTTGACTGCCTGTGGAGTTTGTGGTATAGCGACAGCGACCTTTACAGGGCTGGGCGCATGCGCGTCAGCGGCAGCGGCACCCTGGGTGCACGGTCCATCAGTAGCGGAAGAGAGGAGCGAGGAACATGTTGCCGATCTGCCGACGCCGTGGATTGGCCATTATCGCCGTTATCACCGCAACGCTGAGAACGTGCAACGCCAAAAACACCTTCTATTCGAGCCGGACCATACGAAGTTGATACATACCTTGTTGTGGTGTTTCTCGATGTTGTCAAGAAGTGGAAGTGCAGTGAGACTGCGCGCAGGCGCTCAAAGCTGTTTACTGCAAGCACAGACCCGCTTCTACGGAGCCAACGCAACACACTCACCAAGAGTCATCTTCTCGGGTATCCAGCCTACTGGAGTACCGCACCTCGGCAACTATCTAGGTGCTATGCAACAATGGGTCAAGCTCCAGAATGAAGCCTCTTCCAACACATCCTTGATCTACTCTGTAGTAGACCTGCATGCTATCACAGTACATCAGAACCCTGAAGCTTTGAGGACATCCAAGCGAGAAATGCTGGCCGCTCTTCTTGCTGTCGGATTAGACCCCCAAAAGTGTACCATCTTCTTTCAGAGCGATGTAGGAACAACTTTCAGTGAGGCAGTGTGGTAGAGCTATAGGCTGATGGGAATGTAGGTACCCGCTCATTCTGAACTCATGTGGATCTTGAGCTGTTCGGCATCCATGGGTTATCTTTCGAGGATGACACAGTGGAAGGTTGGTCCTCTCTTCCCCTCTCCTTTCTTTCATCTTTTCTCTCTCTCTTTTGTCTTTAATCACTGCTGCTTCGAATCCGGCTCCTGACACTGACTGAAGAGTAAACTCGACTTGGACGACAACGCCAACCCCTTGGACCCGTCTACGAAGACGAAACTGAAACTCGGCCTCTTCTCATACCCAGTGCTGCAAGCAGCAGACATTCTGATTCATAGAGCCACACACGTACCTGTTGGCCATGATCAGTCTCAGCATCTCGAGTTTGCGCGAGAGTGTGCCGCTGGCTTCAACCACCTGGCCGGCAGCAGAATCCTCGTACAGCCAGAGACACTACTATGTGAGCATCTTGCAAACCTTGATTTACCGGCTGCCTGCAATGGGTGGTCGTCAACCTAATAGCATGACTTCAGGACTGACCAAGTTCCACAGCCCCTGCAAAACGAGTAATGGCCCTCGACCGACCGACACACAAAATGTCAAAATCTGCACCAAATCCCAAATCACGTATCCTGATAACAGATTCCTCGTCTGCAATCACGAAAAAGCTTCGTGTAGCGCTAACAGACAGCATCGAGGGAGTGACGTATGACCCCTCGACTCGTCCTGGTGTGTCCAACCTCATCGAAATTGCTTTCAACCTCGACAGCTCGAACCACGGTGCAGCTGATCCTGCAGAGTATGCCAAGGGCTTCGAGGGATCGAGTCTCAAGGCATTGAAGGAGAGAGTTGCGGAGGTTGTGGACGGACATCTGGCGCCCATTCGTGCGAGGTTCGAGGAGATTGTCGGTGGTGATGGGAAGATGATTGAAGAAGCAGCACAGATTGGTGCCGAGAAGGCGAGACGATCGGCCGAATCGACAATGCAGGCTGTCAAACACGCAGTCGGCTTTTGAGAGTAGTGCACCACACTCAAGCACTTGGGGCTCTTTGTACATTAACGATGCCGAGGATAGATGGCGAAAAAGCGTGACATGCATGCTTTGGGGTATCGAACAATATAGACAACCAACGATCAAGTCCACCTCCACGCACCTCAATCCTCATCACTATCTTCATCCTCACTCTCCTCCATCTTCTTCCTCTTGTTGTTCTTCGCCTGCTGTTTCTGCACCACATCTGCCGCACCCTTATGCTGGAAAACATAGCTCCTCGATGGCCTCTCTTCACCCTTCCAACCACCTCCTCCTTCGATATTTCCTAGCGTTCGCGCATGAGCATATCCAGGGTATGCATCAGCCTGGAAACGGAAACTGCGTTGGACCTCCAAGCCAGAGTGACGAGCAAGATCCCTGATGTTCCAGAGGGTGTAGGGTTCGCCTTCGAAGAGAGTGACGATTACAGTACCATGGGGAGCCAATAATGGCGTTATGGCTTTGAAGAAAGATACCAGCATTTCTATTTGCACAATCCAGAATCAGTCATCTTGGTCAACCAGGGAGAGGCTAAGGAGAAACAACATACCTTGATTATACCTGACCTGTCTATTAACATCCGTACTCTTACCTCCCACATGCGGGAAGTTGAACATGACTCTTTCCCACCCTCCAGCTTGTTTCTTGACTTCTCTTTGGCCCAATTTGGTGGCATCTACTCCATGCAATACTCTTTGCTCTTCCGCCTCTATCGCTTCTTTATTTTCTTGCGCTTGTGGATACTTCTCCAGTACTTCAGTTGCAGAGTCATAGGTTGTAGCTAGCAGAGCAGCGCATCCATGTGTATCCACCAAACTCCTGCTGAAACTCAAGTCGCCATCGCCAATGGTGAGGATACGGTCCAGAGGATCAAAAGGGATTATCGGGTCTAGGTTTTGTTGTTGCTGTGACTGTTGCTTCTGCGCCGCTTTTTTCTCTGGAGTCGGTTTGGCGTGTTGTGTCGGTCGCGATTGCTGGTGTTTAGGTCGTGAGGGCCCGTCTCGGACGTTGAATTTGGAGCGTCCGCCATTGGACTTTTCGTTGTGCTCTCTGCGCTCTTGCGTCTTGCGGCGTTTTGATTTGCCCATTGTGGTGTGCGGTGAATTTGGGTGTTGATAGTGTCTCTTTTTTTGCGACTTTGAAGATCGAGAAAGATTGATGGCGGCGCGTCATTCCGAGAAGATCGACACGAGGGACGGGCCGCCCCCACAGTGCTATCGTCTGGCCTTCGAGTCTCGACATTCGTGACCTCTTTTCCTCTTTCCTTCTCTCTTACCCTCGTTATTTGCGATCGTCAAGTCTTTAAGCTGCAGACGAGGCAAATATGCTTAGAAGATCTTCACGGTAATGGACGTGAGGATGTACAGCGAGGCAAGAATCAATTAACGAGGCATTGATCTCGATTGCATCCACAAGAACCTACCTATCATACGATCTATATCTTGCTCAAATATGGTTCGATCGATAGACAAGCTTTTACTGCGAGGAGTTTCAGGTCAGTATGTAGAGCGTCCTGTCAGCCAGAGAAATCTACGTCCTATCTTCACTTTGTCGTTCCTGGGTCAAACTCATGCACTGCTGAACCATCATGAGGACTTTCGGACTCCTACATCTCTTGCTGGCTACCCTCAGCATCCTCGTTGTCCTCATCTCGGCCTCACCAGTCGAGATCCCACCTCCTCCACCCCCAACCGATGTTCTCAACTCCACAACCACACTCCCCACGCCCGTGGTTCCCTTCATCTTCAACCCTGACTTCGTCTCCCTCGAAAGACGCGGGCCGCCCGAGAAGGACATTTGGGTAGGCTGCGATCGCGTGGACGTAGGCAAGCACAACTGCCCCTTGATGAAGAAGGCTTGCTTCATGTTCTTCGAATACAATTATGCACCAGGCAGTATTGGGAGAGCGAAATACAAAGATCTTTGCAAGAGGTGGATCTGCGCGCAGACGTATGGTGATTGCTCCCCTAATTCCTGCAACTGGTGCCCTTGAGCGAGAGGGAGATATGCTTTGATTGGGAGACTAGGCGTTCTCGTGGTACTTTTGGATGGTTGTTTTTGACAATGGTTACTTGACGTCGAGTATACAAAGACTCTGTTGGCTTGAGACTCTGCTTTGCGGACGAAGAGATAGTCAGTGTACCACGTTATACAATTGACTCCGGTGCCACGAGTCTTCACCACAATGACACCAGCTTCTGTATGTCCAATGCCGGTCGTCGATCCTGGAAATCTTCAGTGTCATCAATAAGAGATATAACAGATTGTGTGCACTTGGTCAAGTCAATTTCTCAGATAAACGTGGACAACCGTGGAATCGAAATGTTCGGTAAAAGATTTCATTATGCTTTTTATCTCGAAATTCAGAGCCATGGTGCCCTTTGACACTCCGCGTCTTCCTTGAGCTAATGCTATCGTGGTCCATCATGACATCCGGCAGACTCAGTGCTGACACTCGTGTACCGATAGAGGATGCGGCCAATCTCATCAAAACAGGCATCTCGGTACAACCGGCCTGGTAGAATGACAGCATATGGCGCCTCAGTAAATGCACGGCTCGAGCATCCAATTGTGTACACGCGGTTGACACTCTAACTCGACAAGGAAAAGGGTCGGATGCAAGCAGAGCGCCAAAGGCTTGGATTGTCCAAGGCCCTCCGCTCGCTAGGAATGCTGCTGTCTCGTCGTGATACTGCCTGTGTTGACCGACTTCAGAATTGTTGTGTGGATATTTTGTCTCATTATCTACCACGCAAGGTGAGCCAAGCGATCATATTCTGATCGCTTATCAAGTCTGCATGACTTTGGCTGAGTGGCGTGATTGACATAACTATCCCAGAAACATAAGAGGCCACCCTTGGTTGGGAGGAGCGAGAAGCAAGACGGCAGCCAGGAGGAAAGCCAGGGTCTCGTAGATTTGGAAGGATGATTTTCCAAGGTGGATGAATGATATTTTGGTGGCAGAGTCAGAGAAATAGCTCATGCCAGGACGATGGGCATGTGATCTGCATGGCCGAATGCTTTACCGCATGATGGGCATTTCCTAGATCGATTGGCGATGAGATTCTGAACACAGCCTTGGCAGAAGGTGTGGCTGCATAGTTTGAGGACGGTGTTGCGTAGGTTAGAGTTGCAAACAGGACAAATAGCGATTTTCTGCTTGTCATCAGTTTATGGTAATTCAAATGGGGTAGGGCTGCACTTACCCGCCAGTCATCCGATTCCGACTCCCGTCCAGATCCCTTTCTCTTCATGTTATCAAGAGATTTCTTGGTATCTTCCAAGCGGACCTTGACTTCTTCAAGCTCAACCTCAGCCTGTCGTTTCGCTGATGCCGCCGCTGAAGATGCAGCGTCCTTTGAAACAACCAATTTCTTCATGTCGGTGATTTGGGTGCGAAGCTTCTCCAAAGTTATGTTTCCTTCGCTGAGTTTTTGTTGCATTGTTCGGTTTTGCTGGGAAAGGGAGGTCAACGATTCCTTGGACTCGGAGATTTGCTTTTCCAGATTGATAATCAGGGTTCTGCTGTTGTTCTCGGCGTCCTTCAGCTGGGTGACAATCTCGGAACTCTTTGCATTCTGCGCCTTGAGTGTTCGAAGTTCGTTCTCGCGGGCCTCCTTTGCCTTCATTGCAGCGAAGTACTTCTGGTCAGCTTTTGCCTTCTCAGCGTTAATACGTGTGCGCTGCTCTTCCCATTCCGTAATCTCGGACACCTTCCTCTCAGCCAGGCTCTTGGTCTTTTTCCATGCCGCTTCCATAGACGGTAATTCGTTGTTGAGCAGTAAGTGTTGGTTCTCCAGTGTCTTGAGTTTTGATCGTAGTTCTTCGACCGACATGCCTTGCAGAGCCTCGTCAGTAGAAGCAGCAGTGCTCTCTCCGATTTGCAGCCTGAGGCGTTCAACTTCTGATTCCAGCGCAGCGATACGAGTTTCCCGGGCAGCTGCTAGCTCTCTGATTGAATCTGAGGCCACCTGACTCTGCTCCTGTGATCCTTTACGCACAGAAAGTTCAGCCGATAGTTCATCTCTTGCGTTGCGAATACGGGCAAGATCAGACTCGGCGCGTGCCAGTTGGCTTTCAAGGTCGGTGCTATTCGTCTGTGACTCCTCTTCCATATTGTTGCGATACGACGTTCTTTCGGCCTGTAATTTCTGAGCTTCCTCGCGCAGCTGCAAGTTGGTGGCCTCCAAATCATTGACACGCTTGATAACGTCTTCATGCTGGGATTTCAGCAATTTGTAGAGGTCGGTTTTAGCGTAGTCTTCGTCGGATAGTGATGTGAGTCGGACCTTGGCTGAGGTCAATTCCTCTGTCAGCTGCTTGTTTTCTGCCTCGAGTTGTTCAGTCTGAAGTTTTCGTTTCTCGGACGCAGCAAGCGCCTCTCTGCGTGCTGTCTCTGCCGCGGCATGAACGGCACTATCAACGTCGCCATTCGTCTCAGCAACCTCGTTCTTGGCCGATTTCTTTTCTGTAGAGGAGCTGGATTCCGAGATTCCGCCCATCGTTGCCTGACGCTCGAGCTTTTGTACTTGAGCACTCTTTGCGCGATCGAGTTTTTTCTCGGCAAGGAGGTAACGATAAGAGGCCTGTTCCAAGCGTTCTGACAGCTGGTCGCGCTCACCAATGATTCTTTGGCTTTCAATGACATGTGCCTTTTCTGTGGCCAACAGAGCGGATAATCTCTCCTGCAGACTCCTGACTTCTGGTTCGGCGGCAGGCAGTCTGCCAAAAACATCCTTGATAGCAGCCTTTATTTTCGAAGAGCGGGTTTTGAGGTGAGATTCGAATTGAGAGTGGTCCTCGAAGAGCAATGATGAGCGGAAGAGTTCACCAGCCTCAGGTTCTTGGTCCGAGACAAGGTCGCCGACCAGAATTCTGATCTCGTCGAGTAACTATAGGATCGGCGGCGTCAGCGTCGGTATTGGATGTGTGGGGGCACGTCGGGGATTATGAACCTGGGTAAACCATGCGTCGACAATGCGCAAATGGTCGTCATGGTGTTGGGAGCGCTTGGACAGGTCTTGGACTTGAGACTCGTAGAGGGCCTTCTCGCGCTTGTACTCTTTCATCTGGCGGAGGATGGCGTCTTTCTGGAACGACTGTCGACAGTGTCAGTATGGAGGGTCACGTGGAGTTGAAGAGGGTAAGGAGTAGGCGCACCTCGACGTCCTTCTCCTTCTCGGAGTCCATCCTCATCTGGGGCACATTCTGAGCGGTCTGATGGCGCTTGCTGGGATAGATGTCGTCCGAGTCGGGCTGAATGGATCTCTTACGCTCATCCATGGCGGGCTTTGGATTGTGGACAGACAGGTTGGTCGTGTCGGAGAGCGTCATGTCACGGTCCACCTGTGTGTGGCGAGAGGGCGCCGCTATAGCTGTCGTGGCGGCGTGGCAACAGAGATGAGAGGGGAGTCGGCGAGGAATGGCAGGAGGAAGGGGACTTGGACACAAGTTGAATGTTGCGCGAACACGGCCTTGGCAGCGAGCGGCTTGCGCCTGCTGCTGCTCAGAACTTTGACTTGAGGGGCTCGTCGCAATCGCGCCTTCCTCGACCCAAGACATTTTTCGACCACCGATTCTTTATCGCCGATCAATCCGGACACCTGCCGACCTAGACAGACAACCCTCTTTGCAAGAAATGCGCGCTTGACCAACATGGCGCCCCTGACCAGTTCAGCCATCAGTGCGGAAACCCCATTTAGATAAAATCGCGACACGCCCATCACTAACGCGTCTCCCAGACAAGGGCAAAAAGGTCGCTCCCAAAGCTGCTGTCGCCCGTCGTCGCCCTGCTGCTGCTCAACCCGCCGCGCCTGTCCAATCTGTTCAACATGAATCACACCAGCCTGCTCCTGCTCTCGCACCCGAGACCGCTCCCTCCACAACTACTTCCGACACTACCGCTGGCGCCTCACAACTAGAAACACCATCGACGCAGCCCGAGATCCGCGCTTCAGCTGCTCCGCTGCCCACTCCGCCTGCCACTCAGCAGTCCGCTGCTCAACTCGCCAATAGCGTCACTGAACAGCCTGTCAGACAACCCACACCGACCCCTCAAGCTTCCCTTCCTCACCATGTAGAGCCTTCGCCGCTGTCTCTCGCTCATTCTGAGACCACGCATCGCCAAACACTTTCGTCTCCCCCGGCGCAACCTCCAGTCACTTCAACTTCACCTGTCACTCAGCCCGAGTCACGACAACTCGACACTCTTATCAATCAAGCCCCTCCTCACCCACAGCAGTCACCTGGCAATGGCCCGTCCTCCCCAAACCAGCTGGCTGGTCAGAAACGAAAACGACCCACCCCCCCGCCTGCTGTGCCAACCGATGATCCCACCGCCCAAGCCCCTCCTTCTCCTGTCACCACACAGCAAGCACTCCCGGTCTGGGAAGCAGACTCTGAAGTTGCATTGATCAACACCCTTATCGGTCATCAGGATCAACCTCGAGCCCCTGTAGCTCAAATGCTCCCACCCGCCAACCCGCCAGCCGCAGCCCCGAAACCACGCGCAAAGCGACAGAAAAAGACTACGCCCACGGAGACACCATCTGGAATAGAGGATGCTTCTCCAGCCGTGGACGGTGCCCAAGAAAACGATTCGAGCACGACGCCCGCCGCGAAACCAAAGAAGCCCAGAGCCCCAAGAGCTAAACGTGCACCAAAGTCGGCCGCAACAATCGTGGAAGAGGAGAACGAAAACATCGTCGAGGCAGAGGAATCCGCCCCTCGTCCTGTGCCCAAGCCGAGGAAGCCTCGTCAGAAGAAGAAGCAACCACAAAACACTGGGGGGGAAGATGGAACTACTGGCCAGGAAGACCCAAGCGACGATCCAGCGAACCACGAAATTGATGTCTCGGAAACAACCATGTTTGAACTCACCAAGGACAGAGGCCTGGGCAAAGTATCAGAAAGAGAGACGAAGATGGCTGCCATAGATTGGGACGAGGTACATAGAAAGAGAGTGGCAGAAGCGGAAGCAATTCGGGACGGCATCGACCCTACTACTCTGAATACCAACATCCAGCCAACCGAGAACAACGAAGGCGGTGAAGGTGGGGAGGGCGAGAACACTGAAGACGCACCTCGACCAGCGCCGGTCGTGACTGGACCCCGACTACGTCTAGATGCCGAGGGAAACCTGGTTGTTGACGAAGACAGTTTGCGTATCGATCGTCAAGCACAAGCCGAGCGCAACGCCGAGAATTTGGTTGTAACCGAAAATGACGACTTGACCAAACGAGTAAACCAGATGAGCTGGATCAACGAACGACGACGTGATCCCACTGACCGCGTGCCATTCTTCAAGATGAAGTCTGACCCGTGGAGCGATGAGGAGACAGACCGATTCTACGAGGCTCTTCGCATGTTTGGTACTGACTTTTTCATCATTTCGAAGATGTTCCAACCCAAAACTCGTCGCCAAATCAAGCTCAAGTTCATTCGCGAAGAACGTCTTGATCCCGACCGTGTGAATCGTGTCTTGGCTGGCGAAGCAGTCCCTATGAATCTCGAATCGTTCGCGGAGGCTACTGGTCAGGATCTCGGAGGTTTCAAAGACCCACGCGAGCTGGAAGAAGAAATGAGAGTTGAGGGAGAAGAGCAACGCGTGGAGATCGCACGTAAAAAGAAGGAGATGGAAGAGGCCAAGGAGCAAAGGGATATCCAAATGGCTGCCAGAGAGAAGGACCAAGAGGAACGTGCAGCACAGAGACGCGAGAAGGCAGCCATGCGCCAAAACAAGCGCAGAGGAATCTTGGGCACAGGTACCTTCTAAGTGTGCATCATTGTTTACATACATACGATCACTACATCGGCTTGCTATTAATTACGACGATACGCTATGTTACGAACAATCCAAAAGACATTCAAACTATTGCCAGGGAGGTCGCTCGAAACGATCCTCTAGATCTTAATGTCATGTGGGATTACGATGCTCAAAGGCTATCTGACGTTTCACTATGCTAACAATATGGTGCGGTCCTATCCAAGCAAGAAGGCATTCACACTCTGCAGAGTCGTCCGACTCGGATTGGCATCTGGCTTGGCCACCGATATCCAGCTGAGTTTCTGCTTGATGATCTGCTTGTTGAGACCATTTGGCGGTTCCTTGACCTCATTAACAGGCCTCAAATTCCCATCATCGGTGATGAACAAGCACAAGATGGCCAGCGCGACACCTACGCCCTGGTCCTTGCCATTGGCGTCTGTAACCACGAAGCGAGACGTTGGGGATGCAGAGATTTGTGCTTTGACCGAAGTGATGAGGTTTGGTAGACTGTGTCGCAGATTCCGACTCCCTACTTTGCCGTCCGCAAGCGTGAGATGGAGGTACCGTGATCTCATCTTCGATCGCAAGACCTTGCTCTCTTTTGGCGATACCGTGATGACGATATCTGTTTCCCGTGCGTCTGTCTCTGCGGCGTCAATCATCCCAATTACCACACGCTGATCAGGTCCGATCGCAGTGAGCTGTGATCCTTTGCTGGCACCACCTTGTGCCACTAGACTTGCAATCACTTCTTCGATCATGTCTTCAGGTGTGGACAGCAGAGTTTCACTATGTTGCCAGAAGAGTGGGGCAGTCAGACCTTGAGCCCAGGCCTCTGCATCGTCGGCAGCGCCCTGAACATATCCAGTCTCGGACGTTGATTCTGAACCAGAGACACGGGAAGATGCTGTGAGAAGGACCACTGGATGAAAGTCAGAGAACTCTGGCGCTTCACTCGGCAACGACGATGTTGGTGTTACCCAGATGGGTCGTAATGGTTTGGTGATCTTTTCACGGACGGTCGTAAGATCAAGGTCTAGCGTCTTCAGAGCTTCGACAAAGCCAGATATCCGTGCAGCGATTTGGGCGTGTTCAGACTCTCCTACCACTGTTGGTGGTGTGGCTACCTCGTGGCTCTCTGTTCGTTCTGGAAACAGGACACGGTTCATGACTGTTGTCCAGATCGGTATCGTTTTTGACAAAGCATCAGGCATGCTCTTGCCTCTTCGCGTTGAATCGACAATAATGCATCTTTGAAAAAGTCAGTCCGTTGGACCATCTTTCGTCTGCATCAGAGAAAGCGATAGAAAACATACCCATCAAACTCTCCTATCGTCTCCAAAACTTGCAAATTCAATCTTCTCAAACTAAAACTCCACTGCGCCATGTGTCCATCCGTACTCTTGAAATAAGCACTCTGTTTCTTTTGCTCTGGTGGAATATACCAACTTCCACATCTCTCGTTTGCGACCAGCGGTAAGGCATATGCGGAAGCAACTTCAGATACAAAGTTTGCATCTTGTTTGATTGAACGGAGTCGATTTGGTATCGATAAAGTACTCTTCTTGAGTTCGCCGAGTACTTTGTTGAAGGAACTGTTTGTTGTGTTGTTGAAGATTATATCGGAGAGTTGGGGATATGATGAATTGTTCAAAGTTGGGTTTACTTCGTGGTCGTGGTTTGCCATGGTTGGACTTGAGGGCATATTTTTGCTGTACCAAAGCGAAAATCAGAGACCAAGTCAGATCTTCTGCTTATCTTCTGGTCCCAGTATTCGGATCAATTGTCAAATTGATAAAGGTGACAAGTCTTTGTTCTTCGAGAATTGATAAAAATGATTTCTATTATGCAAACTTATGCAAGGCAAGTGTTCATCCGAGGCTCTACCGTGCATAAATCTTGACCTCAAGTCGTGCCTGCTTCTCGACTTCCAGCCATATTTGACAAGCAAGATATTGAGACAGACTCCTTCGGGTTTGTAGTCATTAGGTAGGATCAACTCTTAAGACCTTATGATACATTTCTGGTTCGAAGATGTCTCGCAAGCTGAAAGAAAGCAGGCAAGTCTGAAGTAGTTGCATCAACACGATACGGAACCCATGCCCGTGCAATAAGTCGTTATCAAACTTCCTGAACGAATCAGACTTTATGTTGACGAAGGGAGACACTTCTGGTGTTGATTGCAAATTTCCTGCTGTCTCGTGAAAGACGACCAATGTCATTGACCAGTCTGTCCACATTCTATATGGATAAAGAACATTGGGCAGAAACAACTTCCCTGACACCAGTATTAACGAAAAAAACTGGCTCAGATTGTGTCAAGTAAGTCCACTCAAGCATGGTCACACAGTGCATGAGTCTGGGTACGCATTTCAGTGTACATCAAGATTGACGAGTCCTCGATGCAACGTGATGAGGTTGTAATCGAGAGAGGCTTCTAGACACCTCAAGCACCTTGTCAGAGCTAAAAGGAAAGCTTTGGACTTGACACAAGATTCTAAATCTTCTCGTAGAGCATCGGTGTGTCGCCCACACGCGACGATAAGATTTCATCTTCACTTCACCTCTGCGCCCATCGTGTTAACTCACAACACAGCACTTTCCTGTCCTGACTTCGCACCATCACTCTTTTCCCATTGCATCTTACGCACATCCACCACATTTCTTCATCACCTTTCCTAAACCTCTAACCAAATCAACAAAACAATCATGGCTCCCTGGGACGCTGCCGAAGACCGCGCTCTTCTCCTTTCTGTCATCGCCGTTGCTCAGGTCCAGCCCAACTGGGAGGACGTCGCTACTCAGCTTGGCAAGACCAAGGAGGCTGTCCGGTACGATTACCCCCACGGTGTCTATATTCTATCCACTTACATATGTCATAGCCAGCGCTTCGCCAAGCTCAAGAAGGAAGCCGCCGACCCATCTGCCGCCACCACTAACACTGGCGATGGTGCTGCTCCTGCCGCCGTTGCCACCCCTACCTCTCGCAAGCGTAAGACCAAGGCTAAGGCCAAGGCCAAGAATGTCGCTTCGGACGAGGAAGATGAGGACGAAGACACTCCCTTGACCAAGAAGTCCAAGAAGATCTTCAAGAATGAAGATAAGGAAGAGGACACTCCTATGACCAAGAAGTCTAAGAAGACCATCAAGGATGAAGACGAAGATGAGGACGAGACTTGAATGTGAGCTGACATTTGTTCATTCTCACTGATCTGTACTGACCATTCTTGCAGCTCCGCTCTACCATCGCTCAAGATTGCATAGCCAAACACTCGGCTTTTGTGATCACTTCTCTTCCAGATATTGTCTAAGCTTGTAATTGGACTTCAAGAACGCAGGTCATAGTCACCCGGCGAGTAACGTCAAATGAGCATTTCCATCTTCTCCAAACCATAATTAGTCTCGTGTCCAATCCCCGTGATGCTACCGTGCTCGTGTCTATATCACCGATATATCAAGAAAACGTCGCAGTCACGTCGCCTCGGGTCAATCAAAGGAACGACGACACACCGGTACTCTACCATGCAAAATGCTGCACCAGTTATCTCGAGTCGTTATTCGTGACTAAATACTATCACCAAGCACATAGTCAGCACCAGCATATACGCGAGAAGCTCAGTCTCGAATTCGTCTGAGCAACGGACCAGGCACATCATAGCACAAACACCAGGTTCAATACTGCATTAACACCGTTTCATTGTGATGAAATCCACTTCCAGATGCTATGAAAACGCAGTATGGTGATCATAATCTGCTTTGTGTCCAGTGAGAGTCCCTGACATCAACTACATCTATCGGGCTCTCAATGGATACAAATACAGACCGTGATATCCATGTGACTTTAAATGCAACGTTCATGGTATGCAAGCCAAACTGAGATGAGTGAACGATAAGACACTGGTTCCCGGCCCCGTGTAAAACAGGTCCATGTATTATTGTGGTTACCATATGTTAACTACCATCACCGTCTCCTGCACCCATGTCGTCGTCAACATGAGACCTTACTTTCACATTGTGCCTCAATTGAGAGATTGGGCACATCAGCGAGCAAAACCGGACTCATACTCTGATACCAACCTTCTGGTCTTCATTCACTTGCAACACAATTCGACGACTCAGCGATTATTACGCTGACGACTAAGCGATCGTCTCAGCATCGACTATTTATTCTCTTCCTCGCTCCAATTCTTCTCGCTCTTTTTTCTTCCACACATTTACATCTTCCCATCCGACACCACGCGCATTTTTGTTCGTGGTCTCTTGCTTGTCTCATCACATATCCACTCCCACATCTCATCCACTCCAATCCACCAACCATGCCTGCCGACTGGAAGTCCATCGAGAACATCGAGCGTCTCTGCGCTGCCATCATCGCCTCCAACGGTGGTAAAGTGAGTCGTGTCCTTTGTTTTCTCCCTCTCCCTCGCGCAGTGTCTCCTAACCACCTTCACCTCTAGGTCGACAATCAAGCTGTTGCCCGTTACTTCAACGAGACGTTTGACGCCATCGAGAACCGCACTCGCCTCTACAAGAAAGCCGCTCAGAAGCTCGTCGAGGAAGCCGAAGCCGCTGGTCGTATGGATCAAAACATGAAAAAGAGTGCTGCTGGCGGCAGCAAGAAGTCCACTGCCACTCCCAAGAAAGGCACCGCTGCTACTCCTGACTGTAAGTTTTCCGACTCTTCACCTCTCTTCTGCTTTTTTTTCTTCCTTGCACACACTGATAGAAGCTGCAGCTGTCAAATCCGGTCGCGTCACCAAGCGTGCTCCCAAGACTCCTTCCAAGCTCAAGCGTGCTGAGACTGATGACGAGGATGAGGACGAGGAGATGACAGGTACCGCTCCTGCTGTCAAGGATGAGGAGGTCTAGAGTCGCACTTGATTACTCGGTTCCTCTTGCGTTCCTTCACGAGAAGGTTTACGATAAGAGGTTTCTAGGACGGGAAGAAGGTCTTTACGATTAGGCCGGGTCCAGCGATGCGAAACACATAGGCATCAGTAACGACAATCAAAAAACCATAACATGACCCACTGTGTCTGCTTTGTCTCGTGCATTCTTTCGTGATGATTGTGTAATGTCAGTTCTGAGGAAATGCAGCAAGACAAGAGCGCGCGCGCTTGTCAAAACGCTGTGTTTTTGACCATGTTTGCGTATGTGAATGGCGAATGGCTCCTCAGGCGTGTAACGAAATAATCAGACACACCTCTTTCAACTTGCTCACATGCAGTATTTTGACCGTCGTGCGTTGAGTCTGTATTCTTTCTACCCGATATCATACAGCTGTCGGGTGCTCTCGCATAGTGGCTTGAGCACGTGGGCTCGACGATGTGGCATTCTCCCATGTTGTACATTGTCAGAGATGTGACTATAGACGCGCATAGTCGATCGCAGATCCAGAGATATGTCCAGAGAAGGCCTCCTGCCATGACGGGTCTCGGTGGACAATACTGCGTACTCCATGATCTTGGTGCATTTCTATAGTTGCATGTTGCTCCAGTCTTCTTTGGAGATCAGACGCTTGGGTCGCCATACTGGTCAGTAGCCTTGGTGCTTGTTGTGTTTCATGAAGATCATCATGACTTCCACATTTGTGTAGGACCCGGTGACTTTTCCAATCGTCGTCATAATAAATACACTCGATCTACAGAAAAGCCAGCTCTATCACGCTATGCATTCTACAGAGAAACTCACAACTCGAGGGACGCATCCTATGCGCCTCCATGTGGACGAGGTGACCTTGTGCCGCCAGGATCCAACAACAAGTGTGGTTTGATGAACCCTTCGTCAATCCTCGAGAACAGGGTACCTGCGTCCTCGGTGGTTGCATTCATCAACTGGTTGAACGCTCCACGAGCAGTAAGGTGGCTTGATTCTGCCTGGCCTTCCTCGACTGCTCTGTCATCAGCGTACGGAGTATCTTCTCCTGTCGTCGTAGGGAACGAGTCTCTCAGCGGTGATCGCCTCGCTGACGGTGGCAAATCGAGCCCTGACTCATCACCGTCAGAGATGTCTTCGTTCTGGTCTGGAAAAAGCAGACCTTGTTCGGCCGCGGCCTGCTCTCGTGCGCTTCTGCTGCTTGTTCTTCTGCCGAGTCCGTCGCCAGGACGGATAGGAGGGCTGTTGGCATTACTAGTGCTGTACAGGGCGGCTCTATTCGATCTGCTCTCTGCGCGTGGTCGCCCGTTGGCAACACTGGCAAGAGAGATACCTCCACCCAGGCTTGCTCGTGGCATGTGTCCAAAGCCAGCTCCACCTTTTTTCGTAAAAGTTCCGCCGGATCCTGGCACTACTTCAATATCGAACTCGTCGTCACTGTCGATTTCCTCCACGACTCCAGTGCGAATCTCCAGAATTTCCAGCATACGAGCAGTAGTGCCACCGAAGATGATGACGGTCAACACTACAACGACCAGCACCGTGGCGCGTAATGCATATCCGTTGGGACCTTGTAGACCCGCAGCCAAGGCGACACCGACAGCACCACGCAGACCAGCCCAGTAGAGCATCATTTGATGATTTTTGGGCAGGACGTCTGCTTCTTCACGACCAAGCTTACGAGCTCTGTATCGAATGACATAGTTGATTGCTTTGGATAGCGGGAAGACAGCGCAGTACCGAGCAACGCAGATACCGACGACAGTAACCAGGATGAATAGGGGCTTGTATTCCAGCCCAGCTTCGGTGAAGAGCGAAAGACCCAGGTAGATGAAGATGAAGTTCTCGGACAACTGCGCCATGACCTGGAAGATGAATTTTGTTGTTAACTGAGTACGGCGGGACATGTTGTGGTAAGCATAGTGCTTCATGCAGATTCCGCAGAACAGCAGAGACACGATTCCTGTTGCAAAGAGATTAGCTTTGCTCTGTCAACAGAAGCTGGCAAGACTGACCGGACATGTGAATGGCGTTCGAGAAGAAGTAGCATGCATAGGCAATTAGAACGACGAGACAGCTCTCGATTTTGGGGAAGCGCCTGACCAGGGTATACTTGAGTAAAAGACTCGTGCCGATACCAACAACCAAGCCAATCATCAAACTGCCAAAGAAGACCAGCAAGAAGACACCAATACTCTCGAACAGACTCAAAATGGTGAGATGACCTTTGGCGGCGCCCTCTCTGTATTTTTGAGCAGTCTCGAACAGGACAATGGCAATAGCGTCGTTCAGGATCGATTCGCCAAAGATGACGGTGTAGAGTTGTGGGTCGACCTTATAGGTGTTAAAGATGGCGAGGATAGTGACAGGGTCGGTAGCAGAGAGGGTTGCGCCGACAGAGATGGCCTCGACAAAGGTGATGTCTAGACCCTCGAGAGGGATGCGCGTCCATACGTATAAGATCAGGCCCAGGACCATGGCAGAGATGAAAGTTCCGGCGAAGGCGAATGTCAGAATGGTCCCGATATTGCGGAAGAAGTTTCCCTGGTGTAGTTCGTAGCCTGAGGCTAGAATGATGGGAGGTAGGAGGAGGTTGAAGAAGAACTGGTAGTCGAAGCTGACGGCACCGAGGACGGATTGGGCGGCGGTAAGGCGGAGGATCAGACCAATGACCATTCCTAGAGTCTAGTCAGTAGACAGTACGTGGACACAAGGTGCGGAAGAGGGTACCGGCAAAGATGGACAGGACAGTCTCATGGACGGCCTGAATCTTCCTCGTCTGGAGCATGTAACTAGTGAAGAGGGCGACAATGAGTAGCATGATCAGGATGAAGAGCGACCATGATGCGAAGATTTCTTTCTGGCCAGCCTCGGGCTCTGTCGCGTCGTGTCAGTTGTCTCGTTGGGTGGTGCGCATGGTGGAGGGAAGGGTACCGTCTGGGTCGGCATCTGCGGCCTCGCGTTCTGGAAACGGGGTCAGTTCGTCTGTCATCAAGCCATGTAGGGAAGATAGCAGTGCATACTGAGGAGCTCAAAGATGGTATCGCGCAGTATTGAAGCCATGGTATGGATTGCGGTGGTGGGGCAGGTCAACTGCCTTTGTCGGTTGTTATCGCATACGCATATACAAAGAGTCCTGTGGCTAGGCACGGTAGGTTTGCACTCGGACGCCGAAGGCTATGTAAAAGCAATAGCGCAGGATGGATTGTGCTATGTCTTGGACAGGAGTTGATGCGACACTACTCCCTTTCTGCCTGGAGCTTGCACTCTGGACAAGTTGAAGCACGGCCAAACGGCCGTCGGCTTGCGGCGTGCGACTTGCGGGAGAGGCGCGTCAGGTCCCCACAGAAAAGGAGGTTCCGACTTGGTTCGGCCCGTTGCTGACCGTGTGCCCATCACTCGAACAGTCACCCTGTCCTGGACGGCCATGAATCTTGCGTCTCGAAATACGTCACGCTTAGCACAGACAGACGTGGTCGCGGTGGGACAAGCACATGCCTGTTGAGCCGCCAGACTTGTGTACATACATAAACGAGGGAGCTGCTCTCAGCTTAGAGAAAGAGCAACGGCCAGTCTGACGAAGCCTTTGTCGACACCGCCCAAGCACGCTAGTCAACTCTATCCCGCTATCATTCGATCCTCCCTACCGACCTGCTCACACACCTGCGCTCGTGATCATCTCCCTGTCACAGACTCATGCTGCTTGCTGTCGACTCTCTTGCCTACTAGTCCATCCTCTCCTGCGACACCTTTGTCCACCGCGAACACCCCAAGCAACCCGACACGAGTCTTTGTCCCTCCAAATCGCATGTGAACAAGGACCCCGCAATCTGATAATAAACACGACCAGCCACTTCACCGCATCTGTCGACCTATGTCAAACAACAGGCCTCTCGCCTCGCCTCGTCCGCGAGGCATTCTCAAAAATGCTTCATACCATCGTGATTCCTACGATGAGAGGCCGAGCGCCTCTTTGGACACGCAGAAAGAGCAACAAGACCAGGATGAAACCTCCCCTTTGATAGCACCAAGACGCGAAAGCGTCGAGTCTGCTCTCACCATTTCCTCCATGCCCTCTCCGCAGGACTCGGACCCTTGGAACAACATCGGCTCCGAAGAGACGAAGAGCCAGTGGTATCTGGTCCTCTTGACCCTCTCAATCGGTGGCCTCCAGATTGCCTGGTCTGTCGAACTGTCCAATGGCTCAGTAAGCTCGACTGTACTTTCGTCACTACCATTCATGCTGACCAATCGATAGCCATATCTACTCAGCTTGGGTATTAGCAAGTCGCTCCTCGCCTTTGTCTGGATTGCCGGTCCACTGTCTGGTACATTGGTCCAGCCTTACGTCGGCATCAAGAGCGATAGATGCCGCTCGCCCTGGGGAAAGAGAAGGCCCTTCATTGTTGGAGGTGCCATCGCAACAATCATATCTCTTGTCTTGCTGGCGTGGACCAAGGAGATCGTGAGAAACTTCTTTGCCATCTTCAAAGTCGGTGCCGATACTCAGACCGTCCATGTCGTCTCGATCGTGTGGGCTGTCAGCTTCATCTACATTCTTGATTTCGCCATCAACACCAGTATGTGTACATGCTTACCTGGCGTGAAGAGCTTAGCTAACCACGCTCTCCTCTAGTCCAAGCTGCCATTCGTGCCTTCATAGTAGACAATGCGCCCACTCACCAGCAAAACGATGCCAATGCATGGGCTTCACGTATGTCTGGCTTCGGTAACATCTTGGGCTATCTCTCTGGCTATGTCAACCTACCCAAGTACCTCGGCTTCTTTGGAAACACGCAGTTCAAGGTCCTCTGTGTCATCGCTGTTCTCGCCATGTCCATCACCGTTACTATCTCCTGTCTCAGTATCAAGGAGCGAGACCCAAGGCTCGAGGGAACCCCTCCTCCACAAAAAGGAGGCGTCTTGTCCTTCTTTGTCGAGCTCTACCGCTCTATGAAGCGTCTGCCTCCTCAAGTCCAAAAAGTCTGTGCTGTTCAATTCTTCGCCTGGATCGGCTGGTTTCCGTTCCTGTTCTACATTACTACCTATATTGGCGAGATCTACGTCGAGCCATACTTTACCGAGAACCCTCACATGTCGCCCAAGGAAATCGACGCCACCTGGGAGCGTGCAACCCGTATCGGCACCTTTGCTCTGTTGATCTTCGCCTTTACGAACTTGGCTGCAGCAGTCGTCTTGCCTTTGTTGATCGCTCCTGGTTTCGAGCCTCCGTCGCCTCAACCTCACACCCCGCTCACACCTCGTGCCTTTACACCTACTACACCTCGCTCCATGACCGGCAGCGACTACTTCGCCTATACTCCTACGCACTCTACCAGTAAGCTCAACTTGACTGAACCTAATCGCTGGGAACGCATCAAGAGTCGCATGCCATCTGTGCAGATGAGCGCCTTCACCCTCCGTCGTGCCTGGATCTTGTCGCACTTGCTATTCGCCGGCGCTACCTTCTTGACCTTCTTCGTCCACGATACAACCACTGCGACCGTTCTTGTTGCTTTTATCGGCATTCCGTGGGCGCTGAGCAACTGGGCTCCTTTTGCGCTCATTGCTGCCGAGATATCGAAGAGGGAAGCCATCCGTCGTAATGAGATTCCAGCTCCGGCCACTGCTGAGGGTCGGGCTCTGGCCAATGGCGATGATCCGTCCGAAGGTGCTGACCAAGCTGGAGTCATTCTTGGTATTCACAATGTCGCTATCGCCGCACCTCAAGTCATTGCGACACTTGTATCGAGTCTGATCTTCAAGCTTCTGCAAAAGCCTCGTGGCACACCTGGCGATGACAGTGTCGCTTGGGTTTTGAGATTCGGTGGTCTTGCTGCGCTTGTCGCTGCTTACTTGACCACACGTATCGCAGAAGAGGGTGAGGAGGATGAGCAACTGTAGATCGTGCACTAAGCGATACACGCTGCGCTCTTTGGCTAGGTTCATGCATCACTGCTTTTTTGGGAGTTGAACGGTTTGTTTTTTGAGATACCTTTTCCTCGGCTTTTATTTCATTTCCTACCCCTCGTATCCCTCTAGTCCGTGGATCGACTACATAGCATAACACGAAGGAACGAAGCATGAACATTCAAGATTACCAATCTCGTATCTCAAGAACGGAACGTGTCTGATGATTTGTGCTGATGATCTATTTTGCGAGACAATATCCGAAGTTCTGGATACAGGACAAATTGCTCGACCTAGTTTGTCTTGAACTCTCCAGACCACTTTCTGCTGTCATTCCAGACGTTCTATCAATTATGTCTTCGGTAAACCCTTCTGCATATTGATCTAGACGGAGTGGTGTCTTCTTTCCTCGAGTCGATAAACGCCTGTCCGTTGACCAGATGCCCACAATCGGCCTGAACACATTATCGGCTTACCCCTTCTTTCCGATTTGTCTTTAACCGGACTCTGCTTCACTCCGACTCGATTAGACTCTTCTCCTGCACTCTTCTCACTCTGACTCTGCTCCTGCGCTTTTGCCGTCTTCACTCTTCTTCATCTGGGTCGGCCTCTCTTCTGTCACCCCTCTTCCTGGTCTGCTCACTTACTCTTCTCCCTTCCCTTCCACGCACTCTATATAAACTCTACTGTCCCACTCCTCCAACTCTCCTCCTTCCATCGCACTCCACCTGCATCCATTCTCATCAACGCGTCTTGTCTTCAAGACACTTTCAAAACAACACATCAAGTCACGCGTGTCTCTTTATCGACGCGCACTCGACCTGACCCTTCTATCATCACAACAAGTACCCAACACAAAACATCAGCACAATGGTTGTCAAGTGGAGCGCAGACAAAGACCAGTTCATCTTGAACCACCTCCTTACCGACACTAGCATCAAGATCAACAACGATGTCCTCGACGCCATGATCCAGACCTGGCGTATGTATTCACCACTCTCACATATTCCCTTCCTTTTTCTTCATCACAACCTCCCCTTCTCTTCTCAGATTTGTCTACACTACATATCGCTCTTCGCTCTATATCCTTGCACTTTCCATACATCTTGTGCAACCTATGCCTACATTCCCTCTATTCACACACAATATTCCGTTCCCAATGGAACTCTTCTTCAAGTCCAGTCTGACACCACAATCCCAGCTGCCACCTTTGGCGCCGCACCCACCAGGAAGGCCTTGACCGAACATTTTGGCAAGATCCGCAAGACCAGCAAGGCCCTCGTTGCAGGCGACGGCACCATCCCTTCCACCCCAGCCACCACCACCGCAAAGAAGACCAAGACTCCCGCTACCAAGTCCACCGCCACCAAGCGCAAGAAGCCAGTCATTGCTACCTCGGACGACTCCGACAACAACTCAGCTCCTCCCACAAAGACCCCAGCCAAACGCCGCAAGCTCGTCACTGCCGATGAAGACGAAGACGCCGACATGCAGGCAGAAGTGGCAGACCTGGGTGTGCGCATCAAGGACGAGCCTGTTGACGAGGACACTCCATCCAAGAAACCTGTTCCTCGTCGTGGCAATGTTGCAAAGATGCCAAAGTACACTGATGACGATGAGGATGCTGAGGGAGGAGGTCACCCTGAGGAAGATGCAGACAATGGTTCTGAGGATGAGTATGTGGATAAGGAGGTTGTAGAGAAGATGAGTACTTATCTGGATGCTCCCGATGATGAGGATGAGGCTGAGGTCTGATCGGGATGTTCTCGCACCGAGCATACGAGGGGAGAAGACTGGAAAGAGACGCACAAGGGAGGACCGCGAGTAATCGGAGTCAAGAACGAAAAGTTGAGGAGAGTGTACCAATAGCGACAGCGATCTGCGGAAGAACGTGCAGAAAGACATGAAAAATCAGAGGAAGCTCTGATCGAAAGGAAAATCTACTTTCCAAAATCATCATTTTTGTGTATCAGTGAAGAATATGAATGACTGAAGACTTGATCTGAACATTTGCTGACTGCATACTTCTTTCTGGACCTCCTTGCACCCTCATTCATGATCGCTTTCATACTTGACCTGACACTGCTGGAGAACGAGTGGTAGCGTCAGCTCAAAGGCTCTTTCTTCTCGAACGAACGGTAAAGTTGCGGACCATCCCTACAAATCCCACACTCCTCTTACGAATCTGATCGACTGTTTCGGGCTCTAACAGTTCTTCAACTGTGAGTTCGTGCTTGAGGGGACTGCATCCGCAGATTGGTTGACCCCTTTTGAGGTGCTTTCGCTTCTTGCGTGAAGGGAGTTCTGATCGTGCTCTCATGGTTTGAAGAAAGCCTCGTCTGGTCGAACGCTGACAGGGGCCACACTTCTGTTGGGTACGGAGCATGATTTCTGAGCTGCTCTTGCATGCTGGTCTGGAAACAATCTTTGGTGCCGACGAGAGAGATCGATCTGGGCTGCTCATGCTCAGGGGTGGTGAGGAAAGACTCAACATGCTCGGGCTGCGTTCGAGTGTTCTGCCTCTGGTTTGTGTCTCGGGATCACCGTTGTTGTCAGATTCGGGCACTGAACGTTTCGGCAACTTTCTGGTGGTCTTGTTGGGCTTGGTGGTGGGTCTTGCTACCCAGATGACGCTGCGACAGGTCGAGCGGTGGAATTGAACAGAATGATTGCAAGAGTAGCGGATTGTAACTGTGTTGCACATGTCTGGCGATGGTGGTTGACAGGTTGATGACCAATGGTTGAGAAATGTTATGGATACGATGAAGGTGGGATGATGCGTGTTTTGGCGTCTTTGTCAAGTCGACGCGAAGTTTGCACCGAGGCGGTACATTGATGGAGGCTCGAAGGGATGTCGTCGTGGGTTGTGGTTGCGGACTGATAGGGCGTGCTTTCTTCGATGGTGGCTCTTGTAAAGCGCGCCTTCCTCAAGAACGACTACAAAGCATGCTGTAACGCCTTGAACAAGGACGTGGTCCAAGTCGTCAGTCGTTGTGTCAGGCTCAGACCTTCACTTTGTTGTCTTTCACACTCACAATGGCGGTATCTAAACTCTGCCACAATCAAGCGACTCTGCCTGTCTTACAATCGAATCTCTCAGCCCTGTGCCCCATGAGAGTTGTTACTGTGATTACACACAATGGTCTGCAGAAAATGGAACTATCCATAGAGCACTCTCCCTCTCTCAGCGACAGCACCTCAACGTATGGACGACTGCGCGGTCTGACAGCCTCCATATCACCTCGTAAACCAAAGACGAGAATTGCTTGTCTCAGGCGAGAGATCTATATACCCAAAACGAAGTCAAGAGCAATGTGATGCATGTTCTTGAAAAACTGTTGAGACAAAGAATCTTACTCACATATCAATGCACAGGTATGCGGCACAGAACATTCCGCAGAAGGTGAATTGTGATATTCTTACATGTTTTACGTTTCCTTGACCGGAAGAGGCTGAGAATCATGACTCCTGTGCAATATGGACACTGTACAGACAAACGCCGTTGAATCTACTCCCTCTTGCGAGATCTAAACAATCTAGGAGGCACCAAGGCCGCTGCCGGGCTCTTCGGCGGCGCTTCTGTCGGATTCGGAGTTGCGGTTTTGAGGACGGCTAAGAGCCTCGAATTGACCTGGAGTGTCGGGTCAGTGAATTGGTAGAGGTGAAGGCAGGCTAGACTTGTCTTACGCTGAACAAGGTTGAGACGGGTCTGGTTGGAACCGTCCTGAGCCTGGAAAGTGTCCATGCGAGCATCGGCCTCGAGGTACATGAGCGTACTAAACAAGCATCAGCATTTTTGAGCGTATGCCGGCTTCGTCGCATGGTGGTTCTCACCCCTTGGGCAAGCTCAGGAGCAGATCTCTGCCGGGGCCATCGGTGAAACTGGCGACTCTGAACCAGCTGGTTGCTCTCTCGCCGTTCTCGTTCTTGGGGCCACTCTTGACACCCAGAGCGTACCGCACCATCTCGCGACCAGTGGATGTGGGAGTGAGCTCGGGCTGATCGGCGAGACGGCCGATGAGTTGCATGCGGGCCAGCGAGTGGGCGGGCGAGGTCGAGAAGGCGCGGGCGCCATTGAGGACGCGAGGGGCTGAGCGAGCGGCGAACATTTTGATGTGGATGGATGTGTATAAGAGATGCAGGTCGAAGCTATCAAGCTCTTAGGTCTGGGAGACGCGACGTGATGCCAAGCATCAATCAACCAAACGCCGACCGCGGTAACATGCATCATCTCCATACCATCTATACCATTCCTGGCATAATCTATACAATTTCGATCCAAGCAATGATCCAACCATAGCCTCATATCAACTCTATGGCCTTCGACCCTTCAGGCGGCTATGCTGCCGCCGCCAGCAACATCCCAGACGCCTTTGACCCCTCGCTGCCCGTCTTCGATGTACAACGAGTCCAGCTCCGTTTCGATATATCCTCGGACTTTGTCGCTGCTCAGGTCGCCAACAATGTCTTGATTCTTGCCCTCTCTACTGGTCGTATCCTCCGATTCGATTTGGACAGTCCCGAAGACATTGACGATATTGATCTTCCCAAGAAACCCTCCGAAATTGGCCTTATTCGACGTCTGTTCCTGGATCCTTCAGCCTCCCATCTTGTTATCTCGACCACTCAAGGCGAAAACTACTATTTGCATACCCAATCCCGAACTCCGAAGCCATTGGCCCGTCTAAAGGGCGTACAGATCGAGTCCATTGCTTGGAACCCTTCACAACCAACTGCCTCGACCAGAGAGATCCTGGTTGGCGCATCCGATGGCAACATCTACGAAACATATATTGAGCCTAGCGCAGAGTTCTACAGAAGAGAAGAAAAGTATCTGAAGACCTTATACAGTGTACAGGATGGTCCCGTCGTTGGTATATCCGTCGACATATCCTCGGACGTACGTAGCGTCCTGGTAGCCACTTCTACGAGACTGCTGCTCTTTGTCGGGAAGGGAGGTCGCCAAGATAGTGGTTCCATCTACCCTAGGCTTCTCGAGCGGGAGACACCTGTGGTACACCATCTGGAAGATGCAACTTCAGGTCCATCGACTTTGGTCACTATCACGGAACCGGCAGATGCCTCTCTATCAGAGTCCGCGCAGGAAAATGTCTTTGCTTGGCTCAACTCTATGGGCGTGCTTCACGGGGACTTTGATGCTTTGGTACAGACCGCAGAGACGAGTCCATTTGCTGCAGCCAAATTGCTACCAAAGTCGGTAATACCTCCTTCTCAAACCTCTGGTGGTCGAAGCAAGCCTTCCTTGGAACCCATATCATCGATTTCCTTGACACAGTTCCACATACTTCATCTTGTTGAAGGTCGTGTGGTCGCAATCAACAGACTTGATGGCAGCTTGGTTTACGATCAGCTTGTCTTAGAACCTGGAAATGCACCACTCGGTCTCTACGCAGACCACAAGAAGAACACATACTGGCTGTTCACTCAACGCGAGATCTTCGAGGTCGTCGTCACAGATGAGGCTAGAGACGTTTGGAGGATAATGCTCCGGAACGAGCAATTCGATGCAGCATCGCGCTATGCTAGAACTGCCGCGCAAAAGGATGCTGTCGCTACCGCGTCTGGAGATCACCTTGTTTCGCGACGCCGCTTCTCGGAAGCTGCGGCAGTATATGGCAGAAGCACGAAACCATTCGAGGAGGTCGCACTTACTTTTATTGACCAAGGAGAACAAGATGCTTTGAGAAAGTACCTCTTGACAAAACTCTCCGTCCTCAAGAGATCATCAACTATGCAGCGGATCATGGTTGCCAGTTGGCTGGTCGAGCTTTTCATGGCCAAATTGAATCTTCTAGATGACACCATCTCGGCGAAAGCGGAAATCTCTGAGGCAGCTCCGATCGCCAATGTGCAAGAAGATCTTCCTTCAATGCGCCGCGAGTTTCAAGAGTTCGTTACGAAGTACAAAACGGATCTGGACAGAAAGACCACCTACGAGCTGATCAGTAGCCATGGACGAGAAGAAGAATTGCTCTATTTCGCCAACGTTATTGACGATTACAACTATGTTCTGTCATACTGGGTGCAAAGAGAACGATGGCAAGAAGCCATGTCAGTTCTCAAGAAGCAGACAGCTCCCGAGATATTCTATCAGTATAGCAGTGTTCTCATGACGCACGTCGCTGTTGAGCTTGTAGAAGTCATGATGCGGCAAAACAACTTGGAGGCCAACAAACTCATTCCCGCTCTGCTCAACTACAACAAGACGGCAGATGTTTCATTGAATCAGGTAAGCCTTGGAGAATATACGAGGAACTCCCACTAACCAGATCAAAAGAACCAAGCTGTTCGCTACCTCCAGTTCTGTATCAACCAGCGCCATTCAACAGAAACCGCAGTCCACAACACCTTGGTATCGATCTATGCTGCACATGCTACCCAAGACGAAACTGCGCTTTTCCAGTACCTCCAGACGCAGAGTGCCTCGCATGAGCAAAACTACGACGCAGACTTTGCGCTTCGCCTTTGTATTGCTCATGAACGTGTCCAATCATGTGTACACATCTACTGCACAATGAATCAGTATGCTCAAGCTGTGGACATGGCACTCAAGCACGATGAGATGGATCTTGCTGCAAACGTGGCTGATCGACCCGGCAACGACCCTGCTCTGCGCAAGAAGTTGTGGTTGAAGGTTGCGAAAAAGGTCATCGGTCAAAGCAAAGGTATCAAAGCTGCCATGGAGTTCCTGAAACGCTGCGAGCTACTACGTATCGAGGACTTGATTCCCTTCTTCCCAGACTTTGTGGTCATTGATGACTTCAAGGAAGAGATTTGCGCCGCTCTCGAGGAATACTCACGACAGATCGAAGGCTTGAAGCGAGAGATGGATGAAAGCGCAAATACTGCGCAGCACATCAAGCAGGACATCAAATCTCTCGACCAGAGATACGCAATCGTTGAACCTGGCGAAAAATGTTGGAGTTGCAGACTTCCTCTGCTGATGCGCCAGTTCTTTGTGTTCCCTTGCCAGCACTCTTTCCATGCTGACTGCCTTGGCAAGATGGTACTCCAGAGTGTCGGAATGGGCAAAGGCAAACGCATCAAGGAGCTGCAGACCGAAGTTGGGCGAGCTGTTGTCACGGGCAAGAAACGAGAACGCATGGTCAAGGAATTGGATGCGCTGGTCGCCGGTGCTTGGTAAGTCGAGTTCCGCTGGTTTCACAAGCAGCTTGCTAACAGATCAACAGTGTACTATGCAGTGAAATGGCTGTCAAGCGCATTGATGAGCCGTTTGTGACCGCCAACGACAACAAGAACGAATGGTCCATCTAACATCGAACTTCAATAGCATCGCCGATACCCCTTGTATACACATGTAATTTCCAGCTACTCAAGCTATTGCTCTGCCACCATGTGACGGTCATTGTCATCGCAACCTTGATACACTCTCAGAACAACTGGTGTGGTGGAACTCGTGAACTTTCGGCGTGCGCGGAAAAACCTGAACTGCACCATGCTGGTGATCTACATTGTATCGAAAGCGTTCTTCGAAAAACATGGCAATATCACTTGCCGTTCGATCGGTTCCGACGGATACGGCTTCGCCGCCGGCTGTGGTCTCGTCAACCAGAATCGGGCCGAACAGAACACTCCACCACGGGACTCTTGAAAGTGTCACCGTGTCACCCGTGTCGTGCCAGATAATAATCCGGAGACCCCTTGTCTTGCTCCAAAGAGAAAAAAGTGGTGCTTGTGGTGCAGTGGAGAATGTTTTTGCACACCCCACGCTTGCTCCGGCTAAGCACGATTTAGGGCTGTGTGGATGTGAAGCCACGCTGTCATGGGGAGGCTGCAGGTCCGTCGAATGGCTTGACATAAAACAATATTTCACCAAGCAGACAGACGAAGGAGGTGTTCAAGCAGCGTCTTGTCGCGTGTTGGTCTGGCGTTCCTGCTCTTTCGGAAGTTCGTATAGATGTCCAATGACATGATATATGGAGGTTGGCGCCACTGCCAACAAAGATGCTTGTGCGCAAGCCAACCGCGGACAAGGCGTAGCTTGGCGCTCGCGATGACGCTTTTTTCCTGGTCGGCCATAAGATCTATCTCCCAGGCGTACTACCTAACGTCGTATGAAGGAGCGAGTGCTAACGGAAACATTCCCTCTTCTTTTATTGGTTTTGCTTGTCGTCATATTGGGCTCAAGGGTCTTGTGACGTTCAAGGTTCGAGAACATGTTGTACAGATTCGAAGTCACTTGCGATTGGGAGGGCTGATTGCCAGAACAGACTCATACTCTTGACAAGTCCTGTATCTCTGGCACATACGCCCTGGCTTCCGTGATCAAAATCTCAAACTAGAGCTATGTGGGTCTTCAATCACCGTGCCACGTTGGAGTCGGAGTCACGGCTCTCGATATCTTGGGCCGCTCAGTAAGATCTGCGCGAATCCCTCGACTCCGAGAGTCCAAGTCCACCTGCTGGGTGACATCATGCTCCTTCGTCAAAAACTCAAGTCGCCATATAAGATGGCAAGATCACCCACTCTGTGTAACTTCCCCGGTCTTATTTTCCACTTCCCCAGTATCCCCAGTTTTCATCTGACGGTATCCTTTCTGGCCGTCAGACATATAGAATATACACCTCGTCTGCGATAAACGACCTCGCGGGTATAGACTATAATATCTGATACATTGCACTACACTCAACATGGCCGGCATGTTTGAGAACGAAAAGGTCGAGAACCCGGACTCGTCTGAACCCTCGATCGAACGCAGAGTCGACAACTCCGAAGTACCGACCCGCAAGAAGGAGACCGGCAAAGATTACGACAACGGCGACAAGATCATCTTGACAGAAGATGATTGCTACGAACAGCTTGGTTTCTGCTTCCCTACTTGGAAAAAATGGACGATTCTGTCTGTCATCTTCATCGTCCAGGTCTCGATGAACTTCAACACTAGTCTCTACAGCAATGCTATTACTGGCATGACCGAGGAGTTCAACATCAGTGCTCAGGCTGCCCGCTGTGGTGCCATGATCTTCCTTGTCCTCTACGCTTTTGGTTGTGAGCTGTGGGCTCCCTGGTCCGAGGAGCTCGGAAGATGGCCTGTCCTCCAGCTCAGTTTGTTCCTCGTCAACATCTGGCAGATCCCTGTTGCTCTTGCAAAGAACTTTGGAACCGTTATGGCCGGTCGTGCCCTCGGCGGTCTGTCTTCCGCTGGTGGTTCCGTCACTCTCGGTATGGTTGCCGATATGTGGGAGCCCGATGAGCAGCAGTACGCTGTCGCCTTCATCGTCTTCTCTTCCGTTGGTGGCTCCGTTCTTGGCCCCGTTGTCGGTGGATTCGTCGAGCAATATGCTGCTTGGTATGTCTGATGTTTCGAAACCAACACTCTCCATTCTCTAACAATTTATAGGCGATGGAACATCTGGATCCAACTGATCTTCGGTGGCTTCGTTCAAGCTCTTCACTTCTTCCTCGTACCCGAAACCAGAACTAGCTGTATGCTTGACAAGATCGCTAAGAAGCGTCGCAAGGCTGGTGAGACCAATGTCTACGGACCCACTGAACTCATTCCCTGGAAGGATCGCTTCTCCGCCAAGGAGATTATTCAGACCTGGATCAGACCTTTCAAGATGTTCTTGACTGAGCCCATCGTCCTGACTCTCTCCCTGCTCTCCGGTTTCAGTGATGCCCTGATCTTCATGTTCTTGCAGTCTTACGCTCTTGTCTACGACCAGTGGGGATTCTCCGCCTACCAGATTGGTCTCGCCTTCTTGCCTCTGCTCATCGGATACTTCATCGCATGGTTCTCGTTCTTCCCCGCCATTGCTCGTAACAAGAGACAGCGCCGTGAGAATCCCAACGATGAACACGCTCAGTACGAATCACGTCTTTGGTGGTTGCTCTTTACTGTCCCTTGCCTTCCTATCGGTCTGATCGGCTTCGCTTGGACTAGTGGCGGACCTCCAATTCACTGGATTGGCTCCATGGTTTTCAGTGCAGTCATCGGTATTGCCAACTACTCGATCTACATGGCGACCATCGATTACATGATTTGCGCTTACGGACCTTACTCGGCCTCTGCCACCGGTGGTAACGGATGGTCTCGTGACTTCCTTGCTGGTGTACTGACTGTACCCGCCACTCCATTCTACACCAACATTGGTGGTAAGCATCACTTGGAGTATGCTTCGACCATTCTGGCTTGCATCGCGCTCCTTCTTGTCGTTTCGGTCTACGTCATTTACTGGAAGGGACCTGTTCTCCGTAAGCGTTCGCCCTTCGCTCAGCAACTGTCTTCTGCTCGCGAGGAGAACGGTGGAAGAAGAGCCTCGGCCATCTATGGACCTAGTAGACAAAACTCTTTGACTGCATCTGTCAAGTCATCAGCATCTAATAGACAGTCTGTCTAAATTTGGATACAGGAGGATGCGTTTGTAATACTACCCACGACCTTTGATTTATTGCTTTGTCGTGAAAGACTAGATACCCCATTCTGAATTTACTATTTAATATCATCTTTGCTCCAACGTAGCCCGCTTGTTTCTCGTACACGTGCTGCACATTGAGAAAAGTAGAGAGTCGACATGAGCGAATTTGCTACCTGAAGAACAACCGTCGGCATTCGCACTCCGCGGACTCCCAAGCGCGGCGACAGTATCCTGGGCATTGAGGGTCGAAGCTGCAAGAGCCAACCGTTTGGCCAATTGCAAGGACGATAGAAGCCATTGATCAGTGATTTCCAGAGGAGCGAGTTCTCGGTCGTACGCGGACATTTGTAGATGATCATCGAGGCCAGCGGGCTACGCGTAGATAGGCACGGCGTACAGAGTTTGGTGGCCGTGTATGCGTATGGCGGAGGCGATGTATAGCCATGAAAGCGAGCATGGCATAAGAGCGTGTGTCTTCTCTGTGCCCAACCTGAAGCGGTGTAGGGAGCAGAGAAAGGAGATTACTTTCGAATGCGAACCTTTCCGACCTTCTGTTGACCCTCTTTCGAGTTGTCATACTTCTTTGGCGGTGCAACCCATTCGTCCTTCTTATCTTTCCAGAAGCCCTTGCCGTAGCTGACAAGAATCTCCTCTCCTGGTCTGATGCCGTTCTTTCTCATGCCGGTAGTGCCAGTTGTGACGACAAAGATACCGATCCATCTCTCCCACTTTCTTTGGCCAGTCTGGACCCAGATGTCGCGGAACTCTGCATTGGGTCTGTCGGCGATGCCGCGGTAGTCGTTGATGAAGCGAGCTTCGTTGCCGGAATTTGCAGCATCTTGGGCGAGATCAAGGTCTCTGTCGAGCGAGATGTCGTATTCAGAGTCGGGATCGGTATCTTTGGGGCTGTTGGTGTGCATGAGACCGAGGTAAGGCAGGATGAAGTTGCCAGGATAAAAGTGCTTCTTCGCGGCTAGACCAAATTGGCCGTTGGCGGGATGCTCGGGGTCATTGAGAGGGACGATGCGGACGTCGGGGTTGGGAAAGGCGAGGTTTTCGGCCGAGAAGCGCGTGAAGGAGGCGGTGGCAGGTGTTGGAGTGTTGAGGATCTTGAGAGCGAGGGGAGAGACGGCGGGAGAGATTTTGGGACGGCGGAGGTACTCGATGTTTTCGGGCCAGTCGAGGGGGAGTTCTTCTTGCAGGACTTGTTCTTCCTGTGAGACTCGCTCCTCTTGGGGCATCTCTTCTTGTTGCGACATGATTGCTGGTTTTCAGGAGGAGGAGATCAAATGGGCGCAAAAAGTCCTTGACCTTGTCGCGGAAAAGCGCCGCTCGAATTGGTGCCCCGCTCCTTCTCTCGCACGCTTCACCCACTTGACTTGTTCAAAGCAGCCATGGACAACGTCCTCTCGACGTCGGCCGTCGATGCCCAGGTCGACGCTCTCCGCCAGCAGATTCAGGCTACCGAGGACCAACTATCCCAACTACGAGAACAGCTGGCCCATGCCGAGCAAGTCCAACACCGCGCCCGAGATGCAGGCAAGCTCGAGACCGACTGGCAGCAAGAGATCATGGGCGCGCTGAACAACCCTCAGCACCAGTACTATCAGGAACCGGACCCGCAACAGCGATTTGCTCTCAGCAATACAGAGTTCCAACGCTATGCTCGTCAACTCATCATGCCCCAGGTCGGCCTGCAAGGTCAACTGCGATTGAAGGCCGCCCGAGTCCTCATCGTTGGTGCTGGAGGTCTTGGTTGCCCGGCTGCTGCATACCTCGCTGGCGCTGGCGTCGGCACTCTGGGTCTGGTAGACGGCGACACCGTAGAAGAGTCGAATCTCCATCGCCAAATTGCCCACTCGACCGATCGTGTCAACCTTTTCAAGGTCGACAGCGCAATCACTTATCTACGCGCCCTGAATCCTAACATCGTCTATATACCGCATAGAGCTCATCTTACTCCCTCATCTGCATTGGATATCTTGTCCAATTATGATTTCGTACTCGACTGTACGGATCATCCTACTTCGCGCTACCTTATCTCGGATGCCTGCGTCTTGTCGGGGAAGCCTCTGGTATCAGCCTCGGCTCTGCGCACAGAAGGCCAGTTGACCGTTCTGAATTATCCCCCGCGAGCTCCTGGTGCATCGGACGGCGGCCCTTGCTACCGTTGTGTCTTCCCACGCCCACCTCCTGCTGAGTCCGTAGTCAGCTGCGGTGAAGGCGGTATTCTGGGACCCGTCGTAGGCGTCATGGGTGTTCTCCAAGCCTTGGAAACTCTCAAACTCATCACCTCTGCTCCAGACGCAGCAGCACCTTCGCCATCCCTTCTTCTCTTTTCCGCCTACAGCATACCTCAATTCCGGAACGTCAAACTGCGCTCAAGACGTGCCGACTGTGCTTCATGTTCTGCAAACCACACAGTCACAGAGTCCAGTCTGACTTCTGGATCAATGGACTATGTAGCCTTCTGCGGCGTCACAAATCCCGTCGATGTATTGCCACCTTCATCCCGCATAAGTGCTGGTGATCTTCTTTCTGTCCTTGCATCTGCATCGCCTCACGACGACGAGGGTCCAATTCTTCTGGACGTCCGCGATTCCACGCAGTTTGAGCTGTGCAGTCTTCCTAACAGTATAAATTTGCCGTGGCAAGGCTTGCAAACCCGTCTTCGCGACGACAAACAGATCATCGAGGATCTCAAGGGTAGAGATGTGTTGGTGGTTTGTAAACTGGGCAACGACTCTCAACTCGCTGTTCAGATGCTAGCTTCCACAACCCCGGAAATCAACAGTATAAAAGACGTACGAGGAGGTTTCCGCGCATGGAGAGATGAAGTCGACTCTGAATGGCCCGATTACTAGATCCCGAGTATACCCCGATTTGCCAAAACGATAATGCAATGCTTTTTTTCAACATCATCCCTCATGTTCTTATGTGTACCCAGCATGCTTCAACCCCTCAATCATGCCTCCACTCATCAACGCCCACCTCAACACATTAAATCCCTGCACTTCTCCCCCAGCCGCAGCACCAAAGCCCCTAACGAATTCCTCTGCCACCCTCACTCCTCTCAACACTGCCTTTCCCTCATCCGTCATTTCCAACTCCTCTGCAATCCAAACCTCCAACTCCTTTTCCTCGCCAGATCCAATGATGGATTTGTTTACGCCGGCAGCGAAAACGACGAGAGACTTCAACGCCACAGCCGCCTGAGCAGCAAAGTTTCTGTATCGTAGACCTTGATTGCAGAAGGAGATTTCCGAGGAAGAGGGAAGAATGTCGGTGTATTCGATAAAGACTTCTGTCCATTTGCGCAATTCTTGCGCGGAAAGGATGCCCTTGTTGACATGCTTGAAGTTCAGTTGCTTGAGCTTGCCACATCGGTTGTGTCGTAGCCATGACAGTGCTTTCGTCAAACAGCCAACGCCATCGTCGAGGGGGGAGCGTAGGTCGTAAGTAAATGTGTTGGTGCTGTAGTGGAGAGGTAGAGTTTCGTTGCGTAGGAGAGAGCAAGTGTGGGAGAGTGGCGGAGAGATCCAGGTATTGTGGCTGCAGTATTGGGACAGTAGATGTGAAGATGAGGAGTTTGGAAGTAGGTATGAGTAGATCTGAAGGCGGATCTCGGCTGGGAGGTTGAGCAAGGTCGAGTCTTGGGGTATGGAGTTGAGTGGTGAAGCCATAATTTTGTTTGTTGTGAGACCGCCACGAGACTTCTCGAGAGATTGATCAGTGGCTTTTAGCGGGGGGAAACAAGGTATAGATCAGAGCCAAGATCTCAATTGGTAGCAAAACAGAATAGACAGGACATCGGTGGGCATCCCTTTCTTATCAGATCATCTAAGATCAAGACAAGTGGTTCGATCGATCTGATTAGATTTACCTAATACATGCGATATCGGCCTTGCGTGCGCCCTTTTGTGACTTTTTCGTCCATGTCTCTCGCGTTTCATACCTGAAAGAACGGCTTGTCTTGCTCGTGAGGAAAATTGTACAAGTCGGAAAGACGGCGTGCCAAAGATGGATTGATCGAGGTCCATATTTCGTGCACAAAATAATTGTGAAGCCGGATAAAACTGTATAATACATAAATCCTTGTCGAGTCCGACATCGTTCGAACCGGATATGTGACACCAAACGCTCTCTATACCACGACGGTAAGGTATCCAAACTTGCTCGGAGATCCCTCAGACCAATAGATTGAATTGAGCGGCCTGTCATTGACACAGACAGTCCGACATCTGGCTCCAGATTCTTCTTTGATTCTTCACCTCTTCATCCGTTAACGATAACGCAGCATCCATTGCAAGGAACAAAGGTATACATCTAATCCACGCAATTCTCAAGATATCTGCTAAGTTGTTCCGACAGTCTAGTATAATCCAATTTCGGAACATCTCCGAGATCTCACCATCTTCCATCTTTCACGGACCCAAATAACTGCGACTCACCAAAATGACTTTTACCCACCCACTCCCGCCAGATCTCTTGGAATCACAAATCTCAACTCTCGATCTCCTTCTCGCCATGTTCCCAGATGAATCCGAATACGACGTCTCACCATCAGATTTGGCTCTCATCACGAATATTCGAGATCACGGCAGTGACGACCTAACAACCACACTTCCGTCAGAGATCCATCTAGCTCTACACGTAGCATTGGATGTCACACACTCTATCCAAGTCAATGTAACTGCACCACTGCAGAGTACAGAGACAGATCCCACAGAAGCACCACCGATATCATTCTCGTTGCGTCAACCCACATGGCTCGACAAAGCCAGTCTAGCAACTCTATCTTCCTCTCTTCCCAACGACATTTTCAGCGCCCTGGATGCCTTACGAGATCAAGGCCCCTCACTCATCCCCACCTCAACCACATCTATCGCGTCAAAACCAGCATCCACAGGCCCTCTGGTACGCGTATGGTTCTACTTCCCTTCCCTCAGCACCCGCGAAAAGCGCCAACACATGGTCGACTGGGCACCCTCCTACTCCCTGACTGGCTTCGTGTTGGCTGGCAAACCCGGATTGCTGTGTCTGGAAGGGTCTGCGTCAGACATTGATGCTTACATGAATGAAATCAAGACGGTTTCTTGGGGTGATATTCCTTCGCATCAGAAGAAGGTGAGCGAAAGGTATAGGGAGACTGGGACGGAGGTGACGAGGGCATTCGAGGGAATGATAGAAATCACAGATTTGGTGGGGGAGAGGCATGGGCAGAGGCAGAATAGAGGGGATATGGCTGCTATTGAGGCGTGGTTGAAGGAAAGGGGGTTGGGTGAGATGTTTGAAAGCGTGATTTTGCAGAGTTAGGATTGGAGCATGAGAGAACTTTGATAGAGATGAAGAGGGATAGAGCATTGGAAAAAGAATGTTTCTGGTTTTTGTTCGTGAGTTCTGCTTTTTTTTTGGTCCGATGCACATTTGGTCTTCCTCTGCACCTTTTTCGCTCATTCACATTTTGACTCTCTTGCATGCTTCCTCCGGCACATCTGCCTTTGCTGCAACCGTTGATATAAACCATGGTCTTTGTCGTCGTAACAATGCGTGTCATCTTTCCCAAACCCGTCAAAGGGAAACCAACTTCTCCTTCTCTCGTGAGCCTCCATCTCAGTCGTTCAAAGCCATCGATCAACTTCGACCTCATCTGACGGCTATTCCTCGCCCTCATCTCCCACCACCACTTGCTCCTCCATTTCTCTCAACTCCATTTCTTCCAAGGAACTCTTTGCCATGTGATGGACATCTCTTGACGACATTCTCATACACCTCTGTAGCCGCCTTGTCCCAATCAGAGCACACTTGCACAGAGTCCCATTCCGTGGCAGTGCTAGCCTTACGAGCAATGCTGCACAGGTCTATGTGTTTGTGGATGCAGCCGCAGAGTCTGTATGTGGTGACTCTTGCGCGACACATGATAGGTGTTGGATGAGGAGATTGTATTGTTGGCTGTGTGCGAATGGAAAGATGCAGATGAACACAGCGGTAACTGGATTGGCTTAGTTGACTCGATGTTGCTTTGAGAGTGTGTTGATGAGATTGATTGGATGGTGTGCTGTTGATTTGATAGAATGAGTCTCGGATATGGATCGATGATATGAGATAGGTTGCAATGGTTTGGTCTGAATATCTCAATCATGAAGGATGTTGTTTGGGGTAAAAAAGTGTTTGATCCAAGGATACAAGCACAGAAACTGCTTCCATCGTACCTTCACGTTCCTGCATTGAGCTGTGTGCGCGTGGCACCGCACGTGGCATTGTTATACCATAAGTTGTGGAAGGTACGACTGCCTTGAGCTTCTTGTCTTTTTGAGATGGCAAGTGCAGATGAAGGACATGCGGAAGCACGTGTTCGGCAACAAGTCAACTCACGAGCATGCGCGCAGGACTATCCAAAGTCTTTGCCTAGACAACTTGACAATGATATTGTTTCGTAGCCATGTATGCAGAGAAGACGAAACTATGATTGGAGATGATGAACCAATGCATTATGAGACCAAGAGTGCTACTCACTTGATCCAAATTAACTTTGCTATTTGGTTGGTCTCGTTCGCTCCCACATTTCGTATATGGTCTGAAAGACACTTGTAGCCAATTTGAGTGTTTCCTCATCAACGTTGCTTCCACCAAAGCGGCGTTGGAACCTATCAGGATGCCAATTGACACTCTCATCCTTGAGCGTTTTGGTCCGGACGTCTTCCGTTTCCAATGGAGCGTTCAAGAAGAAATCTTCAACACTCTGTTTCGCAACATCTTTGGCAGCAAGACTTTGGACAGGCCACGGGATTGCCTTGAGAAGGTTGTCGTGATCGAGTTGCGCAGAGTTGGCTTTGAGCTGCTGCCATCCTTGTTGATAAGATGACCAGGCTTGTTGCCATTTCTTGGCTTCCTTACGCTTGGCACCTCGAGCAAGGGCAGCGTCTACATCGGACATGAAGCCCTTATCGCGTGGTGCATCTCTGGTGTCTGGCTTTGGACGACGTGTGCGTGTGGACCTCTTTTCGTAGCCCTTCTCTGCATTGCCAACCCATTCAAAGTCTTCCTCATACTCATCATCCTCACTAATGTGTCGTCTCTTCCTCGATCTTGCATCCTGGGCCTCCTCTTCACGCTCAGCACGCGCTTGACGCTCTCTAAGCAATTCTGGGTTCTTCTTCTCCCACATTTTGGCTTTGACGTATTCGACGTATTGGTCATCGGTCATTTGCTCGAGATGACCTTGATCGTCTTTGAGAGAAGGACGAGGATATGAGTGGATAGATTCTCCATAGACACCTTCCCAGTATGCTGCACCTTCGTCATCTGCCATGGCGTCGAATAGCGATTCGCGGAAAGCCAGGTCTGGGTCTACAGACTGAGCTGCATTGGGTTCGGGTTGAGGCGAAGCCGATATGGACGGGTCCAGGTGTTCGGAGTCGCGCGGACGAGAGAAAGGGTGGGCAGTATACCCTTGGACATTGGCTTCATCGTGTTCATCAGTGTGCCTGGAGGTGTGCCTGGAGGTGTGCCTGTGTCTATGCCTGTGTGATGAATGCTTGCTCTTTCGCTTGTCACTGCCACTGCTCTTCCCGTCCTTGAAGCGAAAGCGCAATGATGGCGGTGACCTAGTTCTGCGTCTCTCACTGCCATGGTGTTTAGTGGTCTCCCTCTCTTCGCGCATGCGTGTTGAACGTCGGCGCGTCATCCGGTCATATTCGTCCAGAATGCGCTCGTGCTCGCGCTGAGTCTGTTCGTGCGACTGGCGGGCATGATCGTGATCGCGTATCTGATCCTTGATTTGATTGATGCTGTCTTGGATGCTAGGCATCTCAAGTCTTGTCTTAAGGACTGCAAGGATCTTGGAGAAGTTTCGAAATGTGACGCAAAGTTAGAGTTGCAGCCAGCAATCTCACCAAGCCGCGGACAGAAAGTCATCTAAGTGACCAAACTAAGCCGAAGAAAGAGTCAAGACTTGATCACAGAAATCGAGTTATCTTCTAATCACAAGTTTTCCAATTAGTCACTTAGATAGACAGTTATCACTATCAACTATGGTGAAGCCCAAGCATTACATCACTATTAGCCATAGTTAAGCATAAGAAGAAGGCATCCTTAAAGCGCCGCCGTCGCTATCACATAAAGCAACCTGCTCTAAGCAGCGACAGTTCTAACAAGGCTTCTCCACCTCGCAAGAAGAAGAGGAAACCCTCCAGGCAGTCCACCCACAGCAGCGACACGTCCGATGAGGCGTCCCCACCTCACAAGAAGACGAGCAATGTTATGGACACATTACGCGAAATGGGCGGCGGGGACAGAACTAAATATTTGAGAAGTCGCTTGGCCGCAGAAACTTTGGAGTAGAGGTATTGAAGAAATTATTGTTCATTCAGTAAGGTTCGTTATGCTACATTAAAGTAATTGTTCGTAACTGGTATCGTCGTCTAGGGGTATCAAGGGCGAATTGTTTACTTCATGAAGCCCTTCTTGCCGTCACCGTCAGAATCCTTCAAGGGGTTGAGCTTGTCAAGGAGCGAAGCCTTCTTGTGCTCGGTACCAGTGGTGCCGGTGGTGTTGTGGCCGGTGGCGTGCTCGCCCTCGCGGACGTCCTCACGGAGGCGCTCACCAGTAGACTCGTGGCCGGTGTGGGAGCCGATCAAGCCGGAGCCAGTCGAGCCGTGGTGACCAGTGGTGGATCCAGTCAGGCCGGAGCCAGTAGTGGAACCGTAACCAGCACCGGTGCCGGAGCCGACGGCGCGCTCACCCTCGCGGAGATCCTCACGGAGACGCTCGCCAGTGGAGCCGGTCTGGCCGTAACCAGTCTGGCCGGTGAGACCGGAGCCGGTGTGCGAGCCAGTGAGGCCGGAGCCAGTCTGGCCGTAACCAGTCTCACCGTAGCCGGTCTGACCGTGGGTGCCGTGGGTACCCGAGTGAAGAGCACGCTCGCCCTCGGCAACGAGGCCAGAGCCAGTGCTGCCGGTGTGCGACGAACCGGTGAGACCGGTGCCAGTCTGGCCGTAACCAGTCTGACCGGTCAAGCCGGAGCCGGTGTGAGATGAGCCGGTCAAGCCAGAAGCGCCGCCAGCGTAGCCGGGAATGCCAGTGTCTCTACCACTGGCAGGGTCGAGGAGCTCACCAGTGCGGGTGTTGTGGTTGTGGCTGAAGTCGTGGGCGTGGTGGGCAGTGCCGTGGTGGAGCTGGTGACGCTCCTGAGGGTCGGAACCGCTGAAGCCAGTCTGACCGTGGGTGCCGTGAGTACCCGAGTGGAGGGCACGCTCACCCTCGGCAACGAGGCCGGTACCAGTGCTGCCGGTGTGCGACGAACCTGTAAGACCGGTGCCAGTGTGCGAGCCAGTAAGGCCAGAGCCGGTGTGGGAGCCGGTCAAGCCGGAGCCAGTGTGAGACGAGCCGGTCAGGCCGGAGTTGTTGTTACCGGTAAGACCGCTGTCGTAGCCGGAGCCGCGGTGGGAGCCCTGCTCGAGACCGGCACGGGTGAGGTGATCCTCAACACCATCGTGGCCAGTGCGGCCACCGGGGATGCTTGAGGCTTGCTGACGCTTTTGACGGTCCATGTTCTCTGCGCTGCCACCGTTGAAGGCGTGCTCGGCAGTGTTGTCTGTTGCGGGGTCGCGGGTGTGGCTGTGCTCGGCAGCAGTGGCATTGTCGTTGATGCCCTTGGCCTCGTTGGAGCCGAGCTTGACCTCGTGGCCACCAGAGCCGGGCTCGTTGCCATGGGGGTGGGCCTCACGGCGAGGGTCATGCTCGCCAAGGTCACCGGGGAGATGGGCTGGAGATGTGTTAGTTGGGAATTCAATAAGATGCCACAAGCTTGGAAGCTTCAAAGGTTGACTTACCAGGGACGTTCGACATGATGCGTGGTTGTATGTGGGGATAAGCTGAAGAGGGGTTATAAGTTGGAAGTGGTGTTTGGGTATCGAAGATGAGAGTTGTTCAGAGAAGATGGTATGGAATGAGAAAAATTGTCTGTTGGAGGGAATTGGACGAGGTATTTAAAGACATGTGGTGGTGAAAGAGCTGTCGCTCAGCTACAAGGTATGATGTACCTTACCCCACTACGCACGTCATGGAAGGAGCAGCCCAAACACCCAAGCAGGCTGCCCCGCATCCCGGGTCTTTTTGGCAGGCAGGCTGTGGGCTGGACTCTTTCATCATCTGCCCTTCTCTGCCCTTCCATAAGTCTTTTCTTGGTTCTATCTAAGCGACAATCTTCTATATTCGAGCTGCGATCGTAATAACGCGTAAGGTCGTGCAATTGAGCCCCCTTGGAAACCTGGCAGGAAGGTTCTGAACACAGAAATAGATAGACAGAGCCTCGTCAGAGGGTTCCCAAGCGCCTGGCTTTTTGCCCTTTCAGGTTTCTCGTCCTTCCAGCTCATTCCTTTTTTTTCCCTGCTTGCGGAAAAAATATACGTCAATTCGTTTCTAGCTCCGTTCCTTCCTGCCACGTCAGCCTCAATTTCGTCTTGTCAAGCCACTTTGTCGTGCTCCGTCCTGATGTCAAGCCACTTCGTCTTTGCAGGAGGTTGGACCAGCCTGTCATCCCTCCACCAACCAAACGGCCACGAACCTTGGTCAATTGCAAAAACTCACATGTGACATGACCATGCAAGCATCATGCTTAATCCAACATTATCTTGGCTGGGCTTGTCTCCGTATAGTGAAAGTCAAACCCAGCTTTCTCCCCGTACGCAAATGCATACGGAGTAGTCCATTCAGTAAACGAAAAGCTTCCATTGATTGCCATAACCTCGTCAACTCCTCGAGGACCGACGTGTAGATATAAATTATTCTGATTCCTACGACCGTATGACATATTCTTGCACTCGAGAAGCTTGTAACGAGCCTATCCGACCAACCCATTCATCGTTTGGATAGCAATGACATGCACAAGTCACCCAATGCAAGAATACTCATAAAATTGTGCAAAGGAAGCATACTTTTAGGCCGTTAACGATACATTAGAAATTGATTAACAAAGGAAATGCCATAGTGGAATCATCGACCAGCCAAACGTTCCATCGCTTGTCCTTGAACCAGACCGACCAAGCACGCATGTATCATCGGCGTCTCGTTCTTCTCGTAGCTGATCTGCACTTCGACAGTGCGGATGACCTGCGACATGTCTTGTTGTGCGACGAAGCCATCGGGTGTCTGTGGAGAGCCCAGAGCAACCACTCCTACGCCAGCTCCTGTCTTGCTTTCTTCGTCGTCGAGTCCTGAGGTGTGTATGCTGCGTAACGAGATCGTGTCATCCCAAGGCTCTTTGGCCTCGCGTGTTTTCGTGAACAATTGGCGGGCCTCCTGGGCAAGAGGTCGTAAGAGTGGTAGCGATGTGACTGTGAGCACGACGTTGAGTTCGACAGAAACCCATGTAACGAATGGTGTAAGTTCATCTGGGCGATACGTTAGCCTCTGTCCGATTGCCTCGTTAAGAGATCGGGCTTATAGACTTACAAGTATAGTCGCCAACATCGTTGAGTTTGTGCGCAGCGACTGTTCTCACAAGGGCTGCAACCATGGCTCTATGTTTGAATCATGTCAATTTCGTGATCTATATGCAGAGTTCTGTGGCTGCCTTACATGATGCTCAGACAGAGCAAGGAAGCAACACCGATCTTGTTTCCCGTCGCCAGTTTCGTGTGTTTGATCAAAAGTGCAGGCTGAACAGTCAAGAAGAAATCGGTCAGGGTGTTGAATGCTATCATCTGTCAGTACTGCTCACTGCTGAGAGCTCACATGTACTCACCACCAGCAAAGTAAGCATAGTTTGTCTGAACGCTGATGTCCAGGCAGTAGGTGAAGTAATCACCAAGACGAAGGAGAAACATGTCTTCGAGATGGGTACCGCAGGTGCTTAGGAGAAGGACAGATGCCAGTACATTGACGATGATTTGAAGAACAATAAAAGTCCAGATGGGCCATTTCTTGGTTTGGGGATCGGTTTTGGCGACACAAAGAAGAAAGGTACAAAAGGACAGGCGACCAAAGAGAGGACAGAGATAGCTCCAGACCAGAGAGATGAAGCCATACTTGAGAGCAAGATATCTCTTATCAGGCTCCAAATAATAAACGTGACGGCCGAGGCCATTGTCGAATGAGACCTGTAGAAAGGCAGCATGGACCCAACCAAGTAGCTATAGGTTCGGTTAACACATGAAGCAGATGTTAAGCATGGCGTGTGACTTACTAGGCCGACAGTCATGAGTCCATCATCAAGATAGAGTCGACGAGTTGTCCGGAGCTTGATTACCAGTCTGGTACTGACCACGAGCGTGGACATTCCAAGCAAAACCCATACTATTCTGTTCACTGGACCAGACAGATCAACATCCGCTGTCTCATCTCTGGAGCTTGCAAAGATACTGTCAAGCAAAGCTACTTGTTGAGTATCAGTCAACTTCAGAATCAACGCCTTGAGCGCCCCCACACCTTCATACATTTTGACACTCTTCTTTCTACAAGTGTGAACTGGGAGTCCGGCCCTTATATTGGACTAGGAAGACTCCGCTCATGCACCAACTACCACCTCCACGTGCCTTTTGTGGATGGAGTGCACTAGGCAATCGATCGGCAGTAGGAAGCGAAAGGAAGGTTCATGCTCAACCAACCCGTCTAGCGGGAGCGCCCATTGCTGTCTTGCTAACAGAATCACTACTCAGAGCGGCGAAGCTAGGATATTGGCGTTGAGATGACTCGCGACAGAGCACTATGAATCGTGGGGACCATCTGCGGTAGCGTTGTGGGTATATTGCGATCTAGCGGCGACGAGATCCAGAATATTGTGGCTTCCAGCTAGTCGCACTTCTGGCTAGGCATTTGTCTTTTTCGGACGTTTGTAAAATAAGCATTTGCTCCACTGATGGCAGTATCAGAGTCTTGTAGTTGCTTTTGGTGAAACTGCATCCTCCTGGCTGATAGGGGGTTTGTTGTTGGCGATGAGTAGGCCCGGCCGATACTCACACAAGATGGACCCTGAAGCCGTCTGTACATATGTCTGTCCGTGCAAGGAACGGACCAACAAGCATGTCAAATTTCCTATGCGTCTAGGGCACAGCTGGATAGCATGTCACGCGGCATTGTGGTAGCGAATGCACCCTTGTGTCGATGTTAAAGTGCAAAAGATGCAGCAAGACACTTCCGGACTTTGAATCCGGATGTGGCCCGCCTGACTTTCAGATTCGCAAAAGTCCATCATCACCAAACAACGAAAGCCGTCAGTCGGAGATCTCCCGAGGAATGCTCAGTTGACAAGACATTCATGAGTCGCCTCAAGGCATGAGAAAGCGACGAGAATGGTCCTCCATCGCGCAATCGTAGTCAAACCAACCAAACGGTCCATTTGGAATCGTCTGGGCGATGATGGTGAGGTACGAAAGTGGACACTGGACACAATTCCCGTTTGAAGTGATGGCAGCAAGATCAAAATTCCAAAAGCTTGTCTCACACTCTTACAGACTACAGGTTCTGTACCCCCGCCCGTTCTCGCCCGGCCGACAGTCACGACTCGCGATTCGAGATTCGAGAAGCAGTTGATTCATGGCGATGGATCTCATTGCAACCATCATGACTCTTGCTGCCTCTCGAAAATCATGCTCTGCTCAAGAGGACTGAACGAGTCACTTACGGACCGATCTGAGCAAAAACCTTCACGGTCGCATGTTTCGTAGGACCAACTTACCGCAAAGTCGGCATCTGTCGCGTCTCAAATTGGACCATAGCCGTATCAACATGCCCTACATTGAGGCCTTAGGAGCAATATATGCAAGGACGAATCAAATTGATATCTGTCAGAGGCTCAAAGCCCTACCCGGCACATGGTTGATGAATGACGCCAGGTACACGATTCTGGGGGTGAAAATATATTATGATTATTAAAGATATATGAGCCTCGTATCTCGACTACGGTAGCTTATGTTGACTTCAATCTATCCATGCCGATTACCAGCCGTGGCCATGGGCGGAGACCTGTCCGCTGGCTGAGGCTGAGAAGTAACCGCAGTTGCCATTGCTTAGGGCATAGGTTCCAAAGGGCTGCTTGTTCGTGGCAAGGGTGTATTGCAGAGAATTTGCAGATTGCGCAGGGCAAGTGTTGGCGTAGTAGATCAGGCAGCGACCGCCGAGAGGAAGCAGGGCCTGGTAAGCGGAACCAACGCAGTTGCTGGACTGTTGGCATTGCTCACAGCACTGCTGAGCAGAGCCTGCAACCGTGGTCTTGTACTTGGTGTTGCCGGAGACAGAGGCAACAGAGCTCAGCACGTTGTTAGTCTGGCAAGCAGCGTAGACCTTGATGGTAGATGTGACCTCAGCGGTAACGAACTTGTTCGTGTAGACGTTGTAACCCTTGGTCAGAGTTGTCCAGGAGGTGGTGTAGGCGGTCTTTCCACGACCAAACTGAGGCTGGACCATGGCAGTGACTGTCGCGCTGACTGTGGCAGTCACAGTAGCCTGGGCAAGGGTACTGGTCTGTGTAGTTCCAGTGATAGTGGTGTCAACAGTCTTCTGGACGAGGATACTCTTCAGGCAGTGAACAGCGTGCGCAAACTGCTTGATGGGCTTTATGTTTCTTGCCTCTAGATCGGCACCACCATCAGCGCTGCCAGAGACACCCAGTGCAGCAGCACCAGAAGCCATAGCAGTCATGTTGAAGTTGCCACTAGCAGAGGCGGAAGCGGTAGGCACAGCGTGCGACTGTGAGAGGCTGGAGCTAGCCTTGTAAGCGATAGCCGATGAGCTGCTCTGCGATTGTGCACTTTGGGAAGCAGAGTTGATAAACTTGAAGCCAGAGGGAACTGGAACAGTGGTGTACACGCTAGACACATGGCTTTGCGTGTAGGTGTTCACAATAGTCGAAGTCGGCACAAGTTCGGTGTGTGTCAAGTGGACGGTAATGGTAGACACGGCAGTGTCTGTCTCATGGAAGGTATGGGTCCAGGTCTTTGTGAAAGCTCCTGGGGTCAGGAGGTGTTGGGGGTGGAAGGTATGCTTGATTACAACATCGGGCTGTTGAACAGTTGTAGTGGATGATGAGGTCGACACTGATTTGACAGATGTAGTAGCACTTTCAGTCACACATGACTCGAAAGCACTCCAGTTGACAGCACCGAGTGCAAGAGAGAAGAGAGGGAACGCAGCGATAGTAGTGGAGCGCATTTTGGAGAATGAGAAAAGGAATAGAAGATGAAGTTTGGATAGGAGACGAACTGAGAAACTGAGGAGGCAAGTGATCCTTCTTTATACCTACTAATCTTTAAGCCACACAGGCAAGTAGCTCACTGCCGCATAATAGTACTATATGGTAAGACCAGCGGCAAATAGAGTCAATCCGAATGTGTAGTTGCTATCGAGTCCGAGGTAGGTAGGTCTCACCTCTCTGTGCGAGAACCTGGAGAATGAGGATCTAGAGTTTGAAAAATGTGGTCGATAGAAAGACGTTGAAACTGCCGATGGATTGTGTGCCGAGAAGTTGCATTGTTTTGGTAGCATCAGGAAGTCCGGTCAGCCTTGGTCAGAGGAAAGATATCCTATGCCGATGATACGATGTCCTAAGATTCACGGGTTCAGTAGTTTCTGGATGAAAGTGGCAGATGTTTGGTATGGTTGCCTCCGGACTCGAAGCATCAATGTTATGATGACTGTTGAAAACAAGCATTGCCGTTGGCAGCCGCGAAGCTTGAAATCGATAACCACGTTCTCCCAAGTCCCAACATTTGACCATGACAAAAGGCCATGTCGGCATATCAATACCTGAGAACTTGCGAGAACAAATCGCCGGACAAAAGGCGGTCTTACTAGAGACGATTGACAAGTGCACAGGAGAAACTTGATATGATCGTATAGCATGTACAATTCTGACTTTGCCCTTTCCTTTGCTCGTCAGTGGAAAAAAAGAAAATGGGTATCATGTGTAGAAACGCCTCCCCCAATGAGCCTTGAAACGCCAACCCCCGATCATGTATAATGCATTGCTCAGGTAACAGCACTCGGCTTGCGGGAGTGTGTTCCGGTCATAGTTCTCTGCACGCCGCTCATTCTTCTGTCGCTGTTGTCTGATGGTGGGTTCATAAGGTCCAGGCCGTTGATGAGGTTGTTGTTGTTGTTCTCTTCGTCGGGTGGAGGACCGGTGCGGAAGAAGTCAGCGCCTTTTGATCCAATCGCACTACCCAGCATCTCTCTGATACGGATCTTTTGGTATTTGCGTCTGAGGGGTACGGGCTGGGATCGCCAGAGTGGGCGTGGCTCGGATTGAGTGATGCCAGCTAGAACCCTGTCCTTCTCGTCTTCTGAATCGATGGGGCCGGCGTGGGCGAGTTCGTCGTCTTGGAAGGGCTGTTGGGCCTCGAGAGCTTGTTCTTGATTGGAGGTTAGCAACATGTTTTGATAAGCGATGGGCGAATACGTACTCTGTAGCTTGGCCTGGTTCTTGCGCTGATACTCAGCCAGCAGTTTGTCATAAGGAGCGCTTCTGCCGGGGACTGCGCGCTTTGCTCCCATGCTGTGGCTCTTGCATGTCAGACTACGAGCACACTGAGCACCGTTGGCGAGAGGGACACCACACTGCTTCTCGACATCGACGGGGGCCTTTGGTCGAGGAGCCTTGGCCTTGGGTTCGTCCTTCTTTTTCTTCTTCTTTGCGCCCTCGGTCGAGTCTTCGGCCTTGCGCTTCTTGCCAGAGGTGCCGTCGTTCTTGCCGGCTGTCTTGGAACCCATGGTTGTGTCTTCTTCTTCGGACTCGCTGTCGGCGTTCTCTCGTTCGGCTCTGCGCGCGGCTGCGTCGCGTGCGTCTTTTGCTTCTTTTTTCTTGCGTTGTTTCTCTTGCTTCTTCTGGATGCACTCTTCGATGTGGGCTTTGGCTTTGTGCCTTAGGACCGGACGTTTGCAGTGGTTGCAACGGACAATGTCCGCGTCGTCTTGCATGGGGTGCCCAGTTACGAAAGCCCGAGCAACATCCATGGGTACCCGGCTGACAACTCCGCTCGTGTCCTTGTCTAGACCTGTCGCAACGCAGCGTCAGCAATAAATCCGCACCGCAGCACTTGGAGTGAGGGCTCACCCCCCACGACGTCCGAATCCCAATTGCCAGGCTTCGACGCCTTAGGCAGCCTCTTGACCACCTCATCCTTCAGCTTGAGCAACTGCTTCTTGTCGTCCGAGCCCAGGATATTGTCGACTCGAGAACGCGACGCAAAGTTGAACGTCTTTGGCTTCCCGGCGGCCGGCGCTTTGGACGAGAGTTAGCTGTCGGGCGCGTCGAGCCATGTGCGGTATGAGCGCTCACCCTTGCGACCCGTGCCATTTGGCGCCATGCTGCTAATCACAGATTCTCCAACGCTCTTTCAAACCATCGGACGCTGTCATACACCAAACTGCCTCGACTGTGCACTCTACCGATACCACAGCAATGACCTAGTACGCCAAGATACGTCGTCAAGGGAGTCTCCGCCTCCACGTTTGGGGAAAGGTTGAGCCCTTGCCGACATCCTGCCGATCTATTGAACAGCGACATGGCAAGCCGTGTCACCCTGTCAGCATAGTCCAAGAAGCATATTGTGCCTGCACATGTCTCGAGAAGGACCGTGTCTTGATGAAACCACCCCTTGACTATCAGAACATGTGCTTGACAACTTTTGATAGGGATTGCGGCTATTCCTGCTGTTGTTGCAGCCTGTCGTGCATGATTGCGATATCCAGCATGAATTCCATTCGAACCACATGCTTGCATCACTCGCTCGGCTACCGATGATGCACGGGACATAAGTTCTCAACGATTCAATTTCTGGAATTGAATTCTAGACCTCGCGCTTCTCCTGTCCCAAGTCGTCGTTTGACCAGTTCCCTCCTTGGGCTTGGAATGTTGGTGCTTTGAAGTGATTCTGCGAGCCTTCCATGAAAGCTTTGGCGGTAGGCCCCAGATCCACTTTGAGTGCATCAACAACAAGCACCCTCAACCCGCACATCGCCACGTAAAAAGCAATACATTTGATCAGAGTCGCAATCGCGTGTACCAGATTTGGCATTTCCGCCAGGATTTGAGCGTTGTCTGTGAATGCCTACAAGCCATGTCAGAGAATGTCGGATTACATAGCTCAAAGACTCCAACTCACCATCGTTTCGATTGTCAGAGGAGAAAAGAAAAATGGCAGATTAAGAAAAACTGTAGCGATGGAAGGACAAGATGTTCCGAAATCCATCTTTAATCCTTCGCTTCCTCCCGCGGAAGATCATTTCGTCTCTTGTCTTCTTACATGCACCGTGATCTCCTATGGCCCCTTCTTCTCGTCCTCCGGCTCTCTTCGCGACGACTCTGCTACGTCCGCATGTGAGCTTGATGTGACAGGGCGACTGTTGGCTCTTGCTCTTTCTTCGCCGCTGGATATCATCCTGCCAAAAGCGGTGATGGCCATAATTGCTGTGTATACAAGCAGAAGGGTAGACACGCATCTGACCAAGCCTGCTAAAGAATGCAAAAGGTCGGCCACTCCTTTTTGCACTCGACGATCTTCTGTGCACAGTCCCTTACACGGGTCAGGACTCGCGTAATTCATAGTATTCTCGATGCTCACTCACCATGGCAGAATCACAAGACGAGGCTGATAAGGTACAGTGGTTGGAAGAGTTTCAATCAAGTTGTATGGATCTGGTTGTAAAGAGCGAGGGAGTCAAAGGTAACAAACGCCAACAGGATTCGGGCAATGAAAAGTCATAAAATTATTAAATGAAGTGTGGCATCTTGTTTACCAAGTCTTCTTGCCTTGCCCAGCAGCCTCAACGCCACGAGCAATATTGTTGGTTCCATCCTCCAGACCGTTTCCAAGAGAAGCCAGGGCATCACCGAGTGGCTTTCCAGTGTTGCCTGTAACGCCAGTCACAGTGTTGCCGACTTGTAAAGACTGTCAGCACAAGCAACATATTGACATGTCTGATTAACTCACCTCCTCGAGCCGCAGCTCCAGTGACACTTCCTACGGTGCCCAAGAGACCTCCGACGCCATTTCCGACGGTAGAGGTGACAGCGGTTACACCGCCAGCAACTCCAGATTTCTTGTCTTCTCCGATGGCCATTGTGATAGCTAAGCCGAGACGTCAACAGACCATTTCACCAGGCGGTGTCCTCAGGACTTACTTTGTAGAATTAGTAAGGCTTTATTGTGAGTACGAGGGAGCTTACAGACAAGTACCTACCATTCGCTCTGAATATATATATTGCCATCGACATGGGTACATGGGTGGTTGGTGCATGACGTCGATGAGGTGGCTCATCCTGCATGTGATTATAATCATTGGAGGGCGGTGTATACAAGCATGTTACACCAAAGATGCACTGTACATGGGAGGTGCTCTCTCCTATGCTGTGTCATCTACAGCTAAATGCCCTTGTAACACGGTATAGCCGTTGCACAAATGTGATGGACCCTAAGCATGCAGTGACGTATGCAAATTCATGGAGATATCGGCGAATAGCCCAAGATGACTCTTTGACCTTACAACCACACAACAATCATGTCAAGGACAGCGACGACGACGACATTTAGAAGGCTTGCTAGGCCTTCAGTGCTATCGCAATGGTGCAAACCGACGTGCTCAACACAATGGTCGCGATCCTTGATCACGTCGAAACCAGGCGCGAAACACCCTGATTTTGCCTTTGCATTCGAGTATGTCACATAGCCCACTCCTGCTTGAGATGCATATTGAAACATGACCTAGTATCGATGGCGTGCTCCTCCGTTCTTCCGACCCCCTCCCTCGAGCCCACAAGGCCCTATCGCTGCTGCAAACCGAACGCATCCCCTTCATCCTCCTCACCAATGGCGGCGGCAAGCACGAGTCGGAAAGAGTAGAAGAGCTCAGTCAGAAGCTAGACATCGAGCTAGACACGTCAATGTTCGTGCAGAGCCACACTCCCTTTGCCGACATGAAGGAGCTCCACGACAAGACAGTCCTCGTGGTAGGAGGCGACCACGACAAGTGCCAGATCGTTGCCCAGAAGTATGGCTTCAAAGCCGTAGTCACCCCTGGTGATATCGTCACAGCACATCCCGATATCTGGCCCTTTACCAAAATCTTCGCCGAGTACTACCAAAAGTTCGCCAAACCGCTACCTGCTCTCATCGATGCAGAGAACCCGGACAGATCGCTCAAGATCGATGCTGTCTTTGTATACAGCGACCCTCGCGATTGGGGCTTGGACACAACCATCATAACCGATCTTCTGCTGTCAAGAGAGGGGATTATGGGCACCCTGTCGGCAAAGAACGGAGACAAGACACTGCCAAACAATGGCTACCAACAAGACAACCAGCCCAAACTCTACTTCTCCAACCCGGACTTGTGGTGGGCTGCGAAATACCACCTTCCACGCCTGGGTCAGGGTGGCTTCAGAGAGGCCTTTGAGGGTGTCTGGGCAGCCATTACCGGCGGCCAGAATGCTGGCGTGAAGTTGCAGAAGAAGGTTATTGGCAAGCCTTACCATGAGACGTACGAGTTTGCGGAGAAGAGATTGAGAGCACACAGAAACGACCTGTACACTGGCGAGTCGATAGAGCCTTTGCGAAAGGTCTACATGGTTGGTGACAACCCTGGTAAGTCGAGCTGTATTACCTTAACCACAAGTGTTCGCTAATCATCCTACAGAATCGGATATCGCTGGCGGAAACTCGTACAAGAGCGCTTTCGGAAGCAAGTGGTCGTCTATCTTGCTTCGTACCGGTGTGTACTCCGGAGGCGAACCCGCTCACAAACCCACCGTTATTGTCGATGATGTGTACGATGCCGTGCAGTGGGCCATCGAGGATGCGAAGAACTAGAAACAGAGGTGGTAGATCACAGGACCTTCGCTGGGTCCCATTCTATTCGATAGACGTATATATTGATAATCATTAGAGTATAGAGCATCTCACTCGCAACGAAAGAAAAAAGCTACAGCAGTCCACATCCTGGGTATCTCAGTATCATCATCACCGCCAACGTCATAATCATCATCAGTTTATAAACCATCAACCATACGCATCGCATCCCTCTTGATCATCTAGCACAGCAGATCTCACCATCCAGTACCCTCATTCCGAAGAAGCAATTCTCAGCCGTGGCGGAGAAGCCTTTAACTGCGGCGACGGCACCTGAGAAGGCGGCGCAGTATCCAAATCACTCTGCGGCGGCAATGTCCCACTACTCGGCGGCGCCCACCCCTTATCCAGCACTCTCCCCGTGTAAGAAGGTCGCCTACTCGCTCCAGGTCTAGCTGACAATGCGCCCCTGAACTCAACGTAGGGGTAGTCATCTTCACCCAACACCACAGGTCCCGGCCAACACTGCGGCGGCGCATGAGATCTTAACCTCTGCATTGGGACAGGCATGTCTCTGGCCCCTACTTCGAGCTCCTCCGTGGGTTTGGTAGGAGATACCGCTCGAGAAGTCTGCGGTAGAGGGATGTGTGTATCTGGCAGCCTGACCAGAGGATCAAACCTCCCAGCCAAGAAAGCAGAATACTCGTTCGCGTTGCCTGGCAATCTGTTCATCTCACTCGACCAATTGTCAGGCACTCTGTGTATCTGTGTCCCTGATGCTGTGCGCGAGAACGTTGGTCGTCCTGCTCTGACTCTGTGGCTGTCGTCACCGGTAGCCACAGACTTTAGAGTAGGATAGGCGGATGACCTGGCAAGAAGGGCTTCGTTTTCTTTGCGGAGTGCGTTGGCTTCGTCGACGCGGATGCAGGAAGGGCAGCGTAGAGACGTATGGAGAGGTATGGGCGTGCGGTAAACCCAGGTGAAAGCGTAGCCATTGCAGGCTTTGTTGCGAAAGCGAGCTTTGTGGCAGGGGCGCGGGTCTTGGAGATGAGTGCATCCGCAGGTCCAGATGAGGATGCCCTTTTCGCACATTGCTGCTGGTGATATGTTGACCTCGAGCTTGGAGGTGACAGAAGAGGATGGCGAAGAAGTACGTTGTATGTCCAAAGAAGGCGTTTGCGTCCGTCGGTGCGTTTGTTCTGGGAAGCCGTATACACATACGCAGAAGGGGTTATATACCATGGCGAGCTGCAAGTTATCCCTCCGAGTCCAGCAATATTGCTGTGCAGCATCTTTCGTTACACCTGGAGCCTGGACGTGATCTGTCCGATTGGACCATGTGCCTGATATATAATCAACAACGAGCCAATCCCAAGCGTACGAAATATCGCAAAAGTTGGTCTGGCGAAAGGGTATCGCTGACAACACAGCTATATCAAGGACATCGAAGAAGGGGGTGGCAAGAGAATAAAAGAAGCAACACTGCTGACAGACAAATAACAAGGTGGAAGAGCATCGACTTACATGGTCGGTCGCACCTACAGGTTCATGTGCTGTTGCCCTTAACGACAGAAAATGATACCTAACAAATGAATCATAATTCCCACACTCTTCTACGTACCCCTTACCTGTCACGAAGGATGCGTATTTATAGGTCGAATTCTCTGTCAGGGAGCAAGGGCATTCTATTTCTTGTCCGACAATGATCTCACAAACCACAAACCTTACATCCTGGATCACTAACTTCCGGCACCCGCCGCCACATCTTCGGCAAGAGCGCGGTTGTTGTACCGGATCGTGTTGCTGGGTCTCCCCGTTGGAGAGATGCAGGTGTGCAATAGGCGTCTGCAGTAGACCTGTCATATCACGTAGATCGACCTTGCAGTTCTTGTTACCTGTATCTTATCACAATCTTGTATCAGTTTTGTGGTTTCTGGAGGTCCCTGGCGTGAAGATGCAGGTGCTGATTGGTCGAGTAGCCCGGTTGGTTGCTCAAAAAGTCGAGAAACCCATCTTCGCGCTTCCAATGAGAATTGAACTTCTGGCTGAGATAATTTTCATTGGTGCTCTTTCTATGAATTCCAGGAGTGATGTATCCTTTCAAATGTTTGTGTCGCTCAATCCTGTGGCCTGCGCAGGGGATGAGCCTCGGTGTTTAGCACCCACGAGTCTAGGTTTACGAGATCTGGCTCGCTAAAAATGAGGTAGAAGTACTTCAATGTCTCTCCTGTCCAGAAGCTCTCCATAGTGTCCGTGAGTTGGGATTGCTCGTCACGCACATCTTGGACAACGGCATATGCGATGTCGGTCTTCGCGTGCGAATCAATGGCCTTGAACATCTGCCATGCCTTGTCTTGCCACGTCTTGTCACCAGTGATGCGATACATGTAGAACACAGATTCGATAGCCTCCGGGCGGAGGTAATAGCGGGAGTCGACAACCTTTGCGAAACCGAGTGGGAGTCTTCCTTTGTCGATGATCTTTTGCGCTTGTTCTTTGAGAGACCTCGTGCTGGTGTCAAGAACACGATGGACAGCCATTATAAGACCCTTGTACCATCTTTCTTCGGACCATTTGCAGTCCTCGTCATCAGTACAAGGTATAGCTTCGAAAATCTCGGGCATCATTCCACTCGGGGTTTGTTGATAGGCCCACACACAGCCATCTGTCAATCGTTGTGCTGTGAGGATGTCTTCTGGTGTGTTGAAGATTTTGGCGCCTAGAGCGACCATGCCTCCAACGAAGCAAGTAAGATGCTGGCCCTCGTTCTTTCGATCATAACCTGCACCGATTTGTCTTACAGAACCGGAGATGAGAAGATCCAAATTGCCAGGGTTCAGGGGCCTGTAGAACAGATGCTCTTTAGCCACAGCCATACTCTTTTCGTACATGTTCCGAGTCTGTTTGTCCCTGCCATTGAGAAGAAGGTATTGCTGTGGTAGTCAGTTAGTGTGTGATGAGAACAGAACACAAGTAAGCGAACCTTGGGGAAATATTCGTAAAGCGAGTCGGCCATAGCACCAAGTGTGAATTGCCTGTCGTTTGTGAAGTCTAGATCGTGAGCATTTAAAGATACCGGCCACATGCCAGGAAGTCTAGTGGTATTCTGTGATTGTTCGAAAGCATTCATGATCCTCTGGATAGCATCATAGTACTTCGGATCACCACTCAGCTGAGTCAATCGGGTGAACTCAAGGGAGAGCGACCCTATATCGGCAGAAAGTGCATTAGACGGCGCGTGTTGCAGCTCTCCTTTGGCGGCCCTGAATAGGATGTAAGTCGTGATTAGAAACTACGCTGGAAGCACTTACTTCAACCATTTCCAGGACCCAACCACCGGCATACTGTTCTTGGTGTCGAACGAGGCATACAGCATGTCGCCAAGTTCGATTGCTTTCGCTAGCAAGATTGGGTACTTCTCGCCGCTCAAATCGTACGCACTCAGCAGACCACCCACATAGCGAATGGTTGTCTCGAACACACTAATCGTTGGCGAAGGAGACGTGGTAAAATCAAGGTACTCGAGTGCCCCAACAGCCGTCTCGAACTCTTTCTTCATTCCCATAATCCAGAGAGTATCAAGCGTGTCGACCAGCGTTGCACCCCAACCTCCGAATCCGTTCTTGTAACCTCCGGACAGCGGTCGGACCTCATCTTGCAACCAAGCATTTTTCTTGTATCCGTTCCAGGAGTGCTTGAAGCTGTTCTTGATAGCTGCCAGTCTCTTTTGTCTCTTGTATCTCTCCACTGGTGATTCTTTGCCAAACTTGTGTTGAATAGGTGGGATCTGGGCAGGTGGTCCGTTCGGAAGCGGAATCATTGGCGAGTTCAACGGCCATTGTCGAGGCAGGGTGTTCCAGCTAAAGTTTGGTGGTAATGGAGAGGCTTCCTTTGGCGCAGGTGGTGGAGGTGGTGTCCAGGAGTCCTGCTCTAGAAGATTGAAAACGAGTGATAGTGTTATACAGATCAGAATACAGGTAAGAATCCATCTGCGCGAGATGGAGATCATAATCAATGCTCAAGAATATATGGAAAAAGGCGAAAAAGAGGGTATATAATGAAGGAGGGGTAGAATTGACAGTAATGATAATGATATAGAAACACAGACAAGGAAAGACAGCTCGGATGAGGCTGTGGTCGAGAATGTCGAGGGAAACAGAGGCAGCAAAGGACCTTCTTCCAGTCTGCGACTTACATGCTTCTGCTGCTCCCCTGAAAGCTGAAACGCCGATCCACCTTGGCAGGGTACATTACGTAGTTGTTGCGCAGAGTGAGAAGCTGCTCTGTGTGAGCGAGCAACGTTTCTGAGGAAAGCGCGTCTCTCTATACATGTTCGCGTTCATGGATGTAATCGTAGGTCTTTAGTAGGATTGATGGAATCGGCAAACGGCACCCGTCACACAAGACTCCTCGCCGAGTCTCGGCGGTTATACTTTTGGAGCAAAGCCAAGCGCTTTGGTCCGACCTCGCGCGTCCGCGTGTACATGGCGCGTTTGATCGTCTCCACGTGACAGAGATCTGGCCAATTCATCGACAGAGCCTCATGGTGCAAGCAAAGGTAGACTTGACCGTATTGAAGTGACGATAACAGGCAACAATGTCGGATCTATATCCATCGCTCACACAGTGTGCAGTTGTTGCTACAGCTTTCAAGATCTTGCTGTGGCCAGCATAGTAGGCAAAATGTACTGATTTGATCCACCACCCCCTGACATGAATGCAGCAAATCGACAGATTTCGAGGTACATCGCAATTGGTTGGCAATCACCAACTCTCTCCCAGTGAAAGATTGGTACTATGAGGTGAGTGTCTCTCGTGTTTCATGGCCTTGATATTGTCCTGAACAGCATATCAGAAAACATCAGAATGGACACTCGACTATCCCCCTTTCTTTGCAGCATTCGAATGGTGCATGTCCCATGTTGCCCAATTTTTTGATACAGACATGCTTCAAGTGAAGAACCTTGGGCACTCGAGTTGGCAAACAGTGTACTTCCAAAGAGCCACCGTAATCTCGACTGAATTGGTGCTTCTCTACGCTCTCCAGCTGTATGTTCCAACGCTATTGAGTCGAATAAACGATCACTAAACAGTCCAGATATGTCCGTGGCGCACCCATCACCGCTAAGAAAACTTCTCACGCGGCTGCGATCTCTATCCTTCTGTCTCCTGGTCTGCTCATTATCGATCACATCCACTTCCAGTACAATGGCTTCATGTACGGCATTCTTATCCTCTCGATCGTCTTGGCACGTAGACAATCAGGGCTCCTGGCCAGCGGCATCACGTTCGCCGTTTTGCTTTGCTTCAAGCACATCTACCTGTACTTGGCACCGGCATACTTTGTCTTCCTGCTTCGTGTGTATTGCCTCGACCCTAGATCGTGGTTCAGAATCCGTTTTGGCAAATGTGTCAAGCTTGGACTTGGAATCGGCATCGTCTTTGGACTTGCTTTTGGACCATTTGTGTACTGGAACCAGCTTGATCAACTCTTGAGTCGCCTGTTCCCCTTCTCGCGAGGACTTTGTCATGCTTACTGGGCTCCAAATGTCTGGGCGTTGTACTCATTCGCCGATAGAATCTTGATCTACTGTAAGTTGTCTTCTATAGAAGTACGGATTATATCTAACATGAATAGTGGCACCATACTTCAATCTATCTGTCAATCGAGAGGCTATTAACAGTGTTACGCGCGGACTGGTTGGAGATACATCGTTTGCTGTACTTCCTGATATTTCTCCCAGGATGACGTTCGTGTTGACTCTGGCAGCACAAATAGTAAGTCGTTTCAGCCCGAAGGTCAGAGGACGATCTGGCTAACTTGTATGTAGCCGGCACTTGTCAAACTTTTCTTCCGACCAACTTGGGATACTTTCGTGGGAGCTTTGACACTCTGCGGATACGCATCCTTTTTGTTCGGCTGGCATGTCCACGAGAAGGCGGTCCTGCTGGTAATCATCCCGTTCAGCCTGATCGCGCTCAAAGATCGCAGATATCTCGGAGCATTCAGGCCTCTTGCAGTTTCCGGTCATGTCTCTCTTTTCCCGCTGCTGTTCACGGCCCAGGAATTCCCCATCAAGACGATCTACACCATCTTTTGGCTGGTGGCACTTCTAATGGCATTTGATCAGCTCGCTCCAGCGTAAGTTTTGCCCAACAACTCGATTGAAACATAGGTATATTGACAATTGATGTAGCTCTTCACGGCCGAGAGTGTTCTTGCTCGACCGCTTCTCGTTTGTATACATTGCCGTGGCAATCCCACTCATCGCATATTGCTCGCTATTCCACCAGCTGGCATTTGGTGCAAAGTATGAGTTCCTGCCGCTCATGTTCACAAGCTCGTACTGTGCGATGGGAGTGGTATCAAGTTGGATCAGTTTTTTGATCGTGTACTTTACTTCATAAGTAACATAGACTTGAAAAGATAGGGGTCGCTTTGATGATCCTCTTTTCCACTCAGAAGCCTCGAGAAGGCGGCCATACATTGTTGCATGGGGCTTTTGTGAAGGTGAGCAGGGTTGTGCTTCTCGTAATGGCTTGATACTATTGTGCCGCACGAAAAATGGTATCAGAGGACAGGCCAGCAAGCCATTGCTCATAAATTCGAGTCTGATCTGAGGAAATTAATCTGTTCGATGAAGCTGCATGATGTGAGAGAATGCACGGCTGCAGAAAGAAGGTGGTCGGCCATGACACTTAGACTTCTTGGAGGACCGGACTGTAGGAGATAATGTGGGTTCGATTCGACCTTGATATTAACAGGAAGAAGCTCCACGGCTGATTTTAGCAGTTCATCATCACCACTATGCGACTCGCACGATTTACGCGACCAGAACGAGTCCAAATGTGGCTGTTGCTGTAGAACTGGCGATGTACAGATTCAAATGACGACCTCGAGCAGATGACGGAGCATGGCAAGGGAAGCTGGCGTTGCGAAGGAAAAGTCGCTATGTTCGGGCCGAGCCGTTCCCAGCCTTTGGAACGCGACCAGAGCAATACTAGAATGGCTGCTCATGGTCCCGGAGGAAGTGGCCTTCCCCAGGCCTTCACAGATCATGGCCTTGGTTGTTGCAAAGCTTTGCTCCCTCTTCTTCACTCCTTCCTTCTCGCCGACTGCGACACTTGGTTCTCTCCAAACGGCTCTCATACCTTCAGCACTCTCTCAGCCACCATCCCCGCAGACCCTCTCGGACCTTCTGAAGCCTCGTCCATAATTTACTGCGCGTGGTACCCGCGTCTGCCGCAGCAATATCTTCCTCGTCGACCGACACCCGCTCCGGTCGCGACAGCCAACCACCGTACCTTGGATGAGTCCTGGCCATACACCACGCGTTAATTGAGGACGGCATTGGCTCCACTTTCGCATGCGACAAGATCACAACCACTAGATCCAGACACCCCGCTGTGTCCACGCTCATCCCGGCACGCTCGCTCTTCGCGTTCTTCTTCCTTGGCTTCACGCCCGAATCACATACACCACTCCCATCATGGTTCGCTATCCCCAGCCATGGCACGTGAAGGCTGGACTAGACTTACCATGTTCCAGGTCCTCTACAAGCGGAAGCCGGTGACGATGATACCGGCCCCTGCCAAAATCGACAACAACGCCGAGGTCCGTACACCTGCTCGGGTCTATATCTGTCTGCCTCCTAACACAATCCCATACAGGTCTGGGTTATGCCAAAATCAGGCGAAGTCTTTACAGACTATGAATCCTATCTGTCTCGGTATGCTACCTCTTGATCCTCCCTCGCAGCCCAAGACTAACTCGATGATAGCTTCGAGTTCTACAACCGAGTACGCCACTCTTGACCCGAACACACCTCTCATGACCACACTCTAATTGTCACCTCAGAAAAAGTTCACAGATGCCGTCAATGGCAAGTCCGGCTTGACCTTCTTTGCCGCCATCGACTTTGAGGTAGGCCACCTCCTGGCTATGCACAAGATGTTGGAAACTCACACACATACAGAACAACAGCTCGAGCGACATTGACAAGATCTTTCCTGACGCCCTGCGCGACCCCATCTTGAGAAAGGTCCAGTTCTCAGACATCTCCCGTATAGATGAGCTGGTGTCTTTCGTCTATGAAGTGCGTATTGTGGCAGTGATACCTCGTGTTTCGGACACTAATTCGTGCAGGAATTCCGCAGCGAGTTCTTCCCCGGCGAGGAAGTCAGCGTCTCTCTCGATAATGGCGACCAGTTCGAGGGCGTCATTCGCGAAAAGGCAAAGTTCCCCCAACTACTCAACCCTGATGGCTCCATCCAGCGCGCCGCCTTCTCTCGCTATTTTGTCAAGCTCAACGACGAACGTGGTGAAGAAGCTCTGTTGGAAGACAAGAACATAAAGAGAAACCGCAAGCTCTTCACCAAGCAAAACCTAAGGTCCTTCTTGAAGAGCTCGATACAGCGCGACATGTTCACGGGTGCACCGTGGCTGGTTAAAGAGCATCTCGCAAGGCATTACAGATTGCCCATGGAAATTCCTTCCCATCTCGCTCAACGCATGCAAGCATCACCTCAACCTGGCCAGCCTCGCCAACCACAAGGCACCTCGATCTTCAACAAAGTCAATGGTCGTAAGGGAAAGAATCTCACAATTGGAGACTTTGAGCACGACGGTTCGCTGCAAGGGTATACAACTCCGCCGCTCAACGGCTCCAGATTTCCTGGTTATCACGCAGCTGCAATCAAGACAGAGCCCCAGAAGCCTACTCCCGCCCCCATCAAATATCCTATCGAAGATCTGGACGTTCCTGCGAGGAAGAACGATCTTGTCCGCCCTGACCTGAAATTCATCACATCGCAGAACCCTGGTGAAGGCGAAGTCCGAATGGAATACGTAGGTCCCTTACTGGAAATCTGGAACACTCTCAACGTACACTCCGAGGTGCTTGTCTTGGATGCCTTTACCTTTGACGATTTTGTTGAAGCAATCAAGTTTACTTCCGACGAGGTTACATGCGAGTTGCTTGAAGAAGCACACTGCGCAGTACTTAAAACAATCGTCAACGAGGAAGGCACTCTACAAGTCACTCTTCCTGATATGGTTGAAGATGAGTCTTCCGACGAAGAGATGGACGAAAGTGAGCCAGCTACTCCCATCTTGGACGCGCCTGCACATGCCACGAGAAGTCGCATGAGCAACATCAGTAATGTTGCGCCCGAAGAGTCGAATGGCAGATCCAGCAGAACCCCTGCCGAAGGCCGTCATCGTCCGCATCGCACTCCTGAACTGTTGGCAAGCTACGGTTGGGTCGAACGTCTCAAGGCTCGTGATTTTGCTAACGGTGGCTGGCAAACTATCATGGCGGGTCTTCTCTATCAACTGTCACTGAACCCTCGCCAGAAGGCCGAATGCGACAAGGTCTTGTCCAAACTCGTGCCATTGGATGAAGACCCAAGTCAGGAGAGTGTTCGAATCAACTACATTCGTATGGAGATCAACCTTCGCATTTCTGCATTACAACTTATCACCTTGCTTTGCGTTAGCACAAAGTCTGTGAGAGGTTACCTCGAGGAGATGAGTGAGGAACAAACCAAGATCCGTAAGGAAAAGCTCGAGCATCAAAAGGCGAAGAAAGAAAGGTATGTCTATCTGTCAACAATTTATGACCGCCAGCTGACCGTCGAACAGTGTCGCAAAATTGGGCGACCTTGAGACTCAAAAGAAGATTTTGCTCCCAGATAACCTCCCGGACTCACCCAAAGAGGAGCACCCCGATCCTATGGATATCAGCATGAGTCACGTCGACGATACTGTAGACACGGTGGACCTCGCCACCTCGGATGCCGAGGAAGAAGGCGGCCGTTCTCTTCGACGCGGCAACGAGCGAAAGCGCAAGCGTGACGAAGATGCGGCTCGACGCGAGAAGCAGCGCGAAGAGAAGAAGGCAAAGACGAACCCGAAACAGTCCAAGGAATTCACTAAGCTGCTGAAAGACATCGACAAGCTCAAGGTCGAAATCTCGAAGCGCGAGAAGGAGATTGCAATCTGCGACGAAAAACTCCGCGAGGCTAACTGTCAGCGAACCAAGGTGCTCGGAAGAGATAGATTCTGGAATCGCTACTACTGGTTTGAGCGCAATGGCATGCCTGTTACTGGACTCACCGATGGCAGCACTGGCAGTTATGGTTATGCCAACGCGCGTATCTGGGTTCAGGGTCCTGACGAAATGGAACGCTTGGGTTTTATCGACTTGCCTGAAGATCTGCAACGCACCTACATTCAAGATCACGGACTGTCTGTTCCCGATCGAAAATCCAAGGAAGAAGGCGCTACTAGCCTGAGAACTGCTAACGAATGGGGATACTACGACGACCCGGAGACTATTGCCTTGTTGCTCAGCTGGTTCGACGAGCGTGGTGCCAGAGAAAAGGCACTGCGCAAGGAGATGACTGCTTGGCAAGAGCCCATCACTGGTCAAATGCGCGCTCTGAAGACGCATCTGGACAGTATCAACCAGGAGGACGTGGACGATGAGCCCGTCACACGCGTGTCAACCAGAAAGAAGACGTACGTCGATGTTGAAGCATCTAGTCAACGTTGTCTCAGATGGAGAAACTTGACAGCTATCAACAAGATTGGCCATCTGCATTCGGAACAACCCAAGCCCAAGGAGAAGAAGGGCAAAAAGGAAGCTAAGGGTGTCGCCAAAGTCGTCAACAAGGGCAAGCCCACCACCAGACAAGGAACGAAGTATGGCAAATAGACGGTCGATTGTGTTTGCTTTTGTTGGTATTCTTATATAGGAGTTTCGGCATGGAGCATGTACAAGTATTTCATTCACAGGAGCATAGCGAGATGGTCATGAAAAGCGGCGCAGGGATTTGCCGGAGGGGAAAAGCGTGGCAAGACTTGCTTGAGTACAGCATAAACACGAAGTCGATAGCTTTTGATGAAGCAGCTCTTGCGCTGTTGGACCAATGAACGAACTGAATATGAAACATCTTTCTACGTCTCGGAAGTGTGACGATTCTGCTCGTGATACATACGGACCCCAGTCTTGAGCTTGGCCGGAGAACAGGAGAGAAGCAGTGTCTTGCCTCTTGATTCAAACCTGACTTGGACAAAAACGCGTCCAGATTGCATGTGAAACGGAAAAGTGGGCTAGCAAAAGGGTTTTCATATTGTTATATTAAGACACGAACTGTGAAGAGCAAATGAGGTGATGAGTCTTTCCAAAAGGGATGAGCACATGCAATTGATTGGCGTTAAGCCGTGTCAATTTGCTGTTTCCCCAGAAGGGAAACTGTATTTGGAAAGATTGGGGATTCGAGCAAACACGCGACACAAGATTGAGCGCTGCAGAGGGACAGACTGGACAGGTCGGGAGTGCGAGACGATGGGAGCACGTTCATGCAAGACGCTGTATAACAATGCAGGCAGTAGGGACCCCTTTCTTGTTCGGCACATTAACGTGTGCTTAAAGCGCGTTTGGGCCTTCTGGAAAAACAGAGTTTACGGAGGCTTAAAAGATGGGGACCCGTCTCAGAGGCGCACGGACGGCTTTCCTGTTCCTGACGATCGTTCTCAGTGTAGGTATCAACGGTTGTTACACAAGAGAGCGGCGTTGGTGGTCGAACAAGAGACGGAGCCGTGTTGCACAGTCCGCTGATTCTGTCCGAGGCGTGTACTCGTTATCTACGGCTCCAGAGGCGAGACAAGCAGGGAAAAGTCGTCGTGCTGCGCTGGTAGAAGCGCTGAGGAGAAGGTCTGTGTGGATGTAATTTCCTTTGGGCTAAGCATGCCGAGTTGTCGCAGCATCGGCTCAACGCCGTCTCTCGCCCTCTTCCTTGCCCTCTTCTTCTTCACGCGCTGCTCGATTATTCCAGTCGATCTCGTCCTGTCACTCGCTTCATTCTTTCGCCCTTCTTCTTTCTTCCCTTTACCTTCGCTTTGCGGCTTCCCTTCGTTGCTACGACTTGTTTAATTGCGCCGCCCGACCTATCAATCCCCCCCCCCCTCGTGGCTTGAGTCTTGACCAGGCAGCCTCAATCTGATACAGGGACAATTCAACGTCACATCAAGAGGAGGACACGCATTTGCTCCAGCTGTATATATTACGAGCTTTTGAATTGGATAAACCTGGAACATATACCCTTTTAATTACGCCCGCCCGCTACAGACCTAGCACGTCTACTCCGGCCAGCGACAAGTCCCTGCTAGAACTCTCGAGTTCCCGTCCGCGTACTCCCCAATCTCCTGGTCCCATTCCTACCTGAGAAATGCAGGTGTCAGAGGCTCCCTCGGGCCAGCCCAAGTTCCATCGGCCAACCCAGTCCTTTTCGACTTTGGGTATGACCAGTGACAACCTGGGTTTCTCGCACAGCGCTTTCACAACCAACCAACCCTCTATTTCTAGCTACTCGGACCGCCACCGCACAAACATTCCGTCCATCAACACTGGCCGTATGTCCAACATGGCCTCCCAAGCTGAACAGACTCCTGGCACTGCTCTCGACATGAACTACACTCCTCTTCTCCCCTCGAATCTTCTGATTGGCAGCCCCTTCCAACCTCAATCGCCCTCTGCTTTCGCTTCTCCTGGTTTCCAGAGCTTCTCTAGCTTTCCTCCGCAGCCTCAGCGCCAACAGCAGCAGCACAACCAGTATCAGCAGCAACAGAACCCTGCCATGTCTCCTCCCATGTACGCTGGCATGATGTCGCCTCCTCAGATGCACGCCCAGATGTACCAGGGTCCTCAGTCCCCCACTCTTGGCTACAACCCTCTGAACAACCAATCGCTCAACGGCTTGTCTACTGCTCCTCTGGGTATCGCTCCTGGCTTAATGTCGAGCTCTAGCAGGACCGTCTACCTGGGCAACATCCCCTCGGACACATCTGCAGAAGAGATTCTCAGCCATGTGCGCAGCGGGCAGATTGAGTCGGTCCGTCTTCTTCCCGACAAGAACTGTGCCTTCATCTCCTTCCTCGACGGCAGCTCAGCTACACACTTCCACTCGGATGCCATTCTGAAAAAGCTGTGCATCAAGGGCCAGGATATCAAGATTGGCTGGGGCAAGCCTTCATCGGTCCCTACGTCAGTCGCTCTTGCCGTACAGCAGTCGGGCGCATCCCGCAACGTCTATCTTGGTAACCTGCCCGAGGAAGTTTCCGAGGACGAGCTCAGAGAGGATCTGGCCAAGTACGGTCCCATTGACACTGTCAAGATCGTTAGAGAGAAGGCTATTGGATTCGTTCACTTCCTGTCAATTGGCAACGCTATCAAGGCTGTTTCTCAGCTTCCCCAGGAGTCCAAGTGGCAGCCTCCGCGTCGTGTTTACTACGGTAAGGATCGTTGCGCTTATGTTTCCAAGACACAACAGCAGAACGCCGCTCAGTACCTCGGAATCGCCCCTGGTTACGCACACGTGTTGAACAACGCCGACCGTGATCTTATCTCGAACGCTTTGGCCCAGCAATCTGTGGCTGCCGCTGCCGTCGCTACTACTGCTGGTGGCGTAAACAACCTGGGCAACCGCACGGTCTACTTGGGCAACATCCACCCCGAGACCACCATTGAGGAGATTTGCAATGTTGTCAGAGGTGGTCTTCTGCACCATATTCGCTACATTCCCGACAAGCACATTTGCTTCGTCACTTTCATCGACCCTACTTCTGCTGCTTCCTTCTTTGCTCTCTCCAACTTGCAAGGCCTGATGATCCACAACAGACGTCTGAAGATCGGCTGGGGCAAGCACTCCGGCGCGCTCCCTCCTGCTATTGCTCTCGCTGTCAGTGGCGGTGCTTCGCGCAATGTTTACATTGGCAACCTTGACGAAACCTGGACCGAGGAGCGTCTTCGTCAAGACTTCTCCGAGTATGGCGAAATCGAGCTGGTCAACACTCTGCGTGAGAAGAGCTGCGCCTTTGTCAACTTCACAAACATCGCCAATGCCATCAAGGCTATTGAGGCTGTTCGCAGCAAGGACGAGTACAAGCGTTTCAAGGTCAACTTTGGCAAGGATCGCTGTGGAAACCCTCCTCGTCAGGCAGTCGCAAACGGCCAGGGACAATCTCAGCAAGAAGGCACACAATCGCCCAGCCCTGTCAGTGGCATGCGTGGCCAGAACTCCATTTCTCCTAGCGCAGGCGCATCGAACAACTATAACCCTCTTCAGGGACCCACCGCTTCGACCATCCTCAACGCTGGAGCCAACAACCCTCTGGCCATGTACCTCGCTGCTGCATCGCAAGTTCAATCTCAGCCTTCATCTTCGCCGAACGAGATTAGCCCTCAGTTCACACAGTTGAGTCTGTCACAACCCCAGCAACAGCAGCAACAGCAACAGATGACCACCCAGCAAGCCTTCTACAGCGGAGACTCCAACATGCCCACACGATCCACCGCACTCGAGGCGCCTTCACACTTTGGTCACCACGCCACTCACTCCGTAAACTTGAGCAATGGTCTCTCGAACGGTTTCGGTGGCGGTAGTGGTGGTAACGGCATGCATGCCAGCCAGAACAGCGCCGCAAGAGGACAGCATTCTCGCACCGTCAGCTTGCCTGTTTTCTCCCAGCCTCAGCCTCAGCACATTCACCAACAGACCTTTGCCGGTCTAGGTGCAGGTATTGGTGGATTTGGCAACAGCAACCCATACGGCTTGGCCATTTCTGCTGAGCGTGGTCTGCCTGGCTGGGAAGAGGAAGAGCCTGCCATTTGAAAGACAGAAAAACGGCTGATACGAACGAAAAGATCTACCTATTGAAGTTCTACATCTTTTGATTATTGAGGGCGCCTAGTCCGCCTACTAATCCTTTACTTACCTATATTCGTTCCTCTCTCCTTTCTTTTCAAATTGTTTTTTACTCTACAGGTTCTTCTTTATACCTCCATTCTTTTACACTTCTCTTTTCTTCTTCTTTGCAGTTGCACAACCTAATCTCGAAACTCTTTCTCATTCGCCTAATTGTTCTTCTTTTCTTTTCAAACATGTATTTGTATGCCTTTACATCTTCTTGCGATGCATGTTCTCGCAAAACAGACCCCAAATTGCTTCTTGTCGGTGTTTGAGGTGGGAAAGAACAAAATATTACTATAAAGGAACACTGCCAGGTCCGTCTGTTCACATTGAGAGACGCTTGTCTCGTGTATGCACGACTAGGATCTGTAATGAAAGGAACATTCATCAAATACTTTCTCAACGGCCGAGGAATTTGATATTCTAGAAGAGAAAAGTGTGTAATTCCTTGTGTGAGGCATGGTTCGATACTTGCTGGTCCATAATTCTGCGGTATAGCGAGCTGATCGAAGGTTCATCGAACCAGCCCCTCGAGCAGTTCTCTTGGCAGGACAAGGTTTGGCTCGTGCACAATGACGCACTGGATCTTCCTCTTTGAGATCAGCCACGAGATCTTGATTCCGATCTTCTTGCAAGAGCGAAACACATTGGCATGATGGATCGAATTGATCAGAAAAAAAATGTAGGCGTAAGAGATTGCAGGAGTACTGTTCTGCTCCCGAATTCGTGTAGTGCTCTGGCATTCTGGTAAGTTTCGCGACAGCCAACTCTCCCAGGACCTCTGCTTCGTGTCGACGAGCATCTACTGTATCAGCCTCCTTGAGGACAAATCGGGAACTCGATCTTTATCGAACATGACGTCGAAGACTTTACTCAGGCACCGTTTCCCTGACACTGGCAGATGTGTTTACTCAACTCGATCCTCAATATGCATAAGAGGAGCCAGGCCTTCCTTCCTCTCAATCAGTCAATTGCCCAATTTTCACCTTACACGAACTTTTTCTGGCACCATGTCGAAACGCGCACATCCTCACGATGCTCATCCGAGCGATCACTCGGCAATCTACAATGAAGATCTCAAGCATCCTTCGCCGAAGCGCGCAAAGCAGATTGACGAGCACTCGCCCTTTGTCTCTCTAGAGAAGGCCATCGCGGAGCAGAAAACCGATCATTCGGTTCGCAACGTGTTGCACTGGTTTAGATCCAAGGATGTACGAGCAGACGACAATCGCGCACTCTATGCTGCGTCGCAAAAGGCAAAAGAGGGGGATGGACACTTGATCACCATGTACCTGTACAGCCCCGAGGACCTCGAATGGCACGGTACAAGTCCTGCTCGATCTGACTTCCTGTTGGAGTCGCTTTCGTTGCTGCAGAAGCAGTTGCGTGAGAAGAATATCCCAATGGCTGTTGTGACAGCTGAAGAAAGAGCGGACAAGACGGACAAAGTCATTGAGTTCATCAAGGATAACGACATCTCGCACGTGTATGGAAACTACGAGTACGAGGTTGATGAGACGCGCCGTGACATCAAGGTCACGCACCATATTCAGGAAGAGAAGGACGTGTCCATTGAGCTCCTGCACGACCAGACGGTTCTCGAACCCGGACTACTCAAGACTGGTTCCAGGACACCCATGAAAGTCTTTACACCCTACCACAAAGCCTGGCTCGCAGAGACGAAAGAGAACCCAGAGCATCTCGATCTCGTAGGGCCTCCCGAGGCGAACGACAAGTCTGCTCTCGACAAGCTCAAGAGTCTGTTCGATTCCAAGATGCCCTCCTTACCTGAAAGCAAAGACTTCATCAGCGACGAAGAGAGGAAACGTATCCGTGGACTCTGGCCTGCAGGTCACGAAGCAGGTATTGACCGCCTGCAACACTTCCTCAACGAAAAGGTATCTGAATACGCCGACCACCGCTCCGAACCAGCCAGAGACCCTTCCTCTCGCCTATCAGCATACTTCTCCGCCGGAGTCATCAGCGTACGGGAAGCCCTGGCTGCTGCAAAGAAACACAACAACAACAAACACTTTGACGAGGGCTCCTCTGGCATTGCTTCTTGGGTCCGCGAAATTGTATTCAGAGAGTTTTACCGTCAGGTTCTTGTGGCTATTCCTCATAACGCTATGAACTTGCCTCAGAATCTCAAGTTTGATCATGTGCATTGGGAAGACGATGAGGAGGGTTGGGAGAAGTGGTGTCAGGGCAAGACTGGTGTTCCGTGGGTTGATGCAGGAATGCGACAGCTGAACACAGAAGCTTGTAAGTACAATAGCCCCCTCTTGATGTGCTGAAGCTCTCACCGTTACACACCAGCGGAGCTGGAGCTATCAAAATGCACAGTCCTTTTCAGCTGGGAGACAGGTCCACAGAGAGTCATTGATATCAAGGCTCTCCATGGATTTTTCCAGTTCACCAAGGCACTGTGCATTTTGACAGCTACAAGCGTAGCATGCCTTTACACACGGGAATAGCTCACTCAAATTTCACAATAACTAACCTCGCATCCCAGACATGCACAACCGCCTCCGCATGAACACCGCCTCCTACCTAACCGCCAACCTCCTCATCGACTACCGCCGCGGCGAACGCTACTTCGCCACCCACCTCATCGACTGGGATCTCTCCAACAACACCCAAGGCTGGGAGCCGTCCTACACCGTATTCAACCCCATCGCTCAAGCCGAAAAGTGCGACAAAAATGGCGATTATATCAGGAAATGGGTTCCTGAGTTGAAAGATCTAAATGGTAAGGATATCTTTGATCCGTATGGCAGGTTGGGCAAAGCAGAGTTTGAGAAGTTGGGATATCCGAAGCCGCATGTGGATTTCAGCGAGAGTAAGCAGAGAGCGGTTCAGAGGTTCAAGAAGGATTTGGCCGAAGCTGATGTTTGAGTCTTTGATGGGTGCATAGGGGACATTGTTGTAGGTATGTTTGCAACTGTCGCATTCGAGTATGCCTTTCGCTTAATGATCTTGACGTACCTCAGCTGAGGTACCCATTAGCTGTGCCAGAAAGGCGTTGACTGGCAGTCGGCCAATGGGATTCCCTCCCAGCACAGATGAAACAGGAATGCATTGGTGCTTGGCAGAGACAGTGCTGGGATGAGCTGCGCAGCTGAGGGAGACCCGCACACTGCACACCCATCTCGTTTTCTACGAGCTCCATAAGCTACGACGCTCGGCCAATCTATATCATGTTCCATTGGAAACAACGTATTCTGAATGTTGCGTGTATTTTGATGGAAACACTATCAGCGAGCGCCTGGATAGGTATCGAGGCACTTCTACTCATTTGTTACATCCGCTCAAGTCGCTATACCGCAGCACAAGTATCTTCAGGAAGTAAATCACGCGTTTTAGACTCAGCCCCCGTCAGCTATGTCACAAGAGGAAGAAGAATCCGCAAGCAAGTCTATAAAAGCTTCGCATTCTGTTCATCTGCTATCACCAATTCATCTTCTTCATCTTCATTCCCACTTACTTCGAAATAATTCGACACCAACGCAATGAGGTCCTCTCTTCGTGGCATGCGAGGCCGTTTCATCGTTATCGTTCCCATTTTGGTTATCCTGTCACCTCTCCCACAGGCGAATGCCCAGTACTTCATCCATTCTCTCAGCATTGGAGAGTCCTTATGCAATTCTGACGTCGTGGCGGGAACCATGATCTCGGTTGCATGGACTGTCGACAACATCAGTGTTACCGGCAACGATACCTGCTGGTTGGCCATCCGTCCCACATGGAACACTGTTGACGACAACGCATACGTGAATGGTGTTCATATAAAGTGCTCATTCACCTCCACCAATATCAACATTCCCCTTACGCCTTTCGATAAGGATTTACCGTTCAATGGAAGTACATACTCTGTCAGGCTGATATCTCCCGCTCCCAACAATATCATGTTGGATTCTTGCCCTTTCTCGTAAGTGACTAAGCTATCTGAGTGCTTTCAATAGCTTGCTGAAAGAAGTCTAGGATCCAAGCACAAGGATGGCAGCCGCCGTTGAGTGAGTCCGATAGACTTGCACAACAAGCAAACGTTCTTGCAAACCAGGCCAACCAAGCTACTCGGACGAGCACCATCATCGGTGGTCTTGGTCTCGCGGTGGCTCTCCTCGCGGCCTTCCTTGGGGCTTATCTAGCACACTACTTGCAGCAGCGAAGACCACGACCGGTGGCTTTGTCAAACGTGGTATGAGGAGAATCACCTCGGTAAAACCCATCTTGTATGCCTGACAAGACATTCTGCTCTTGTTGTTATGACGTCCGCTATCGATACGCAGTAACGATCTTTCTTATGTCTTGTTATTCGCTTTGCCTCTGCTATGCTGTTCATCGGGTGTCTTGTTTCCTACCTGTTTTCCGATCTGTGTCACTGTACTCGATTATGCTTTATTCTTCTTAGTGCAGACGAGCTAGACGTCAGAAATCGATGGTTTCTACGGTTCAACAAGACCCCGGTGTCATGACTCAATGGTTTGATGTGTGATGTCCGGAGAGCAGAGAACGTAATTTGCAAAGGTACATATGAGGATCAGAATGTGTTTCAAGCACATACGGCCACAGTCAGCTGAAAACTGGGCATCCCGTCCGCTCTGCCATACATAAGCAGTTGAACGGCAGATTAGTACTACGGTGGGTGACCACGTGGGAATCCCTGCTGCTGTATGTTTTGCGTTCGCCTGTTTGCTCCTGGTCCAAGATTCTTTTTCTCGTCTGCGTGAACGTGGACTACTTTCCGAGGGAGAGCAAAAAAAAAGTCTCGTGTCTGTGGAAAATCATGACTTGGAGAGAAGGACCATATTAAGCGATACGCCTAGCAAGCATGAGCATGTTTATGAGGTTGACGCTCTGTTTGGTAAATGCTTCAGAAGACACAGCGTAGCAGGCATGACTGCAGAGAGGGAGCAGGGCATCGAGAATCATCTCTCAGGGGTATGCAAGTGGCAGGAAGTATGCTCGAGGAAAGGTGATGCTCGGTTCTTGACAGGATATCAAGAAATGGGATAAGCAAACCCTCAATGCAAGGTATTCGCTATGGGCAACACGAAGACTTCGGTAACGAAGAACGGAGCTGAATGGAAGCTTGAGTTGAACAAAGCATCCTCCCAATGCTTGATGCAGAGGCATGTTACCAGGCAAGACGAGCCGCCCATACAACAACAAGACAAGTACTTGAACACACATGCTGGCCCTCAAGAGCATGTATCAAATGCCCGATATAGCGAACATGCAGAACTTTTCAGGTGGTGCAGAGTTTTTCTTCTTCAAAGCCCGGCCATAGGCCAGGAAAACAATTGATGAAAAAAAGGAAATAGGCCTGTCAGAAGTCCGCCAACGCCCACCCAGTCAAGCCGACCGAAGCCAGACACTCAAAAGGGTCGAGATCATCACCATCGAGGCCGGAGCCAAGATACCAGGTATCACTCTAGGGCATCGGGGATGTAGCTCATCCGCCAGGTTGGAGTTCTGTGGCTCTTTTGAAGAGTTCAGATAAAAGAAGCTTACTTTAGAAATGATTCTATCTGTTATGGGGGTCAGTAACATGCTCTAGAAGGTCATTGATATAAACCAGGGAGTGGTAGAACGTACGAAGTAAAGTCGACTAATGAGAGAAGGAGGAGGGCGAGGTAGAACGCTGTTATATACAGACTGAGAGGGCCTGTGCACGCTGGCGTTTGCTCTGTTTGACTGGCAGAGTTTTCTGATCAACTGAAGTGGTCCTGACAGTGTGTCGTGATATAATATACGCCTAGGGGGAGTGAAGCTTGGGGATGCGCTTCGGGATTTTGGCAGCACTCTTCAACCACCACATTGTTTTTCGCTTCGAATATTGTATTATCCGTGCTCACAGTACTTTTGAACGTACCTACAGTGGCAGTTGGAGAAAAGAAATGGTTGTGGTGGCTCATACCGGCGGGCAAATTTCTGAGAAGACTTTGCTGGCCGAGAGATCACACCCACTGCAAGCAGTTTCATGTTGTCTGCCAATCATGTTGTCTGCCAATACTGCGCATATGAGTACCTCACTTGGAACACGCTTTCACGGTGTATCTAGGTTTAAAAACGTATAAGCCTACCTCCAGCTTATGGGAGTGTCGTGGTGATCTTCACTTTCGGCGTCGTCGGGTGAGGCTGAATGATGAAGTGGAAACGAGACAACATGTCTTGTCTGTTCTTTTCGAAGTCGTGTCCTGCTATAATTCGGCGGTCTCAGAGTGTGCAGATTTACTATCCGAATCCCTATAGAGATGCATGGTGATGTTCGGATCGGGTTCGCGTCCAAGGAGATAGACGCTTTGGTGGATTTTCTCCAAGTCTCCTGGTTGCTCGAAGTCACCCTGCCCTTGCGGCCCTCCTCCAGTACCATCGACTCCTAATTCCCACACACCACTTGAGAGAACTAGTTCGAGTTCTCTGCGCCTCCGGCAACTGCTATACGCTCCGTTTTGCTGTCTCGCATAGTGTTTGTACGAAATGGTCTGGCTCGTCAGAGTAGAACATCTTTCCAATGCAACTGCAGTGCTTGTATCAATGGAGACAACAAGAAAGCGGTTATTCCACATCTACAACTGTTAAACTACATGCCGTGCACCAAGATTCATACCATTCTTTCTAAGCGTACGTTATGCACTGCTGATCGACACAACATAGCAGAAATCAATGTGGTCGCTGCATAACATCGACGTCGATGCTCACAAAGCTAGTGGTAGGTATCACCCTGGTCCGCAGCAGCCACACGTTGAGAACACTCGACCCAAGCCATGATGATCATGATGCTCGTCGACAAGATTGCCGAACTTCCATCACACGTGTTGATGATGGCTCCGGACATCCCCTGAGTGACGATGAGTGGACAGAGTTCCTGCAGCTACCGAAGACGTGCGCGTACCTGTCTGACGACGAGACTAAAAACATGTTCCAGAGTTAGGACACGCGTCTGGAGCGGTCAGGTCTTCACAGCTGTTCCGCTGTTGCCGTCTGCGGCAGAGATTCTGCAAATGTACAGAATCCTGAGGTTTTGCCGTAGCTGTCTACTGGATGCGCTCACGATGACAAGTTGCGGACTTGTAGGCTATAGGAATGCACAGCCACTTCAAAAATGCAAATCTAGTTGTGAAAACATCGTCAGAATACCTCTCACTGTGGTCACCACTCGGATCTGGATGGCAATATGCATTCCTATAGCTAAGCGGTACTAGTCTTTCGCATGCGAGAGATCCTAAAGTCGATCACACATCCTAAGAACCACCCACTACGGCTCGCGATGGATTCGTGGATTTCTTGGAAAGAGCTTGGTAAAGCTTGACACTGTGGCTTTGCCATGTCTGCCCGGCCGGAGATGCCGCGACTGCGGGGGGTCACGATGACTTCATAGTTTCCTGAGAACAATTGAAAGTCAACAAAAGCCTCAAGGTCGCCGTTTGCTTGTTCAATTCCCCCTCATCTTTTCACTTCGAGTTTTGCCAATCATCACACAGGCAATTCAAAAGTACCTTCATAATGTCGCACGACACCAAAGTTCAGCAGCATGGTGAGAACCATGACATCCCCAATGAGCACCAGGTCTCAAGGTAAGATCAAGCACCCATGATCAGAAGGCCAATTGCTAACAGCCAACTCAGACCCGGAGCTTGGCTGCCTACGGATCACCGTACTCACCACGAGTGGCTTGGTGAGCAGGTCAAGAACGCACACAAACACAAGAAGCCTTTGATTCCTGTCCTCCAAGAATTCAAGGAGTTCATTGAGAGCACACCCAGAGTGTACATGTACTTCACTGCCATGTTCCAAGAAGTTCCCTACAAGCATGTCTACAAGAGGGATCCCACCGGACGCAAGCAGATTCGTGACTACGAGCACATGCTCGAGGTTCTCAACCACGTCTTCGGCTCTGCCCCTGTCTGGACCGACTCTGCCCAAGCAGTTGGTATGGTTGGTGTGCCAATGTGCGCCATCTTGGACTACCCCATGTCCACTCCTTCTGGCCACGCCGCCTTCCTCGACCCCGAGGTCAACAAGATGCTCAAGAAGGTTCTTAACGAGTGGGGCAAGTTCCTCATGTCGCCCGAGTCCGCTGGTGTGCTCCACGAGGGCAAGACCGGCTGGTTCGGCGAAACTGGAACTTCGGACATGATGTCTGTTGCCAACGCTCCTTACAAGACCAACCACAAGTTCGAGGACTTCTTCGTCTGTGACACCAGCAAGAAGCACTACGGTTACACTTCGTGGGACAACTTCTTCACCAGACACTTCAAGGATGAGGTCCGTCCCATTGACAGCCCCGATGACGACAACGTCATCAACAACGCCTGTGAGAGTAAGACCTTCCAAGTCCAGGAGGGTGCAAAGCTCAGAGACAGATTCTGGATCAAGGGCCAGCCTTACAGTGTCAGAGACATGCTCGCCAACGACAGCTTGGCCGAGCAGTTCGCCGACTGCACCGTCTACCAGGCCTTCCTGTCTGCCCTTTCTTACCACCGCTGGCACGCTCCCGTCAGCGGCACCGTCAAGAAGGCTTACGTCCAGGACGGCACATACTTCAGCGAGCCTCTGTTCGAAGGTCTCGGTGACCCCAACACTAAGGAGATCGACGCACACGGTATCTCGACTGGTCAAGGTTACCTGAGCGCCCTCGCCACAAGAGCCATCATCTTCATCGAGGCCGACAACCCCGCCATTGGCCTCATGGCCTTCATCGGTATCGGCATGGACGAAGTCTCGACCTGTGAGATCACCGTCAAGGAGGGTGACCACATCAAGAAGGGTCAGGAGACTGGTATGTTCCACTTCGGTGGTTCATCTCACTGCTTGCTGTTCCGCAAGGGCGTCAAGCTCAGTGGCTTCCCCCAGCCCGGCAAGTCGGAGAACGTCCCCGTTCGCAGCAAGCTCGCTACCGTTCAGTCGAACTAGAGTGTGGTCACAAAATATTCATGATTTCAGAGATGTAGTTTAACGAGTAATGGAACCTCCTTCAATCTTAGAATCGATCCACTCGTCATAGTGCCCGAGACGACTGACGTGTGCGACATCCAACGAAACTTGTCATCTTCGTTCTGGAAAATATTGTGCAGTTTCATAGCTAGGTCGAAGTGTTCATAGATGGATAAACGCAACACCTATTCAGAGTTCAAATCTTCAAAGGCGCTTTGTGAGTATGTACATAGCATTTTTTGCTATGCCTGGCATGCGGTTCGAAATTCCCCTGCCGCGATCGATGAGATTTTATCCTGCATACCTACACTGCTGGAGCATCACATTATAGTCTACTCATACAGTGCTGCAGAGACTGACAACGATGCCTCCACTTCGATACTCATGCTCAATCGTCAGGATCATGTATGCTCGATGTCGAAGCTTCATGAAGGCCGCTCAAAGGGCATGGCGTAAAGATCTTGGGCTCATCATCATCATCATCATTATCCAGCATCTCCAGTGTTTCCAGTGATTCTTCAGCATTTCCAGCATGTCCAACAACCAGCGACAGGCAGCAGCCCGTTTTCTCAAACCTAGAAGCAATGCCTGGTACCTTGTGCGGATGCTTCTAGGCCCGAGTTAGGTAGTCGTCAGTAGGGAAGTGAGCTGCATCATGAAGACTTTTGGTTCAGCATCGATCCTGGTCAGGGAGGTTGTCATTAGAGTGGAAGCTTTTTGGACGTGCTTCTAAGTCGAGTGTTGTGGTGAAAAAGTCGAGATGGAAAGTCACTCTTGCGATTCCTCGGTCGTTGAGCTTCGATGTTGGATGTTGTATGAGACGCTCCCAGATTTACAAGTACAAAGTATGTAACAAACATACGGTAATATACG